ATTTTTTATGATCTTTGACCGCATTTATTTTGTGTTAGAAACTTATAATATCTCAAACATTTGATCACAGTCCAAATTTAGACAGTATCAAGCTTGAATATTGTGTCCAAACTTGCCCCAACTGTTCAAGGTTCGACCTCTGCGTTTTATCAGGCTGCGCTCAGCGAAGCATTTTATTCATTTGTAAAGGTTTATATCTTAAACGGATAAAGTGACGCCACGAAAATATTAAACTTGTTGTGTATATGTTTCATTACATTTGAATACGAAAAACTAAAGTTAGAGAAGGGAAACCAATTTTGGAATGTACAGATGTACGGACATAGAGACGGACAATAGTAAAACTTAATGCCACTGGTAAATATATGATTAACAATTTATGAAAAGTTATCATTTTGTCAGATTTGGTCACAGTAAATATTGCTTAGTTTAAAAATGTGTTTTAGATTTTATGCTAAATGAATTAATCATAGTATTTTATCTTTATCTATTTTCAGTGAAGAAGATTTCATTTTAGTGAAATATTTTGAAGATGGTGAATTAATAGAAGAGTCTTTTTTTCAAAAGGCAACCAGGGCAACTGCACTATTCGAATTTATTGGGCGTCAAGATATATATCTGGAGAACATGACAGTGTCTTTGTCCCCTGAATCTTCAAAGAAGAAAATTGAACAGGTTTTTCCAAACACAAGTGAGGTGTCTTTAGATATTATCCCATTTGATAGCATATCTCAGGAAAATACAATTGCAGGGTCAGAAAACATAGATATTCTAGATACAATAATAATCAGTGATTCGAATTCTCCCGTTAAAGGATGTAATAGCACTAATACCATTGCACAATGTTCACCAATCAACAATGTCATAGTTATCAGTGATTCTCCTAAGAAGACATCCCAAAAAAGAATCCAATATAAAGATCTTACATCCTCCTCATCCTCAGATGAGCAAAACAGATTACCAATACTGAAGAGGAAAAGGATAAAGCTGAGTCATCATATCACTGCTGAGAAACAGAGAAATTATGCAAAAGGAATTATTGTTTCGTGTGAATCAGATGAAGAAATAACAGAAACGATAACATGTAATAAGAATATGTATGACACTCGGTCTTTGACACCAAAACCGGTAGAAAAATTACCTAACAACATTAATGGAAATGTAGCTTTTCAACTTCATTATGACAATAAAGAGCGTCAGAAAATGAAATCCTCTCAGGACGGTAGGTCATGGAAGAGATATAACAAATCTTACACCTACTATTTTAAGTCATCACATGGTACAAGGTTACGTGCTTAATGCAAAGGATCCTTCAGATGTAAGAATTCTGGATGTCCATATTTGAAGTATTACAACTCAGAAAATTCTCAGCGTGTTTTAAAAGAAGGAGATGAAACAAATTGTGAGGAATGTGGGGGGGAAATGGAATTTATACACTGCGATGCTGTAAAAATATGGCAGTTTCCCAGGGACAAAAACTTTGTAAATGTTTATCATTTTGGAGACCACACTTGTCCGGTAATAAACAAGCCTTATCCTCCAGTTGATCAAATTAAATCAATGTATGAATTGAATCCAGACTTTAAACCATGTGAAGTGTCATCTAAACTTATTATGAATAAAGTTGAAACTGCAGCATCAAGAGAAGAAGTTGAAGACATGGCTTTTAATCTTGTAGATGATTCAAAAGCAAGAAACATTAAACAATCTGTAGTTGGTAAATCTGGTGAAGTGTGCAGAAAATTATTTGAACTTCAAAATAAATGTGTGGATATCTATAAAGATCCATATCTTCTGTATAAATTTCAAATGTTAGAGCAAAATATCAACACTTCCAGTTGTAAAGTTATATTGTCGGAGTTCAAGAAAGATAGAATTGTAAAATCAGAGTGGACTGGTAACGAAAAAAATTATGTTTTTGTTCTAAAATCGTCAAAGGAAAAACTGAAGCTCTTGACAGAAATAATGAAATTAGACGATATAATGGGGGAAGAATATGTATATGTAGACTTTAAGGAAAACAGAATTAAAGGAAAAGGTAAAAATTTAAAAACGCTTGGTTTATCAGTGTACCACGTCATATTAAAAAAGGTAGTTTGGCTTGTTAGAATGGACTGCGAAAAAGAAGATAAGGAAACTGTTTTGCTGTTCCTAAAAGGTATTGACGAAATGCTAAAACAATATTCCGATCAACAAATAAATGAATTCAGACCTGCCTCAGGGTGGATGATGGATGAAGGAGGTGGTCTCCATTCAGCACTGGAAACCAAATATGGAGCAATTTACTGTCAGGACAAAGTTGTTACCTGCCAACTACATTTAAACATGTGCAGAAATAGACACACGTCTTCTGTTTTTATAGGAAATGATGGCAAAGAACAGAAAATAGTTGAATTAAGAAAGAAGATAAATGACATGGTGCATTCAACAACTGTTAATCAGTACAATTCACAGTACAATGAGGTTAAAAGATTTATCACGGAAAACAATAAATCGTCTCTACTTAAATGGCTACAATGGTGGGATAAAAGGCGAAACCATGTTATGGATGCGTATAGGGATGTTTCAGCTCCTAATACCAACTTAGCCGAGGTGTCACATGCATCTACAACCCATTGTGGTGGTTCCAATCTTAATTTGATACAAACAGCAGTTTTTGATATATCAGATTGCTTTAAGTACGCACAGGCTGTGAAAGGTTACTTTTCTGGTGTAGTAAAAGCTGGATCTGGTCCATCATATCAGCGAAAACAAATGATTTTGGAGCAAAAGGCCAATAATCGAGCAGAAAGTCTGTTACATGAGCTAGATGATCAGTTCGAAGGTGGAAAGGCTCCACAATTACCAAAACAATCATCATTCATGGCTGAACCAAGTGCATCACACAGAGCTGACAAAAGCTCGGATAAAGACAAAAGACCCATTGGAAAGACAAGGACTAATAATTCGAAAGAGTTTAACCTCAGAATTGAAAAAGCTAGGGCAATGGGAGATTATAAGTGCATTGAAGTTAATATTCATTCACCAATGCAAGCTACTGTGAGCCTTGTTTCACCCCAGGGAGAAACGTATGCAGTTTATTTTGACCAGAAATCTACTTGCTCGTGTCCGTTTTCTAAACTTCAAAGTACTGAAAAATTGAGAAAGGTGGCATGTAAACACAGAATGTTCATACTTATTTGCTTGAACTATTCACAAACCTGCAACATTATAAAACAGTATAGCTACACTCTAACTGAAGTGGGGGATATAGTAAACAGACTTGATGCATTTGCCTTAGAACCAAACTCGTTAAAACTGAACATTCCTTCAACATCTAATTATTCAGAATTGAAAAACAGATATTGGCATTTAACTTCAAGTGACCCTTTTGAACTGACCTATCTTCATGGCATTATCTCTAAATGCTATGGTTGTGATAAAAAATACACAGATATAAACAGAAAACCCCCATTTGATGTAATAATAAAACATTTGGAAGTACGTCCTCGTTTCAATAAAGACAAAAAGGAGTGGTACATTTCAGCTAATAAAGAAAAGTCAAACGCTTATTATCATTTACAGACTGACTGTATGCAAAAAGTGCATCCAAATTTTAAGGCTGGTGATATAATTATCACAAATGAACTAAGACAAACATTGTCAGAAGAGCACAGGCATTATCTCACAAATTTAGGAATTGAACTTTAATGTGTGTTTTGCTTTTGCATACTTGTATGTCATTTCATCGGACGCACTCTTGTATATTACATGTACATTACTGATAAATGTTTGCAATTTGCGCACGTGAATGGTTAAGAAACATTTTCTGCATTCTTTTCATTTTGATATTCCAATATGTATTTGAAGAACAAAAATTGTAGGTTCCGAATATTTTATTGCTAGTCAAATACCGATACTATCAAGACTAACAAAGAGATGCATGACTGTAGTAGTACTGTATTATTAATATGTACATATGTTTGTTTATACTTTGTACTGACTTTGTCTTCATTATTCCAAGGTAAAAGTTTCAATCATTATACTGAATAAAGTGAATTTATCATTATTAACAAAACTGTTATAAAAAGTTAGTATATTAAGCTATGGGTTTATTCATTGTCAGATTAAAAATTAATGAGTCTATGTTTGTTGAGAAAAATCAAGATAGAGAAAAAAGTGCAGCCCGCAACCCGCAACCCGCAAAATAGTGATACTGAAAGTATTCATATGAATTTAAAGACACTAAAAGGTAAAATACGAAATAATTAAGTATCAAACTAAACGAGAGAGACAATTATAGTTCTTATTTAGCAAATTTAATTTAAAAAATTATGATTTCCTGCCTTTTTTTAAACACAAACCAATCCGTAGATGAATCCGGATTCATTCTGAATTTATTATCCACTTGTCACTTCCCGTTTTCGTTTCATTTGGAAATCGAAAGTAAACGTGATCTATTCATGATAAATTTACAATTTAAAGTCATTAGAATTGTTCCAATAAGGATTTGTACAAATCCTTGGTTCCAACTTTATAGAATTAATTCTAAATATCGCTTTAAAACGTTTTTAAGTATAAATAATGCAGTGAAATAGTCCTTACAAGTTCATTTATGCTGTGATTCCTGGTTTAAAAAAAAATTGATCCCAACTTTTGCTGATTAGGAATGTACCCTGAAACTAACTGAAGTGAAACTGTGAACTAGATTTCTAGATCTTATATCCTAATCTTCGTATTAAAGTGCCACATCAGTTAAATCATGCAGTAACTGCCTAGTATGCCTAAGTCCTTCAAAGACAAAGTCTGACAAAGATGTATAGATAGTAATATACATCCTAGGTCCCTTGCTGCTACCCAAAATAAGGTTGATTTTCATCCCGCGCAAAAGTGACTAAAGCCCTCAAAATCCTAGCTTAAACCCTGAACATACTGAAAGTTATACAGAAAGTTAGAGTGTTCTTTTCTTACATAAAGTTAAACATACAAAAACAAATTAAAGTAACAGAAGAATGATTTACTTTCATTTCTATCCCAGGTACATTTTCTGACGACGTTGAAGATGAAGAGCACAGGGATTTGGATGGGGAGTCGGATTCTTTTGAACTATTGCTTGAGGTTTCTTGAGGAAACGATGTGGATCTATCTGAAATTGAATCGTTGCTTGCACCATTGGATTTAACTGTTTGTGACCCATTTGTTTCTTTTGGTTTGTTTCCTTCCATTTTGGAGATTATTCGTATTTTCGAAGTATTGGTATTTGTTTCACTTTATTTTCATTTTACCGGAAACAGGAAGTTAAGTCAATAGAGGGCGCTGACAATACATTATAAACCTCCTTTCAGAAAAAACTAGGGAAAGTGTCTAAACCATTAATTATGAGGCCGTCTCAAAGGTTTACCTTTTTACCTTAATTTAATTTTAGTTTAACATATTACAGTATATAACTATATGTTAACTAGGTAATTCAGTTTCTTAATTATGTTTTATAAGGGTTCTTTTTTTCTAGATGTCTCAGATATCGATAGGATCACATGTTGTAAGATAAAAAAAGAAAAGAAAACTCGGAAAACTCATTGTCACAATTAAATATTGTGTTTTAGTAATAAATTTCCAAATCTGTAATATATAGTACAGTCTGAGACTTCTATAACTAGTCTTAGGTACAGTAGAAATTTAATTCTATCTTCAGCGAAATCCTTTAAATTAGCATTTCACACCTAATAGGTTGTGCGTTCGTGCTTGTGGGTTTTTTTTCAGTCTGGTATATCAAAATTATACTACCAACAAGTTAAGGACTTATCCTCAAATCTTCTTTTTGGCTTGTGTTTATAATTGATATATAAAACACTGTACATGTTCAATCATAAGTCTGCTATTTTATATTTCTAATTAATTCTGTCCTTAAATATATAATCTATACTTTTACTGAAATCCTGTTAAAATTTATTGTGATCATTGCACAAATTTATATGTCATTTACGATGAAACTATATGGAACCTAATCAGAAGTACAATCCGACATCAACATTGGAAGATTTCAGGTTATATTAATAAGTATTTCAAACTTGATTTCAGTAACTGCAAGCATCTTTTGAAACGGTGTGTTGTTTTATTTACTATACAGGTGATTAATAATATAAGTGTTTTTCCAGTACTCATTTCATTTTACATTGGCCTTTCTATTATTCCACCAATCGAACTTAATAAATAGGGGATGCTTGAAATCAGAAAAAAGTAATGTAAAACAGTTCTACCCTCTAAATGTTCATGTACCAGTTCGAAATTAGAAAATTCGTCGGTGGCTGCCTTTTGGTTATCTCAATTTTGTATTTTCTGTGTATCGTTTCTTTTTCTTTTTTTCTTTGTCATTTATACTTTTACATTTCTACCTGATATGTCAATGCTTGTCCTTTTCTGTCTTTTTCACATTTTTTTTTTTTTTTTTTTTTAATTTGGAAAAAATGGCAGGTCTTTGATAGTCTAGTTTTGGGCATATCTTATAGAAATCCGTGGCTTTTATTGAACCCGTATGCTGACCTCTAGATGTTATTTGTGTCGTTTAGTTGCTGTCTCATTTACATATACCACATCTTTTTGTATTCGTATGATGGTTAAAATACTATAAAGAATTTTCTATTTATATTTTACAACTTTGTATTTGAAAAAGGGAGAACGTGATCATATTCTGTAAGATAAAACAAGAATCATTTTAAGTTGTTATAAACTTCCTTACTACATGTATAAATAAATAGTTATCATGTCTATGCAAATAGATGACCAGAAGTGTAAAAAAAGTTTAATTTCCGTTAAATGGATTTAGTTTCAGGATATAAGAAAACAACCATAGATAATTACTTTAAGTTTGAGGATCGAATGACAATAATGTAAATTATGGAGCGGTGGAAGTTGCAGTAATTATCAGTTTATATTTAGTTTTCACATCAAACGCTGCTGAAAATTTTATTTCCAAATCTGACTAAAAAAATTACTTATGACTCAAACAGTTTACATAGTGAAATCCGAATCGTCGATAAAACTTACTTAACGCCTACACTAAATAAAAGATAAATACCAAATACATTGACCCTTCTTACTAATCTTTAAAAATCATGAACTGGTTCCCCAACTTGAATACAGTAAAATTAAAACAATGGTAATGTTGAATGAATGGAATTTACATTTTATCAGTTGTCTCAAATATTATGCGCTCTTATTTTTTAGCAGAACTTTCCAACATCGATACGATTTTCCACCAATGGAGTTCACACCTGTTTATCCTGATGTCTGAATGTACATGTACTTATCGAACAGTAAATTCCACACCCTTGCATACACGTTATGGTTTTAATCAGGGATTATATCCCAGTGTTCAGCCTTATTAACCAAATAATCCGAAGTAAGATCACTTCAGTTTTAAATGAAAATGCTTATATAGAATGACACTTTCCGTGAGAAGAAAAATATGGAAGTTGATGTACAGTTTTACAATTCTTGCAGTTTCCTGGATAGCTTGTTCAGGTATTGTATAATGTTCTGGATATCATGTCTTGTTCATTCAAGGTATAATGTTTTAAATGTTGATGTGGTTCATAAGTGTTTCTCGTTTCTCGTTTCTCGTTTTTAATATAGATTATACCGTTGGCTTTCCTGTTTGAATGGTTTTACACTAGTCATTTTTTAGGGCCCTTTATAGCTTGCTGTTCGGTGTGAGCCAAGGCTCAGTGTTGAAGGCCGTACTTTGACCAATAATACTTTTCTTACAAATTGTGACTTGGATGGAGAGTTGTCTCATTGGCACTCACACCACATCTTCTTATATCTAAATATCATGTTTTGTTCAGGTCGTTAATAAACAAGATAACTTCATTTTAACACAGAGAGGTAGATTTGATATTTATTTGTGAAACGGGTTTTCTCATTGTGAAGGCTGACGGTTGCCTTTAATTGCTTACATCCACTTCATTTGAACTTTGGTGGATAGTTGTCTCATTTGGCAATCATACCACATCTTCTTATTTTTATACATGTCTGTGAATGTCAGTTCAGGAACTGATTTTATCGTCAGACTTTAAATTTTAACTTTGTTTTTTGTCTTTGTTGTATTCTTTTTCTCAATCTTATACAATAAAATTCTAGGAAAATCAAAAAACTAGGTTACATTTGAATTAATCTATTCTATTCAGCCAATATTGCGAACACAACGAAAACACTGACGCCTCAGAAAAAAAATTCGGCCTGACATTAAAATGCAGTGTATATATGAGTGATGCTGTACAATTATTTAGGTTCACAATGTAAATTTTCTAGCATCCACCTGCGAGTTTCCTGACGAGCTACAAGGGATATGGTATAGTTCACACAAGGGCAATCTAAATTTTACTGGTACAGAAATGTTGGGTTACCCCATAGCTATGTCAGCTACCGTTAACGAACTCAACTTTAACTGTACGGAGAAAAATGGAGACTATTATCTTTTAATGTAAGTAACCTTTCTATACTCATCGATATTTGGACTATTTTCCACCAAAGTAGCAACTTGCATGTGTTAGTCTAGGAACTATGATATAATCCCTATTTGGTTAACTTTAGATGTTCCAATTTCTACACTTTTAAGATTAAAATGCCATCGTTATTCAATAAAATATCAAATATTCTAGGCAATTCATTTCTAAGCTAGTAATCTATAACTCTTGGTGTGTCACTATTTTCTTGTTACAGATGTTCTATGTAACCTTTTTTTGTTAAATTTCAGTCTTAATGTTACGTTTTTCACCTTTTTGCACGATTTGTCACGCCACCATTTTCATCCATACGATGACTTTTTATGCCACTCTTTTTTATCTATACGGTGGCTTTTTATGCCACTAGTTCTATTTGTATACTGTGGTATTTCATATTACTATTTTCAACTGTTCGATGGCTTTTCGTGCCAATTTTTTCATTTGAATGATGAATTTTCATGTCACTATTTTCATCTGTACGATGGCTTTTCATGTCACTATTTTTGTTACAGGGCCGATAGATATGTGTTTACCCTGAACACCAATGTGCGAGCATACATATGTTTAAGGCTTCACCGTGTGTCGGCATATAAATATTATTATTATCTTGGATCAAGTAAGTTTATTAACACAAAATCCTGTCTTTAGCAATGTCTCACCTGAACTGCCTTGTCATACAAAAATTTCGAGCACGATTATTGTACTCAGACTCAAAAATAAACCAATCAAAATACTGGATTTGGTGTGTCGTGCACAAATTTTGAACTCCGAGTACCGGCTCAAGTTTTATGACCGAGACGATTACTGTGTCGACGCACCAATTTTCAATTTACAATTAATGCTTTGATATATTCTTATTTGATACACGAGTTTATACCATTGGAACACAATAGCTACTGTCGCCTCTTATCTAATAGCCTGGCATCCTGACCCAATCTAATACTTCGTCGATAGGTCGAGCAGTGAGCCAGGATCCCAGGCTACTTATCTAATGTCACTTCGGTATACTTCCTTTTCAAATAAAAAAAAGTTATCATAAAGTTATCAAATAACATCCGGCTAAAATGTCCAAAGCATGTTTGGTTTACTTTCAAATTGTTAGATATTTATAATATACAGGATGGGTATATGCTTTTTTAGGAATGAACAGAAAAAACACATTTTCAACTTTACATGCTTAAGCTAAATTCTTTATTTGGTAGCAGTAATTTCAGCTAGACCTTTTTGAACTTGTCTACTTGCTTTGTTGGTTTAATTTACCTCTCGTACTTATGCTTAAAATATTTGAAACTGGGCGTTAAACAAACAACAATCGATCAACGAATGAATTATTTTGAATCATTTAATAAAGTATGATTTTCTTATTGAAAATATAAAACAACAAAAAAAAACTGAAACTGTTACATTAGTTTAAATTATTGTCTCAAAACATGTACAAACAAAGGTGTTTGTTTTTCCCAATTGTCTGTTTTCTTTTTTTCAGCACTGACAACTATATATGACTATGTGTACGGAGTATTAGAAGGGACAGCTGTGTCGTTGTCAGATGCCTGTGATCGCACAGAGCCGTACGAAGAGAGCACATTTATTACTCTTATTAAGAATGGTTAATATACATAATGATACTATTCAATGACTAAAATCTCTTGGACTTGATACTCATAGAAAAGCATGGAATCGAAACGGTGTTTTTTTTTTCTTCTTTTAAAAACACAATAAGTTAGACAATTTCTGATAATGCAGCATCATTCTATTTTTAACTTCATATGTCCATCAAGTGTATATGTATGATACGTCTACTATTATTCTTATTTCAATAGCTTTCTTTTATAGTACAGAACAATAACTCCCTTACTGAAAAACTTCATGATAATGTCGGGTTTAACATACGAGACAAAAAGTCACTTCTCAATAGCCACGTCCGCCGCCTCGTGTGAATGCAAGTTAAAGAACTCCGATATAGTTCTTAGGTGGCCTGCTGTAAAGAAAAATGTCTGCCCTATCCAAAATACTCTTATTTTCCAGTGGCCGTTCAAAACATTCCCTGCCCTGAAATCCTGGTCTTTCACTTTGCAGAAGCTAACTACTGTATGTATTGTTAATTTGTTCCCGGTTTGAATATACAAGACATATTTGTCACTGGATGTCAAGCAAGCTGTAATTAATTCATATTTTATGTGTCGTTACTCTTTAATGTTAAGTCATTCAATATGACTGCCATAGATTCTTTTAACGGTGATCATGCTGTAGCGTGCTTACATCAAGTCAAGTGGGGGAGTCGTGGGTTCGATCCCCGGCTTGGCCAAACCGAAGACATGAAAATTGATATTTGCTGCATTTCCGATAACTACGAACAAGAGCAAAGACTTGTTGGCGAAGAGTAAGAATACTATGTTCTGGTTGGATTACAGTTCTTCCTGCTACCTTGTGAAATAGTATGTTAAAAACAGGTTCAGCACTTCGGTCTATTACAGGGTTTATATTCATATCATGTTCTCATGCATATACTTTTCTTCACTGGCGAAAGAAAATGTCCCATGTCAGCTCCTTTTAATTTGTGTTTTTCGATTCAGATACAGGTATCATCCCTGCAATGACGGAATCATCTTGTCCATCTCAGCTTCTGGCCAGTTACTCCAATGTTCTGATAACAGATAGCAGTGGATCAACAACTTGTAACAGCAATACCGTTGACGGCTGTAGCAACAACAAAACAGCAATGTCATACACATATCAGGCTTGCTCCTCTGGCCTAGTGTTCAATTGTAAGTGTAATATACGACAGTTTACCAATGTACGCATGGATTTATCTAAGTATAAGCATACATGTATGGAATATAACAAATGCTAAAATAACTTGGATGATTTTAATTAGGATAATCTTTTTTGTCATATCCTTTATTTTTATATAACCGACCTGTTAGTCAACCTCGCTCTAGATATGTTCAACTTCTTCTTTATCTGACTGTACAATTTTACAATTCTGTGTTCTATATATATATTCAAGATTCTTATAATAGGTATGGCTATATATGATTATGATTTAGAAAAAAGACTTTGGTATGGTATACGGGTATCGTGATTAACATTGTACATATCAACAATATACTGGTAATGGTTCTATTGTTGACCACTGATCAATTTATGCAATAATTGAAACTGGAATACATATATACAGTTTAAGATAAAAATAAATAAACGCGTGATACCTACTTGATAAAACTTCAACACTGATATCCAATGCCAAAAGTTCGTCAAACCAAAAACATATAAAGATCGGAAGCATCAATATTCTTACAATAGGACTCGAAATAGTCCGAGTTTATATTGCCGATTTTAGCTGCAGGGACCAGTGTCTTAATTGCATATCATAACTATTGTGGTTTTAGTCAAAGAAGCCACATAGTATTCGCCAGGGGATATATGCCATATATATATATATATCTTAATTTTGTCACAGCATTAGAATTTCATTGACCACAGGATTGAAATAACAATGGTTGATAGTATCTAAAGTATGTGAACATCCTGATTTCAGCCAAAAAGACATTATTTACTAGAGACTGGTTATCATATCTTGTTTGATGTTAACTGTAGAATCAGCATTTTGTAAGCAATGATATGTAATAACCTTCCGGATTTCAGCCGTAGTATCAGCATTTCGATAGCAATGATATGTAATAACCTTTCGGATTTCAGCCGTAGTATCAGCATTTCGTGAGCAATGATATGTAATAATCTTCCGGATTTTAGCCGTAGTATCAACATTTCGTGAGCAATAATATGTAATAACCTTCCAGATTTTAGCCATAGTATCAGCATTTCGATAGCAATGATATGTAATTACCTTCCGGATTTCAGCCGTAGTATCAGCATTTCGTGAGCAATGATATGTAATAACCTACCAGATTGTGGCCTTAGTATCAGCATTTCGATAGCAATGATATGTAATTACCTTCCGGATTTCAGCCGTAGTATCAGCATTTCGTAAACTATGATATGTGATAATCTTTCGGATTTCAGCCGTAGTATCAACATTTCGTAAGCTATGATATTTGATAACCTTCCGGATTTCAGCCGTAGTATCAGCATTTCGTAAGCAATGATATGTAATTACCTTCCGGATTTCAGCCGTAGTATCAGCATTTCGTGAGCAATGATATGTAATAAACTTCCGGATTTCAGCCGTAGTATCAGCATTTCGTGAGCAATGATATGTAATAACCTTTCGGATGAAATCCGTAGTATCAGCATTTCGTGAGCAATGATATGTAATAACCTTCCGGATTTCAGCCGTAGTATCAGCATTTCGTGAGCAATGATATGTAATAACTTTCCGGATTTCAGGCAGCCGTAGTATCAGCATTTCGTGAGCAATGATATGTAATAACCTTTCGGATGAAATCCGTAGTATCAGCATTTCGTGAGCAATGATATGTAATAACCTTCCGGATTTCAGCCGTAGTATCAGCATTTCTTGAGCAATGATATGTAATAACCTTTCGGATGAAATCCGTAGTATCAGCATTTCATACGCAATGATCTTTAATAACCTTCCGGATTTCAGCCGTAGTATCAGCATTTCGTAAGCACTAGCTGATATGTAATAAACTTCCGGATTTCAGCCGTAGTATCAGCATTTCTTAAGCAATGATATGTAATAACTTTCCGGATTTCAGGCAGCCGTAGTATCAGCATTTCGTAAGCACTGATATGTAATAAACTTCCGGATTTTAGCCGTTGTATCAGCATTTCATAAGCAATGATATGTAATAACCTTTCAGATTTCAGCCGTAGTATCAGCATTTCGTAAGCAATGATATGTAATAACCTTTCGGATGAAATCCGTAGTATCAGCATTTCATACGCAATGATCTTTAATAACCTTCCGGATTTCAGCCGTAGTATCAGCATTTCGTAAGCAATGATATGAAATTACCTTCCGGATTTCAGCCGTAGTATCAGCATTTCGTAAGCACTAGCTGATATGTAATAAACTTCCGGATTTCAGCCGTAGTATCAGCATTTCTTAAGCAATGATATGTAATAACTTTCCGGATTTCAGGCAGCCGTAGTATCAGCATTTCGTAAACGTAAGCACTGATATGTCTTTTTTTTCGATTTAAGCGGCAGGGTCAGTGTCCTGTATTTATTTCCTGACAAGTAACAGTATTACCTATCTACACACCTGGAATAATGACGCCACTGTAGACGATTCTACTACTTACAGAATTGTTTGTTACGTATGTTTAAAAACTATTTATTTTAATATTTCTATTTTTATTTATTGTTTAGGTGGGGTTTACATGGGGGAAATTTCAGGATATTGTTAATAAATTTTTTAAATGTTCTTTCATAATTATCATTAACGTTTGTTATAATTCCCATTAAAGATTTGTTCATTTTTAATTTACAGTAACTATGTATCAATACGACTTAATTCTAATTTATTTATAATTTAATGTAGGCAATGAAATCAATTGGAAGTACAGTATATGCCACAGTACATCCACATTTTTGTAGTGATGTAAATCAAAATCATTCTGATGTGGCATCGCCTGGAATAAAGCTGCAGTTCTCACAGTCTACTCAAACTTGTGGTAAGTGACACGCGGCATGGTCTGTAATAAAGCTACAGTTCTCAGGGTCACATCAAACTTGTAGTAAAAAACACGTGGCATCGCCTGTAATAACGCTAATATAAAAATAAGAAGATGTGGTATAATTGCCAATGAAACAACTCTACACAAAAGACCAAATGACATAGAAGTTAACAGCTATAGGTCACCGTACGTCTTCACCAATGAGCAAAACCCATACCGCATAGTCACCTGTAAAAGGCCCCGAAATGATAAATGTAAAACAATTCAAACGAGAAAACTAACGGCATGATTTATGTACAAAATAATGAACGAAAAACAAATATGATATACAGCAACAAACGACAACCACTGAATTACAGGTTCTGAATTACTAAGTTCTTAGTCAAGCCTGGTATAAAGCTAGAGTTCTTGCAATCAACTCTAACTTGTGGAAAGTGACACGCGACATCGACAGAAATTAGACTACAGTAACTGTTCTAAAAATATTTAGTATACAGTTTAAGTCATATGCATATTTGGATATTATGTCTGAAGAACCTTGCTCGAGACTTGAGTTCTTTTTGCGTTTATTTGACCAAGCCTTACCAACTGGCCTGAGTGATGCCTCGACGCAGTGACATCTATGAGGAAAAAAAGTATAATAAAAATACCGAATTCCATGGTAAATTCCTTAAAAACTGACAAAATCAAACGTTATCAACCAACGGAACGAACGAAAAACAACTTTCATATTCCTGACTTAGTACAGCCATTTTCCGAAGAAAATTGTGGGTTAAACCTGGTTTTATAGCTAGGTAAACCTCCCATTTGTATGACAGTTGTTTATAGTTCTGTTATATTGACAAAATTGTGGAACAACCCAAAGAGACCTAATGGGTTAATGTGACAATAATTGGGATCCAGCAGCCAAAACTTTGTAAACATATATCACAGACAAATAACACAACTGACTGAAAAATTAAAAAAAAAACCATATAAATACATGTAAGTCTAAGAAAGACGACAAGACGACAACAAAAACGTTGATGTGGTTGCTGAATATATACCCCGAAATCCTGATCTCACTAATTATCATTACTTACATGGTGTCAAAGATAAAAGATGACAACTTTGGTGGATTTAGTTATTTTGATACACAAAAATATTAATTGAAATCGAAAAAAAAAAGAAAACAAAGTAATTCCTACGTGCAATAACGTCACATTAACTTATCAGAGTAAGAAAGACAAATATGGATCAGATAGATTTACATGGTACAAGCACGAAATATGGTGAGTTAAACAGTACTCGGGGTACGTATATACCTACCCACGTTTTTGCCAACAAAGCCCATATGTAAAAAAAAAAAAAAAAAAAAAACACAAAAAACGCTCACACACATTGAAAAATCTACACAATGGGAAGAGTAATCCTGATCTTTATCGTTTCAGCTTCGTCCGTTACAGATTATAACTATGCTGGATATATATTCCTGATTGTGATAATAACAATCCTGATCTCAATCCTTGTCATTGGAGGATGCATATTGTATAAAAAGCTCAAAGAGGGAAACAAATCACTGTAAGTTTCTACTACAAATTATTAAATTATTTTCTGACTTTAAATGGACATTTTTATTTGTCTAAGAGTTATTTTGATCAAAATGTCTACAGTGATTTAGTATGACTGGTTTTTTTGTAGTCATGCAGTTGTATTTGTACTATACATTAAGTGTTCTACAATGAACACATCGAGTTAAACTCGAAAGAAGACAGTTGATGAAAGACATAGTTTTTTTTATTAATAATTTAAGTGTTTTAATGTATTATTACAAGACTCCGAGGATTTGTATACTCAAAAAAGGCTATAAATGAAACAAAAACTTTTAAGACAACAAAAATTGAATCCAAAAAGTCTAACCGACAGCCTCCAATTCGGCGACACTGTTCTTCTAGTCTGGTCAATGGTTTTAATTGTCAACAAATTATTAAATAGTGATTTACTTGTTAACATTCATAAATTGCTTCAGAAGAATGGGTAATTATGTGTTGCAAATTAGAATTTTAAAATATCATTCGACTTTTTTGGTCATTCAAAAGTTCAACGGGAAAAATATAAGTAAATAGCTTACAAACTTAAAGTAAATATGATAGGAATTTTATTCTTATGTTCTACTAAATTGTATATAGAGAACTCATTTCTAAAGAATAAAGTTGCAATATTTTAAAATTTTAGAAAAAAGACCCTTTTTAATACTAAAATTGTTCTTTATAATGTTATGTACAAACAGTCATATATATGCTGTTTAATCATGCCAGATGCCTATTATTTGTAAATTAAATTGTCTTCTTTTGTTAGTGATGCAGTATTTGTATGTTTTATGTACAGACTTGTTGGAAATGTTGCTCTCCGGATGTAATTGTTATTGTAGTCTTTTAATCTGTTCAATGTAGAAAAGTCCTCCAGACTCATATATGCATTTACCCTGATTTTGCCAGATACACATTTCGACACTTAAAGTCTCTTCCGTGATGCTCGAGACCAAAATATTCTAAAATCTAAAACCTTATACAAATTACCAAGAGCTGATGTAATCGAGAAGAACCACATTTATAACTAATTTCTTTCGATGGTGCTTTGAAACCGTGGAAGTTATGGAAATGAGGTGCTTCTACTTAAAATCATAGTAAACAAAATCTATTGCATTGTTATTTCAGGAAAGATGCACTGTGTTGTCGACATAAACATCAAATCCAAAATCAAGATCAATTGGAGCTGTCTGGAAGAGATTTCCCTAGAATTAAGACCGCTAAACTAAGGAAAGTTATATACTAGTCATGTATAGTTTCTGGCTCAGCTAACGATGACCACTTCAATTTGGGACTAGCAAGATTGGAATACTAGTTATCATTTCATATGATGTATAGTGAAAACAAAAACGAATGTGAACTTCTAATGTTTTTAAATGTGTTAAATAAATCAAAATACTTTAAGGTTCAATGTGTAAGAAATATAGTCTTCAACGATCCTTGATTAGAAATATACAAAATGTATGGGTTAATATGAAAATTCGATATCTTTCAATTTAGATTTCATAATCATTTATTAAAAAAAGCTATGCTTATTTTCGATCACTTTTAAGTATGAAATTATATGTATACTAGTAAACATGTAGAGGGTGTTCGCGTGACATGAATAATAAAAAAGCGATTGTGAATTATTTATTGGATAACAGGTTAACGTATAGTTATACACCCATAAATGTCAAAATGGTTATTTTCCTTACAATGGAAATTACCACCTGTTTTGATTTTAAACAATTCCCTTTTTGTGCTTGAACTTTAATAAATCCTTTTTGTAAACTATGTTTGTTTTAATGTTACCGATTTCATGACTTTTGTAGGCGATTTGTTCTAAATGTTAATACAAGCGTAAAATCTATAATAAATAAAGAACTCACCTGATAACCTGATTGTTTGCCATGAAAAAATAACGAGATGTGGTATGATTGGCAGAGAGAAAACTATACATAAACACCAAAAGATAACATGTGAACAGTTACAGACTATTATACGGCCTTTTACAATGAGCAAAACCAATAACGATACCAGTATACTGTCAAAAAGAGCATACTGAAAATCTTCAGTGACGATCGATGCAAATTTAACTTTATGCAAATATTGAAAAACTGAAGAAGAAAAAAAACAAAAGTTAGCTAGACCATTTTTCGTTATTGTAGTTGGCCGATAGGTCTTTAGGTCTATAGAGCAGAACATTGATTAAATGATTTTTATGGTTTTAATGCCAAAATTCAAGACCCTGTAAACCGTACCGACATTGAGCACTGACTGAAAGGTTTTTTTTCGAGAATATATATAAGATTTAAGTTTACAGTTACTATTGAAGGCATAAGTTGTTATTAGAAATTTAAAAAAAATGATTAAGTTATATACAGTTGTGGTCAACGGCAATCTATCTTTCGGAAATCCATTAATGTCTTCTATTGTATTATGGTTAACGACCAGAAAGTATTACCATGAATGGACACCACATATGATCAACGATGTTCGGTACTTATCTATTGTCGAAGGCCATCTGGTGCATTAAAATTGTACCGTTGATGTTATTAGGTGCCATTTTGTCTTCAGTCGTCAGCCATGTACAACTGGTTTTTAGTCGACGTAAAGAAGACCTTCTTTCTATGGTGAAGTTGTCATATAGGGTTCATAATGAATGTTCTTTTGCGATGTATGTCAGACTTTATTTTAACATATGTCCTATTGTTTTTCGGTCAGCGGTCACATCAACGATGCAAAGTAGACTTTCTTTCTGTTGAATAGATGTCTTAATGGTCTTCTGTCGTTGGTCATAGGAACGATGCATGACATACTTTATCTATAAATAATATGTCGTGTTGGTCTTCAGTCAGCAGTCATATGAACCATGAAATAAACTCATCATATATACCAGGCTTAAACTTTTGTTCGCCAGACGCGCGTTGCGTAGACCTGCCAAAGACTCAGCATGGACGCTCGAATAAAAAAAGTTAAAAAGGCTGAATAAAGTACGATGTAAAAGAGCATTTAGGACCCCAAAATTCCGAGAGGTTTTGTCAAATACAGCTAAGGTAGTCTATTCCTGGGATAGAACATCCTTGGTATTTCAAATAGTAACCTTTTTAACTAAAATCTATAAACTTAATGTCCTATTGATATTTGATCATAGTTGGCTGTTATGTACATGAGCGATATATGGCAAACTTTTTCTGTAAATACTGAGTCGTGTTGATCTTCAGTCAGCAGTCATATGAACCATGAAATGTAGTCTTTCTATCAATGATCTATATACATAATTTCCTATTGGTATTTGATCATAGTTGGCTGTTATGTACATGAACGATATATGGCAAACTTTTTCTATAAATACTGAGTCGTGTTGATCTTCAGTCAGCAGTCATATGAACCATGAAATGTAGTCTTTCTATCAATGATCTAAATATCATAATATCTATTGGTATTTGATCATAGTTGGCTGTTATGTACATAGGCGATGTGTGGCAGACTTTTTCTATAAATACTGAGTTATGTTGGTCTTCATTCAGCAGTGAACTATGAAAAGTAGTCTTTCTACCTAAATTCTATATACATTTTTTGTACTTGATGTCCCATTGGTCATTAGTCTTGGTCGGCTGTTTGGTATACTTTCTTTCTATTGCTTCGTTGTCATATAGATATATGAGCGTTGTTTTGTAGACTTTCTATCTTTTACTTAGATGTCTTATAGGTTTTTATGCGGTTGTAATATAAAAGATGTAAGGTATAATTTCTCAGCATTGTTTAGTTGTCCTATAGATATATGAGCGATGTTTTCCAGGCTTTCTTTTTTATATTATCTTTCCAATTGGTTGTCCGTCGGGATCTTATGATCGAAGTTTTTGAGACTTTTAATCTATATATAAGATCTACCATTGATCTTCAGTCGGCGTTTACAACTATCTTTCTATAATAATAAATAGGATGCCAATTGATATTTTGGTCTTCAGGCGATGTTTATAAGACCACTTATGGCATACCTACTTTTTATATATTATAAGACCCATTGGTCTTCAGTCTAGAAGCATCTTGGCGGCGGTGATATGCTCATTGGGTGACAGACATTCTTTCTGAAAATTAGATGGCACTGCTGGTCATCAGTTGCAGTCATATGAACAAGTATGGAAAAGAATTTTTTTTAGTGGGTTATATGTCGTCCTTTTTGGGCTTCAGTCGGCGGTTATATGATAGATGTATAGTAGACTTTCTCTCTTTAGATTAGATGGGCTATGAGTCTTCAGTCAACAGACGCATGAACGATGAATGGTAGATTGTTTTCTGTAGATTAGATTATCCTACTGGGTTAAAGATAACATCTATAGGAAATGTTATCGTAGACTTTATTTCTTTATATTATATATTATATTGGTCTCCATTTGGCGGTCCGGAAGAATGCATGGTAGATTTTCTAATGAAAATTGTGATTTCCTATGTGATGGCTTCATTCAAGGGTCATATGAACGAAATATGGTAGAATTTCTCTCTATAGATAAGATGGCCTATCGGTTTTCAAGCAGTAGTTATAAAACCAATGATTGGCAGCATTTCTTTCTATATATGATGTCTTATGTAGATTTCAGGCAGCGGTCATGAACACTGAATTGTAAAGAAGACTTCCCATACAAAGATTAGATGTCATTTTGGGTTTTAGCGGTCAACCAATCTATGTATTCTTGACTTTCTTCATACAACATATATGCCATATTAGTCTTCGTGATGGTGACCGTAAAACTGATGTAGTGATGTATGGCAGATGTTCTGTTTATAAAGAAGATGCCATACTTGTTTCAGGTGGTGGTCACACGGAAAATGTATAGTAGATCTTTTTTATGGATACTATGACCAATCGGTCTTTAAGCGGTTGTTAAAAAACTCATCAAATACACCAGGCTTAAAGGCTTACATAAGACTCATTAGTAACGCTAAAATAAAAAAAAATGAACCCGCGTGAAAACAAGTGGAAGAGCATTGAAAATAAAAAAAAACTCCAAAACTAGATCATCAATGGCTGGGGTAGAAAATTCTCAGTGCCTTTATTTAACATACATATTTTGTTAACAGTAAATTAATAAAAAAAAACTTCATGTCAACACAGAAGAGTTGACTACTGGGCTGGTACGTGAAACCCTCTAGAACGAAACGTCCACCAGCAGTTCATGGCATACTTTCTTTCTATAGATTAGATGTGATATTGGTCTTAAGTCGGGTTTCATAGAAGCGATGCCTAACATTCTTACTGTAGATAATATATTTCCTAATGTCATCAGTCGGTGGTCATGTTAACGATGAATGGTTGACAACTATGTCCCAATTAGACTGCAGTTGGTGGGAATATGAACGACAAATGGTATCAATTCTTGAGACTGCATGCCAGTGATACGTAAAACATATTTCCAAAAGTGTCAGATTTCTGAATGACAGGAAAAGACTTTTAATATTCAATTATCATTGATACCCGTTTAGAAAAATACCAGTATGGTGTATATAATACAAAACATGAACATTAGATTTACCCTAGACAGGGAATAAAAACATGGACTTGTTTACTACAGAACCAATAAAAAAAAGAGATTATTTCAAAATATTTAATTTTGTCGTGTTTAAAGTCTTTTAAGAAAGTGTAAGTAGTACAATCTTTCAGGATGCATTCATACATGATTGACAAAATAAAACATACAATGTATGTATTATTTGATAAGCATTTACAGAGATGGAAACTCTATATATTTCAGTATGGAATTTGATAATTATATATCAATAAAAATATACTTATTGGCTATCTCACTGTATTAAGATACAAAATATATGTATATATAGCTATTTATATACAAAAGTTTTGCGTGGTATAAAAAATTAAAGTAAGCAATTGTGTGTGATTAATGACCAACAGTTTACGTGTTGATAAACACCTTTGAAAAAGTAAAAATGGATTTTCATCACAATATTCATGACGATATGTTTTGATTTTAAACAATTCCCTTTTTATGCTTAACCTAAAATATATCCTGCTAACAACTTTTTTTTGGAGTTTCACGTTTCTGATTTCATGATGATTGTAGGCGGTTTGTTTGATATAAATACAAGCTTAAAGTGATGCAGTCAAGATCTTGCTTCTTAAAGTTGGAACAATTGTATTCAAAGATGATTCATACGAAATATTTAGCAATCTTTGCTCTTGTAGCAGTTCTGTTTGACTACACAGGTATGTTACGAATATTATAATAACTTTCATAATACAAAGTTACTAATGTTGCTGTATTCGTGTTGACAAGTAAAATAGCAACTATAAGAGGTTTCAAACGATATTTCATAAAAAATTGTAAATATCGAAAAACTGTTTTCTTGATGAATTTTCGCTTTTTGATTTGGTTCTTTCTAGTTATGTTAGAATGCTGTTTCATTGATCTATACCCCATGCATATTGAAAACTGCATTGTTTTAGTTATAAAAAAATATTAAACGGTACAATTTTACTACACCTAAGATGTGGATTTCGACAATTGATGCCTCGACATCTGATAATCCAAAACCACATTTTAACATTGAAGAGTCGATAAAACGAACAAGGGATCAGAGCATTGCATGAGGTAGATACATTCCTTAGTTTCACTGAAATTGTATAACCGCAACTTTCAATAAAGCAAAGTCAGTATTACAAGACAGAACTGAAGTACTGTACTGCTGGTCTGGTAATACCCTCGGGATTAACAGTCCACCAGCAGAGGTATTGGCCCAATGATATTAGAACATTAAACGTTACCAGTTCTACTTCACCGGTGATGCGCATGTCCACAGTTAATTTATTTGAGTGTGGTTTGAGGCCAACATTTTTAAAAATCCAAAATCTGATACATTTGTTCAATAGCATACCGAAAAGAACCAAAACTATAGCCAAACCTTGGCAAAGAATCAAAGCTAATGAATTCCTTAATTTCAACGATTTTTAAGTTTTATTACAATATCCGTAATTTCATTACAAAACCGAATTAATGTATGTCACTGGGCTTGTGATACACCCCGGGACTAGCAATGTACTAATTCTTGATTTAACACAAAAAAGTATACCTTTATAAGGAACCTGTAATTCAGTGGTTGTTGTTGGTCTCTGTCTGTCATATTTATTTGTAGTTTATTGTTTTTTTTTATAAATCAAGCCTTTGGTTTTTCTTTTGAATCGTTCTCGTTTTGTTATTTCGGGACCTTTTTCAGCTGAATATACTACATGGTTTTGCTCATTGTTGAAGGCCTTACGGTGACATTAAGTTGCGTACGTCAACATCATTTGGACACTTGTGGATTGTTGTATCATTGGCAATCATACCACTTCTGCTTATTCTTATGTTGTCCATTAAAGACCGAAGGACAAATATGTGATACCTATCCAAGAAAACCTTTTTAGGATTATTATCAATATCATTATTACCGTTGCTATTATTTGCACACTGTAGATGGAAACTGTCATTTCCCTGAGGAGCTGAAAGGAAGCTGGAAAGAACCTAGTGGAGATGACACTTTGCTACAATTCACTAGTGATGAATTAACTGGTTTTAAGTTAAATGTTCCTAAACTATCCCAGTCAGATTTTGAGTGTATAAGTTCTCGTGTTGACGGAGACGCAACAAAGTACATGTTAAGGTAAGATTCCTACGAAGTACAATTATCCATAGTATTGATATAGTCAGTTTACCAAACCAAAAGTTGCAGTATCAAAGTATGCATTTTTAAAATGAATTATCAAACAGGACACATTACATGATAAAGTGAATGATAAAAACTCGTTATTTTGATGAGATTCCAGCAAATAGACGACATGCAGAGATTGGTTTTATATATGTATATAACTGTGAAATGCATCACTGTGAAGGTAAACAAAACTAGATTTAAACACGTTGTATGTTGTCTTTTTTCATTCTAATATCCGCCTCACTATTTTCGATATTTGACGGCGCTGTCCAAATCTTCTGTAGTATTAGTCCACCTTCATTTTAAAGTAACGCAAACTTGACGTCCTTGTGCATGAATCTTAAAAAAAGAAATAGCTTATGTGTTCTTGTACAAATGTAACCAAATAACAGCTATTAGCCTTCAAGTTTAAATTGTTTGCATTTTTTTCTAATTCTAATTATATTATGAACATAGGAAGTTTATACTGTTGTTAAATATGGTGACGTGTATGTTACCCTTTTGGTGTCTTTTAATTTTTTTGTGGTTGCGTTGGTGTCTCTTATTATCTTATCTATCAATATTAATCTTCACAATGTTAAATTATAGAGCAAGAGACTCTGTCACAGTATTTGGAGTGAGACCAGCACTTTACATGTGTGTAGAAATACAAGAAAAGCAGAATATCAAGTACTATGCCATCGAAACAAGTATGTATGTTGCCATTTATTGAATGAGTAGACATCAGTATCGATATAAACATTATCTTTTATAGAATGTCCCATAATTACAACCGTAGACACAAATGCCAGCCTGGTCATTTTAATGGATTAATATACGTAAAAGATAACACACTTATAATTACAATCATTTAGTGTGTGCCATAAAAAGCAAACCTTAACTAAAAGGAAAAATATGAAAATGTATACCAATCACAACGAAAATTGCTTTTGGTAGTCATGTTGAATAGCTGACCGAAACTTACTTTATTCATATTTTACTAAAGGCCTCATATAGAATATCTCATGTTAATTTAATTTGGTTTTAAATATTGATATAATTTCATCATAACGGATCACTCAATCGATTATCCCTATGATGTTGGTCTTGTAGTTATTCGAAATGTAATCGAAAGTGGACCAATGAGAATCAATAATTCCATGTTTATGTTTTGTTTTGTTTAGCTTTTTTTTGTTTTTTTTTTTGGGGGGGGGGGGGGGGTTGTATGATTATGATGAAATTAAAAGAATAACTAACGAAAATATCCTCTGACCATGGCTTGGTTTGCTACGATACTGTTCTAGAATATCATACGAATAAGGATAATAACTTGCGCTTATTGGCAAGTATATAATTTGTCCTGTTATGTTTTAAATAGAGAAAGATCCTATTTTACAAGACAAGTTGTACGGCACAGCAATAAATGAAATACCAGATATAGAAAAGGTCTGCAATCTGAGTGACCAGGAAGGTATTGTCATATTAAAAGAGTCTGGAAATGGCCCCAAACAGACAAAAAGAAAAATTACAAACATTAATAGGTAAGTACGAAAGTAATATACAAACACCAGTTTATGTGTTGATGTTTCTTGTGTTTATTTCTGAAACAGAATCTTTCTTAACTTCAAAAACACCTGAATTCACAACCTTTTGTTTAACGTTTAGGCATACTCTTTGATTTATGTTTACTGTTTTATAGAAAGTTGTTTGAAACTTCGCGTTTTACTTTTTGGTAATGATACGTTCTGTTAATAATCGACTTATAGCATTTAAAAAAAGATAAGTCAGGGAAATGAAACACACACATACGTGTAAAAGTAATGCAATTCCAGATATGTATATATATATATATTATACAATGATTATTATACAATGATATATTAACACGTGCTTCTATCTGCATGGAATTAACAGTTATGCATAGAATCACATAATATATAATGCAGGATAATTCGAGAAATATTTATAAGAAAAAAACAGAATAGTAAATTTTACTTTGTCTTCCAATACAAATAGTTTGATTTATTGTTACATGACTAATATAGCAGCAGCTTTGTTTAAATATTGATCTTGAAATTCTAATTATGTTGCAGAATGCAATTCAGATTGTAACAATACATATAGTATTGGCATGTTGATAACTTATTCCTTAATCTACTTTCTAATATAAAATAGTAAAAAGTAAAATAACAAAAATACCGAACTACGAGGAAATTTCAAAACAGGAAATTCCCTTATCAAATGGCAAATTCAAAAGCTCAAACATATCAAACGAAGCGAATGGAAAACAACTGTCATTTTCCTGACTTGGTACAGGCATTTCCTTGTGTAGAAAATGGTGGATTAAACCTGGTTTTATAGCCAGCTAAACCTCTCACTTGAATGACAGTCACATAAAATTCAATTATATTGTACCAGTCGCGTAAAAATATACAAGAATGACGTTTTTCGAGTAAAAAGTTATTCCAACATGTATTGACAGTTGTGCAGAAACAGAAGTTTAGAAAGAAGAGTAATTAATTATTGCATATTTTACCTTTTCAGCTTGTTAAGCCAGTTAAGACTAGCTCTTGAAAAGAAAGATGACAATTTTGACATTAAGAAATAATTTTTCTGTGATGATTTGATGCCGATATGACTTCACTCAGCGAGGATTTGATGCCTAAACATATATACTCTTGATGTCTTAACTTGATAGTCTGCGATAACTTAATATCAACAGTCTATACTCTTCGGTGATTTGATGCCCAAAACGTATATAATCTTAGATAATGTTATGCCTGAAAGTATATTCTCTGCGATGATTCAATACCCACAACATATACGTTGCGATGATTTGATACCTATAGTCAAAACTCTGCGATTCCTTTATGCCTATTGTCTACACTCTGCGATGATTTGATGTCCATTGTCTACACTTTGTGATGATTTTATGTCCATAGTCAATATTCTGCAAGACTTTCATACCTATAGTATCTTCTATGTAACTACTTATATTAAATTATAATACTTCATAATAAAATTATATTTGCCATAACATTTATCAACATTATTCCAAATGAAAACAGGAATTAACATTTAGAAAATGTTAGTCAGTGGGATACTGTCTGATATCTTAGTCTGGGAAAATATTGTCCATTAGTTGAAATTGGCTTTGAACTGTAGATTTCAACAACTGCGAGTACTCTAAGATCGTTACTTCTGTCGTTTTGTTCGTTGTATTGTGCTTAGTACCGATCTGATTCATTCGAACGCCACTGACGAATCCCATGTAGACGAAACGCGCGCCTGGCGTAACAAGTTATAAACCTGGTATCTTGAATGAGTTTTTTCAACCACTTGGTCGATTCCACTGCTGGTGGAAATTTCACCAGCTCATTAGTCAGCACTTTTGTGTTGACATGAAATATCATTAATATGTTTATTTTTTGTAAATTCAGGAGTTTGTGGTATTAATTGTACTTCAATTTCGTATTTGATTTGGCCTTTTAACTTGTTTTATTTGAGCGCCACTCATTAGTCTTGAGCAGACGAAACGCGCGTGTATCTATCAACCAATTCGTGATGGTGACTGTAAATCTTATCTAATGCCGATTAAGTAATTCTTGCTCGTAACTCTGTTAGAGCCGATTTTGTGTAAGGAGCACACCTCCTCGAAGTGAAGTCCGTTCAGTGTGAACACGCACGAGCATAAAGTATCAATTTAGATCTGTAAACACCAAACGATAGGGCAGAGAGTATGTAAACAAGTAGAACAAAAATACCAAAATCCAAGGCAATTTCAAAAAGGGGAAGTCCATAAAAACTGACAAAATCAAATGCTATCAATCATCGGAACGACGACAAAGGGGGTTTTTAACGACCTTGACAACCCATGAGGGTATTGCACGGTCGGTATCATCGGAACAAGTGAACAACAACAACTGCCATATTCCTGACTTGGTACAGACATTTTCCGAAGAAAATGGTGCGATAAACCTGGTTTTATAGTTAGCTAATCCTCCCACCTGTAAATGAGATATAGGAGTTCAACAATTGCAATATCGAGGAAAAGATCAAGATATGAAGTAAAACTTCTAGTTTCGATAGTATCCTTAATCTTAAGATCACTGGAATATATGAAATGCAAGCACGCACTGAAATGTGGGTTATTGAGTGAAAGGATAACTTCAATATACAGTGTATCTGAAAGTAATATAAAAACACCTTGCAAAATGTTTTTCGTCTTTTCATTGACTCGGTTCTATCTGTATGCGTTCTGCTTCATAAGTTTACAAAAACAAGTCGGTCAGTAGGGGTGTACAATAAGTACCCATTGGACAATTGACTGTCTGTTGAAATATAAATCCACCAAGCTCAACAAATGTGTTGTGGATAAAAAAGTTTGATGATACCATATTCGGTGGACTTGTTGTTGGAATCAATGTGGTTCTCCAGAAAGGAATCTTTTTTTGTAACCTAAAGCAAGGAATTTATATCTACGATTCATATTTTAGTACAAAAGCTCTCTCTAATGAGACGAGGTGGTCGATTTCTTAATTGAGCATTGGAAATAGTTGTGAAAAGCGTATAAAATCAAAAGTTTTGGTATTTATGCAAAATTATAAAGATTGTGATTGGAGATTTTGGAGTAGATCTTTAGAATTCACATCTGATTCATTGTCTCCGCTGATTGAATATACATCATCACAATGTTTCTGGGGCCATGTTAACAGTAACTGTAGAAAAATGGTGGTAAGAACTTAAGAAAGATGTTTTAAATTAATCGAAGATCGTAAAGACCCGACTGTTTATCGGTCCTTATAAAGATTTTTGTGCCGTTTAGATATCCAGTATAAGGACGGGAGATTTTCGTCGTCCTTTCTGATGTTTATACCAAAGGAGAGGGGGCGCATTTGTGATTTTCTGAAATCTCGTTCGTGAATGATGTAAGGGTTTATGTGGGATTCCCAGTTTCCATGTGAATTCCAAACTCTGTAGTTACCCTTTCTAAATAACGATTTTTGAATATAAAAAGAATATTCTTTAACGCTTTGTCTGCTGGACCAACAACACGTTTGTCAAGAAAATATGATAACTCATCTATAATCGCAGGCTCTTTGAAAGGGTTAGAAATCCGTGTGCTCATTTTACATTGCAGCTTTTGAATGCGCTTCTGAGCTTTCATCCATTCAGATAAATTGTTCAATTTTGAATAATCTGGCTCACGCTTTACCCATTTTCTGGCATAGTCTTCCAAATGTATCCCTCGGAAACCTAAAGTTCTTCCTCCAGGTGGTGGGCTGGTAATTCAAAATTTCTGGCCTGTTGCTAATAGCTAACATCTCTCTCAGTTGTTCATTGCTTACGATGCCAAGGTGTCCAGTTGTAACAAAGCAGCGGGACTTGTTTGTATGGGCACGATGAACAAGAGCAACCGGGAGGTTTGGATTTTATATCTTTGAGAGTGAAGATCTAGAATACCCTCTTGAGGTTGAAATTTTTATGCAATAGGTTCGGTGTATGTTAATGAAATGACAGGTATAGTTTTATCTTTGATGTAATCAGGTATACTGCACAGATTTTTGATGGAATATATTGCTAACATTAATAGCATTCAAACTCGTATTAATAAATTCTACCCCTAAATACTACGTTTTTCATCATCTTTGGAAGTAGTTGTCATAGGTTTAAACAGCCTGTGGAAATCAATATCCATGATTATTGCAACCAATCTGTACTTAGAAGAATTTGTATAAATAACGGAGGTGTGGAGGGTCTCTTGAAACAATGAGAACAGTTTAGTTCGAATATAGCGAACCAAAGGTTTTTAGCAATGGGTAACAAACCATTAATAGACAAAGTGTATAGGATGGAACTGGTGTATATTTCCGATGACCACGACTCCGCGTTGAACAAAGTTGGTAAATAATTTTAATTCGTTAATATCACTACACCTTAATTTGAAAAAGACAAAATATCTACAGCATCAATTCTGTCGTTGCATCCAATAGTAATAGTTGGTCCCAATTCTAGAATTCAGACATTTTCTCTTTATAAGCAATATGGTATACTCAATATGGGGTCGTTTGTTGAATGATAGAGTCGATCTCTATATGATCCCAACTTTCGTAGAAAACAATGGTGTGGTCAGACTCGTTAAAGTGCTTAAAGAGAAATACTGTTCTCAGGATCTTTAACATTAGACCGATGATTATTCGCTCTTTCTGTAAGTCATTGCAGTGTTTCACCGACATAGACCATTCCAGAAAGAGTACATTCAATAACGTACACAATATTAGAGGCAAAATTAATAAAATTCAAATCCTCATGGCTACCGTATATTGTAAAATTTGGTGGTAAAGTTACTTTAAAACACTGGTATTAGTAAAGAGTATACAACAGTTTTTACAGTTTTTACTTTTAGTATTACATATAATGCAATTAAGTTGTCATTGAAATTTAAAATATCTGAAAGTTGTTAAGTACAGGGCCGAAAATAATTAGACTTAAGTTTGTCTAAATTTTTGGAGTACAAAGAGGAAACTGAAACTGAACACTGAACAAATGCCGTATTTAAGATGATCATAGGAACAAATAATTCATTCGGAGTTTTTGTTTCCTTGACGACCTCCCATCCAGTATATTAGTTAGCACGGTGTAGCCGGGCACGATGACATATTCCCTTCATCATGCTTCAACGTGAAGATATAATTTTTAAATATTTCGTTTCATATAAAGTACACAATCCGGTAAATGTCCTTTACATATGTCCAATGGTGGATGGAGCACTAGCGCTGTATATAAAGAGAGCACATGTCAGTCTACATATGAAAATATGGTTCCTCTTTAAAGGGGGTTTAAAGATAAGTTAGATTAGATTAGATTTTGTGTACTCGTCTACTAATATATCTTAAAAAATGTGGGTGATTAAGCTATTGAGACTAATCCAATCTCTAGCGCTTGATGATGTCCCTGTCCAAAAGTAAAAGTTCGATCATTTTAGATATTGGGATCGGTTTCCTAGTTGTTATTTTTCAAAAGAATGTGTCGAGTTGAAATAAAGGGACGAGTTAATACAGCTTATCTTTTTTTTACTTGTCACATGACATACATGTGACTTACACCTGTACTGGAGAATCTCTCATTATCTGTTTAGTTAAATGAAATTAAGCCCAGTAAGTTTAGTTGCCGGTCACATAAGAGATGTCAATTGTTTTAATATTTGCAGACTGAAAAACCTTCCTTTAGCTATTAATTGTATCAACTTCAAGGTTGATGACCCCTTCTGTAGGCTAGTGGAAATATAATTTTAAAGTGTTATCGGAGAACAATATATGTAAAACACAGAATGGAAGTGACGTGCCATTTTGTACATATACCAAAGAGAAACGTTGTTCAAAGCAAAACTGTTAAATATTTCATTGCATTCAGTGGCGGATCCTGAACTTTTTATAAGGGGGGGGGGGGGGGGGGGGGGGGGGGGGGGGGGGGCAGGCACTGACTGCCATAAGAGAAAAAACAGGTGAACAAGCAAACTCAGTGTAAAAAAGAAACACCTCTGAAAATTTTAAACATCAACTTTCAGTCACTTAAAAATAAAAGACAAGAATTACAAGAAATCTTGATATCAACTAAACCTGACATCATCATAGGTACTGAAACCTGGCTCAACAAAGACATATTATCATCTGAATTTTTCCCAATGATAGACTATACTGTATATAGGAAAGACCGACCTCTAAGCGATAAAAATCTTAGCCATGGGGGTGTACTTATTGCAGTAACAACAAACTTACTATCTGAAGAAATTAGAGATCTACAAACAGACTCAGAGTCTATTTGGGTACAAATAAATATGACAAATGCCAGAAAGTTAATTGTTGGAAGTTATTATCGACCTCCATCTGATAATGGCACATCAATTGAACAGCTTAAAATTTCACTAGATCGCATAAACCAAAATACAAAATCTACAATCATTCTTGGTGGCGACTTTAATCTTGGGCACATAAACTGGGATATTCCATGCACCATCCCGAGCAAACCAGACATCAAGCTACATGAACAACTTCTTAACCTTATGAATGAACATTCACTTGAGCAGATTGTAAAAAAGCCCACAAGGGGAGATAGAACACTTGATCTCTTTTTCACCAACATACCAAGCATAGTGAACAAATTGGAAACTATGCCTCCTATCGGAAATGCAGACCATGATATCGTCTATGCAGAATGTGCACTATCTCTAAAACGCAACAAGAAATTGACAAGAAAAACTTACCAGTATAGAAAAGCTAACTGGGAAAACATCAAACAAGATGTGAACAAACTCACACAAGAAATCAAAGGTCATTATCATAGTTCATCTACCGATGATCTATGGAATACATTCACAGAAAGGCTACTTCAATCAGTCAAGAAAAACATCCCCCAGAAGACAATCACAAACAAGAAAAAACTACCCTGGGTTGATAACACCTTAAAAATCATGATAAACAAAGTTAAAAGACTACATAAAAAGAGCAAAAACAGTCCAGATCAAATGAAAAAATACAAAAACTTAAAAAGAACATTACAAAAAGAAATGCGTAATGCCTACTGGAATTACATCGAAAAAATGATATTTGACCTACCAGTAGAAGAACCAGATGACAACATCAGAAAAAAACAACCTAAGAACTTGTTTACATACATCAAAAGTATGAAAAATGACAATACAGGCATTGCTGCACTTAGAAAAGATGGTAAACTAACTGATAACACATCTGACAAAACTAACATCCTAAATAGTCAATTTAAAAAAGCATTTTCCGAAGAAACAACAAGTGAACCTATTCCGGATAAAGGGAAATCAAACTATCCAAAAATGAATAACATCACCATTTCCAAGAAGGGTGTAATAAAATTACTGGACAAGATCAATCCTAATAAAGCAACTGGTCCAGATCAAATTTGCGGAACAGTACTTAAAGAACTTAGTAGTGACATTTCAACTGCAATCACCTACATCTTTCAAAAATCACTTGACAAAGGAAAAATCCCAAAAGATTGGAAACATGCAAATGTCTGTCCTGTTTTTAAAAAAGGTGATAAACATAACGCAATAAACTATAGACCAATATCACTCACATGTATACTATGTAAGATCATGGAACACATTATAGCCAGTAGTATGATGGACCACCTAGAAAATAACAAAATCTTGTACGACCTTCAACACGGATTCCGAGCATCTAGATCATGTGAAACTCAACTAGTATCATTCATCCAAGAACTAGCAAAAAATAACAACAATAACATTCAAACTGACATAATTGTGATGGACTTTGCCAAAGCATTTGACAAAGTTCCTCACAAAAGACTTCTATCATACTGAAATATTATGGCATAGAATACAACACCTTAAAATGGATAGAAGATTTCCTCACATCTCGCACACAAACAGTCATTATTGATGGTGTTCAGTCAGACAAAATTAACGTAACATCTGGTGTTCCCTAAGGAACAGTTTTGGGCCCTATCCTGTTCCTTGTGTATATCAACGACTTTAATGAATACATCAAACACAGCACCCTAAGATTATTTGCAGATGACAGTATAATTTATAAAACAATACGAAACAAAGAAGACACACAAAAACTGCAAGAGGACCTTACATCAGCAGCAAAATGGGAGAAGGACTGGCTCATGTCATTCCATCCAGACAAGTGCTCAGTCCTCCAGATAACAACCAAGAAAAACCCATTAAAATTTGACTATACTCTCCACCAACATGTACTGCAAAAAGAAACATCCACAAAATATCTGGGCATTACTATACAAACTGACCTAAAATGGAACAAGCATGTAAACAACATCACAGCTGCAGCCACACAAAAGCTGAACTTCATTAAAAGAAATTTAAAGGTAAATTCAAAAACAGTTAAAGAAAAAGCATACATAGCACTAGTAAGACCAAAGCTAGAATACAGCAGCTGCGTCTGGGACCCACATACCAAATCACAAACACACCAACTTGAGATGGTCCAGCGCAGAGCAGCAAGGTACACATGCAACAGATACCATAACACCAGCTCAGTCACTGATATGCTGCAAACACTAAATTGGGCAACTCTTGAGAAAAGGCGAATAAGAACACGCATCATCTTCTTCTACAAAATCATACATCATCTTGTAGCCATATACCCGACAGATCTACTCACACAATCCGATACAAGAACACGACAACATTCACATATTTATTCTTTCAGACCCATACAAACCACTAAAGACTCATACAAGTACTCATTCTACCCAAGAACAATCTTACAATGGAACCTTCTCCCAGTAACTGCAGTTCAATGTACTACTCTTGAAAGTTTCCGAGAACAGATTCCAATATCTGTTCTCAATAAACATCTAAACATTTAAATAAATTCTACAATGTATATAGTTTTAACCAAAATGTAAAGTACAAAAACAGAGGAAAAAGAAATTAAATTTTTATTTTTGTATATTATTCACTGTAAATAAAAATTAGATCCCACGCACGCGCGGCATAGTAAAATCAGTGCCCGGCACGTTATCATCAGTATGTTGATGGAGTGCTGAATTATAAAGAAGAAGAAGAAGAAGAAGAAGAAGAGTGGATCAGCTACAGTCGTGCTTAAGTGATTCCCAATATAATCAACCAAATATTTCCCACAAAAGGGGGGAGCCTGGCCCGCCAGGGCCCCCTCCCTGGATCCGCCTATGGCATTTATTGGAAAATGGGGATTTGGTGGCAATAAAGCCAAGATTTTTGCAAAAAAACCACAGACTTTATTACAGAGATTTTCGGCATAAGATAACTAAGATTGTAAACATAGATTACTTACTTGTTTTGTGCATGATGTGCTAGCGCATTGTCTACCAAAAGTCCTAAACAACCTTTACCATGTTTACAATCCAAAATACCTCATGCTAACTTGATAAAGAAAAGGGAAGACAAAGGAATACCCCAGACAAAAGATTTTGTAAATTATGTAACAATGACATTGTTGAGGATGAAATGCATTTCCTTCTTCAGTGTCGCTCACTTAGAACTGAAAGGTTCAGTTTCATTTTAGATTTATCTTCTAAATTTACTTATTTTAAATATCTAAATGACCAATCAAAATTTATATGGTTGATGTCAAATGAAGATCCAATAGTTAATAATATAATGATAAAATTAATAGATAGTTTAATAAAGACTAGTACAAAAAATGTAGAGCAAAATTAAGTAATAAGACATGAGTGGCCCCCAGCTCTTCCTTCAATAATACAACGGTACTGACTGTGTTTACTCACTCATTATCTTTGGGAATACACTGTGTTGTTGTCTCCCTTTTCCTATATAGTTTTAGTTTTATTGTAGTTTTTCAATAAAAAAAATCATCACAATTATTTGAACACTTTAATTCAAATTAATTGTTCTGCTCCTCTGGGCGTCCGGATTGACAAATAAAAATTGTTGTTGCTGTTGAATAACTTGAAAGCCGAGAACACCTTAAAAGGTGTACTTGAATAAGTCCATTTTTATACTTGTTTTAACCAATATCTTTATTTATATACTTGTTATAAGGAAATCATTGCAAGCCTGCATGCAATAATCCTCTTTTTTTGAATTGTCTAATATAGGAGCATAAGGGGAACGGCTGTGGATTTTGTTTATAACATTTCCATGTTTAGCATTGAAACAACAAAAGGGGACATTATCCTTAAATGTAAAAATGTATAAGAAGATGTGGTTACATAATCTCATACTTATGACAGAGTTGTCAAGTCAAAATTTTCATAAACCAGGCCTGATCAAGTCTGTACGTATGATTAACATGGAGACAACTATCCACTAGGGTCCAACTTATGTGGATGTAAGCAAATATAGTTCACCCTATAGCCCTCAGTGGTGATAAAAACCCATTATATACTAAATATAGTCCAAGTATAAAAGATCCGACATGACAAAATGTGAAACAATTAAAACGGGGAAAAAACCATCAGCCTGATTTATGTACAAAAGATAAACATAAAACAAATATGGTAGACAACGACCAATCACAACATCTGCCATTACAAGCTCCTGACTAACTACACCACACCACAGTGACATACAGAATGTGGCAGAGATAAACATGTTTGTGAGCGCCCTTTTCTCTCCCTAACCTGAGACACAACATAATAACATACTGAAAAAATCAATTGAAAAAGGCTTGACTCATCAGATTGACAAAAAGCACAAAAAATAAACTAATAATTAGAGACAAAAGACCCAAATTACTAATTCAAGAGTACTCACAGTTACTGATATTTAGTTCAAAAACAATTTAAAACTACGATAAATCATCTCCCAAACTAAAATATTAATCAGTACACATCCAACAGATTTAGTGTAAAGACATCATATACCGTCTGAGAAAAGCATGACCTTTTGCAATGCCCAAAATAAAAGAACTTTGTATCCATAATGACAGGATGTAGGATCATAAATGATAATAACTGTATAGCAAAACATATTTTGTGATGCTTAAATTTGTTAAAAATAAAATCAATGTTAGTACTGATAAAATCAAAATTCAAGATCTTACTAGATTGATAACCTTTATGGATAAGATTATTCAAAGGGTCAATGAGTTTACATTGATCCTATTTAAATTTTTCCGTTCTATAAATAACAAACAATAAAGATTACTTGAACTAATATATAATGTAAACTGATTAAATTCTTTTAATAGTAGTAGCAAACTGTTTGAATCAATATATTAAAATTTTTGAATTTGTTTGTTTTGTTCCTAAATTTTCTCCCACACAAAGCTATAATGGCATTGTTGCCTGTGTATTAAAAGACATTTAATACTTTGTTGTATGTATCATATCTGCTTTGAGATCTTACCTGGACACAGGTATGCAGACAAAGTTTTGGTTCATTAATTATAAACTTTTTATTGAAGAGAGTATATGATTCTTTGGCCATCTTGGATTGCAGATGACAGAAAATTATCGCTGTAGATTTTTACTTAAAACTAGTACATTTTGTTGCAGATTTAATGTAATTTATATGCATGACTTTTCTTTTAACTTTTTAAAAAATGAAAATTTTTCTATTAATTCAAAAGTTGTAAATACTAATAGGCTATACTAATAATACTTAAAAAGGATAAGATGAATCGCCAGATAACATATTGTACAGTACAACAGACCACAACAACCACCCACATCTGACAACTCAAGACAGACAACAAACCACAACCAAAGACAAATGGTCCAGACATTCCCAAATTGGCATAGGCACAAAATGTGATAGGGTTTAACCAATTTCATATATGCACAAACATCCCCCTTACATTATCTAGGCCAAATACTGTTGTTCATGGGATACCAATTTTCGTTGATTTCATGGGGATAGGGAAACCAAGAATTTAAATGTTTAAGGAAGTGTAAATTTTCTATAGGCTCAGTATACAAACTTTTGCAAAACCACAAAATCAAATATCCATCAAAATACAATTTTTCCTTAATCCTCGAAAATTGGTACCCAGCTTATATCTGAAATCCCATATAAATAAACCTTCTATACTGTATATTTGTGACAAATCTATTTTTTATTTCAGGTCAATGTTGATTATTTTGATAGTCTCCTTATTGTGTCCATTTATTTGGTCACTAGATAATGGATTGGCTTTAACACCACCTTTAGGATGGCTGACCTGGGAAAGATTCAGATGCCAAACCAACTGTAAAGAGTATCCCAAGAATTGTATCGGGTAATTATTTACAAATACTTCATCAATTATTTCATTCTTTAAAAATATATCCACACAGGAGGCAGTTGTGTATAGAATCAATGTACAGTACAATGGCTGTTATCAGGGTTAATTCTTACTATGGCCTTAAATACATAACATTATAGTTTGATCAATTAAATAATAAAAAGAAGAATTTTAGTAAACTTTCTGATAAAAACAAATTAATTTGGCTTTTAAGCAATGAAGACACAGACATCATTCATATAATTCATAAACTTTTAAAACAATTGTCCAAAGAAAGAGATGCACTAATGAATAATTGACTTAAGATCTGTCCCCTTTATTATTATTTTTATTATTATATGAATTGTTTGTGTTCCAAGTGGAATCCATATTCCCTGGTTTCCATTCACCAGTATATTTTCATGGAGTTCTTTTCTTTAATAAATGTATATATGATGAATGTTTAATCAACTTAATCATTGAAATCATGTTTAGTATTGTATGTTTTGTCTTGTAATCATAATTAAACTGTAATTATTCTATTCTAATACAGGCACTATATTTGTATGTGTATTTGAAACAAACCCATAAAACTCTTGACAAGCATTTCCCGTTAATGGGATATTAAATTTCAAACAATTGCCATTACAGCAAATCTGAAAAATTGCTTCCTCAGTAAAAAACTTGTCAAACTCTATAGATTTGATACAAAATTCTTTTATTCATTCAGCATGGAAAATTTTAACAAAATATTTCATGTTCAGTAAATATGGTAAAATTTCAAATAATTGGCCCCCAGAATTGATGGATGTTTTCCGTCTGTTGGGAACTATATGTTAATGTTTGGCTGTTATTTGTCATAAGGTGACTGTCTCGTTGATATTTACACCTATAACACTATTCATTCATATAGATTTGGCTGAAGTCATTCACCTCTTAAAATCTTTGATGTACATTATTCTAGGGAAACATTGATTAAGGAGATGGCTGATGTTATGGTATCTGATGGTTACAAGGACGCTGGTTATGAATACATTATCATTGACGATTGTTGGCCAGCATCAAAGAGAACATCAGCAGGCAGATTACAAGGAGACCCTGAAAGATTTCCAAATGGCATGAAGGCTCTAGCTGACTATGTGAGTTATAGATGTAGTATATAAGTGTTGATCTAATGAATATTATGCAGTTTTGAAAAAAAATGTACTTCTTGAACTGTGTACACTGACCTATAGTTTTTAACTTCAACGTCATTTGGTCTCTGATGGAGATCGATCATGTTGTCTCATCGGTATTAGTTTTCTTGTTTGAATTATTTTACATTTGTCATTTTGAGGCCTTTCATAGCTTACTATGTGGTGTGGGTTTTGCTGATTGTTGCTATAGTTGTTAACTTCTACGTCATTAGGTGTCTAGTGCAGAGTTGTCTCATTGGCAATCATACCACTTCTTCTTATTTTTATATTCTTAATTCTTAAAGTTGTATATTTTTCATTTTGACAATCACTTGTACGATGGATGTACATGTGAAGAGTAAAAGTGGTATTTATTTATTCTGTAGTGCCTTTTTAAATATTGAGGAAAATTGTCTTCTAGTGAGTGTCACTAGTTAAGCTGGAACTGGTGACCCTTTCACCCTCTGTTTTTTCTGTACATTTTATCTGTATTTTGTTTTTGTAGTGTTTTGTTAACTGTAGTTTGCCTGGTGTTTTTTTTTTCTTTTCATTTGCCCATTACGTTGTCTTTTATTTTTGCCCTTGTGGTTTTGACTCCCACCCTTTGGTAGCTTCTCCCCATTTCAGTAAATTTATGTTGTTTATTCTGTTGAAAAGTATTGAATTACCTCCCTTTATAACAAAAAAGAAGATTTGGTAAGACTGACCATGTGACAACTACCCACCGGAGACTTTGTATATATATTGCCTATTCTATTGTCTCATTCTGATATAACAAAGTGTAAACAAATTGGACCAAAGACCCAAATTGTAGCAAAGAATTGTTTCTGAAACAATGGTCTGTAATGAAAATTTAAATTTATATACATGTATATGCATATTCTTTTTCTTTAATTGTTTAACATTTCATACAGATATTACATGTTACTTTTATTTTTCTTCCCTTAGTTTATTTATTTTGTATTAACATTGTATCATAGGTCAAATTTATTTGTTCAGTGTATGTTCAATGGTGTTAATATGTCCTTTGATTGAGTTAAGCTATTTCAGTTGATATTTTATAGTGTGTCTTTCTATGTTGTGATGTTACACTATTGTTTCAGAAAAAGGGTGAAGGTTTGGTACCATTAAAACGTTTAAACCCACTGCATTTGTTTGCACCTGTCCTAAGTCAGGAATCTGATGTTCAGTAGTTGTCGTTTGTTGATGTGGTTCATAAGTGTTTCTCGTTTCTCGTTTTTTATATAGATTAGACCGTTGGTTTTCCCGTTTGAATGGTTTTACACTAGTAATTTTTGGGGGCCCTTTATAGCTTACTGTTCGGTGTGAGCCAAGGCTCCGTGTTGAAGACCGTACTGTGACCTATAATGGTTTACTTTTATAAATTTTGACTTGGATGGAGAGTTGTCTCATTGGCACTCATACCACATCTTCTTATATCTATATATGGAAATATGAAATGTAAATGAAAAATGACTAAAATGGGGAAAAAATCATAATCAATGCCATGAAGTTTCAAAGATCTTGGTTGTAAACTGTAGGAGGAGTTGATTGCACAAAATATTGGTAGCCTAGCAAAAAATATACCAGCTTGGCAGTACACAGAGAATTTTTTTTTCCCCTATTAATACAACATCTATCATGTGTATCACATCAATTAGGTAAAGAATTGCTCTTAAATGAGGGTAGTAAGGATAGGCCCTTGGTACAGAAGGGTATGTGTATTAAAGAATATGAACAAATTGATTTCACATTCAATGACAAATTATTGTTTGCTTGAACAATATTATTTGTTTTCCTTCCATAAACTCAGCAAATATATATACATGTATAGGGCCTATCATCATATGAAATTAATATGTTCAAAGATAAGCCACTATCCTAGACAACTAATACAGAAGACATCAGTGCAGGTGAGTTTTGAACAGTTTGAATAAGTATCTTGTTTACCTATCAGTATCTCATTAAACCCATGAACAGGGGAGACAATAGCTGCTAGATGTGATCATTATCTGTTCCCTCCAATATTCCACCTGATTTTAACATACCATTCCTTAATCACTTAGTTTTTGTTTTGTCAGATACATTCCAAAGGACTAAAGTTTGGTATCTATGAAGATTTTGGTAAGAAGACATGTGCTGGTTATCCTGGCAGTGAGTTTTACCTGGAGATGGATTCTCAGACGATTGCTGCTTGGGGTGTTGATTTTGTAAAGTTTGACCAGTGTAATGCTGACCCTCATGACATGAAATATGGTAAGACATTTGTTGTACACAATTTATTTAATGCACCATTCAGTATTCTAACTAGTTTGTACTTTTCTCTTATCCTTGGCTTCCAAAATTTAAAATCTCATATACCGTAGTTAAATTCAGTTGAAATGGATTGTTTCTCCCATGGTATATTTTACATACTAATTTTCTTTATGTCAACAGTTAACATTTATCAAAGCTATAGCCTTCAATTAGATCACAACTTGCCTAATTCATGCTAGTTTAATTGTCGAGCCTGCGACATCTGTAGCAGAAAAGTCAGCCATAGGGAAAGTGATCCGGGAGCAAGAATGGTGGCAGCAGCAGCAGCTGCGGCGTTTACTAACTTCTTAAAAGCTTAATATTTCAGAAGGTAGAAGACATGGATGCTTCATACTTTGTATATAGATGCCTTATGTTATAAAGTTACCTTCTGTCATATGTCCATTGTCTTTGACCTCATTTTCATGGTTCAGTGACTACTTGAAAAAAAGTTAAAATAGAGAATGGAAATGGGGAATGTGTCAAAGAGACAACAACCCGACCAAAGAGTAAAAAACAGCCAAAGGCCACCAATTGGTCTTCAACACAGCGAGAAAATCCCGCACCCCCGGAGGCGGACTTCAGCTGGCCCCTAAACAAAAATGTGTACTAGTTCAGTGAAAATGGATGTCATACTAAACTCCTAAACATATAAATGAACTAAAATTAAAAAAACATACACGACTAACAAAGGCCACAGGCTCCTGACTTGGGACAGGCGCAAAAATGCGGCGGGGTTAAACATCTTTGGTGAGATCTTAAGACTTTTTGTAATGTTAATTTCTCTCTTATTATGAGTAATAGGATAACTATATTTAGTATGTGCGTACCTTGCAATGTCCTTATACCTGTCAGACAGTTTTCTCTTGACCTTTCATTTCATGGATCAGTGAACAAGGTTAAGTTTTCGTGGTCAAGTCCATATCTCAGTATTTATGATGTACATGTCAGTCTGGCAGGTTTTATTTGACCATGACCTCATTTTCACAGTTCTTTGCTCTATGTTAAGTTTTTGTGATTTGTTCTGTTTTTTTTAATACTTTAACCAATAGTTCAACTATATTTGGTGAATGGAATGATTGCAAGGTGTATATGTCTGTCTACCGGGTATCATATGACTTTGACCTCATTTTCATGGTTCAGTGGTCAATGTTAAGTTTTCCTGTTTTAGTTTGTTTCTTAGATACTATATGCAATAGGTCAACTATATTTGATCCATGTAATGATTGTAAGATGTACATGTTTAACTGGCAGGGTTCATCTGACCTTGACCTCTTTTTCATGGTTCATTGGTCAGTATAAACTTTTCATGGTTTGGTCTGTTTCTTGTATACTAGAAGCAATAGGTCAACTATATTCAGTGTATGGAATGATGGAATAAAGGTGTACATGTTTTCTGGCTTGGTTTATCTGACCTTGACCTCATTTTCTTTGATCATGTTAAGTTTATGTGATACTTGTAGTAAAACTTTATATTTAGGACTATCAACATAAAATCAATGCTCAGTTAAACAAGCGAGACTTTTCAGTGTGTGCACTTTTGTTTCAATTAGTTATGGATTTGCCTGATTTAATTACAACCATGTGTAATTATTAAAATTAACTATTTGCAGTTTATAGACCATTAACGTCACAATGTTTTACAATTATTTTACTATTAAGTGAATCTTCATATGAATGTTTGAAACTATGTCTTATTTCTGTTGATTTAATTCTCATGCTGATTTGTGGCCCTTTGCAGCTTAAAAATGTTTTTGGAAACAAATTTGACTACAGTATGGTAGTCTGTGAACATAAGTGTTTCCATACTTTAATCTAGATTCAAAATATTAGTTAAGAACATCATTATTAGTTCTACACAGGATTATTGTCACAAACTAACAGCTTTTAAGGAATACCTAGATACCTACCTCTACACTGTACTATTGTTATTACTGTGTTTCTTATTGGTAGGTTATCCAGTGATGGAGTTTTTTATGAATAAAACAGGAAGACCAATGCTGTTTGCTTGTGAATGGCCTTTGAATAACTTAGTATCTAAATTCAAGGTATGTACTTATTTGGCGAAAGTTATTTCAGACTTATTATTTATCCCCCTTTCTAATACTGGTTCCCTACAATGCAGGGAAATAGTGAGAAGTAGAAATAAAATAGTTTTTTTACTTCAATATATATAAGTATTTTTAATAACTTGATTATTGATTATAATACACATATTACACAAAAAATATAAAGGAAATATATATATATGCTTCTCTCTTATGCTTTAAAAAACTATAGCCAGGAAGGGAATAAATTGTATAACAAAAATTACTAACAGGTTAAGGTATCTGACTGAATTCCTTGATTATGATCTGAAAAATATACTGAAAACTCATAATAGAAAAACAAAGGATATGGGGTATCCATCCATGACACAAAATCAGTACACACACAACAAAAAACACACAAAAAGCAAAGGAACAGCGCTTTTATTACTGTTCTTCATCTCAAAGTCATAGTGAGGCCTTCAACACAGAGCACAAAAACTCTCACCTCACTGCAAGTTTAAGATGGCCCCTAGCACCCTCTTGAGCAGAATTCTTAAACTCTTCTTTTTCAACTTTTACCTTTTCCAGTAAGAGTGGGAAAAAAATAATTACTTTGTTTCAACTAACTATAAAAACAAGAAGATGTTGTATGATTGCCAATAAGATAACTCTCCACCAGAGACAAAATGACATAGAAGTTATCAACTATAGGTTACTGTAAGGCCTTCAACAATAAGAAAAACCCATAACGCACAGTAAGCTATAAAAGGCCGGAAATGTAAAACAATTCAAAGAGAAAACTCACTGCTTGATTAAAGAAACGAAAATACATATATGATATGCAGCAACAAACAAAAACCACTGAGTTACAGACTCCTGACTTTGGACAGGCACATACAGAATGTGGCAGGGTTAAAGTACACATTTCTCATTGGCTTGTCAGAACTAGGAAATCAAGCATTCATGGAAACATAGTTTTTCAACAATCTATAAAAATTGATATCCACAAAAGTAAATGAATCCACAATGTCAGATCTGTTTATAAGTATTGTACTTAACTGAAGGTAAAATTTTTAAAAATTATGAGATAATAATTCTAAACTTTCAACCGATTGATTTGTTGAAGGCAAGTTAATAAGTCATTTGGTTTTGAATTTATTTCAGCCTGATTTTGCTGCCATCAGAAAGACTTGTAACATGTGGAGAAATTACAATGATATCGAGGATTCCTTTGATAGTGTCGTTAGTATCATTAATTACTGGGCCAAAGATCCATACAACATGTCATCATATGCTGGACCTGGGGGATGGAATGATCCAGATGAGGTGAGTACAAATTATTGGACCCAAAGGTTGTAATGATCTGGCCATGGTGAAGTAAAATCACATCATTACATACTGGACCAAGATTGATGGAATGATCCAGATGAGGTGAGTACAAATTATTGGACCCAAGGGATGTAATGATCTGGCCATAGTGAAGAAAAATCACATCATTTCATACCGGACCAAGATTGATGGAATGATCTAGATGAGGGAAGTAAAGATATAAAGATGTTACTATGACTTGTTAGATTGAATGCTCCAGAAAAATCTATACAACATGTGACTGTATATGTATTGTTTTGTGTGTGTACTTATTTTCACTATTTTATAGGTATTGCTGGTGAATTTGTGTTTATTTAATTTTGTTGTTTTTCAGAAATAAAGCAGCATATAATTTTAGTCTTTTTGTACAGTAGAATGCCTGTAGGGATTAATATAGAATGTCAATCGTGAGTAAAGTTTGGGTAATACCTTTATATTTCATTCTGGATTTGAGAGACATTTTGTTAAACAATGGATGTAGCTTTGTTTTAAGATTAGTGTGGGAGGTTTTGGTTTAAGCCTTTCTGTATTTTTCAGATCATTTGTTGAAGTCTTTTTCATGTTTTATTATCTTGGAAGATTTTGGTTTCAGTTTTTCATTGATTTTCAGATTATTGTGGGAGATTTTAGTTTAAGCTTTTCCCTGTTTTTTAGATCATCAGGAGAGTGTTTGGTTTTTAGTATTTCTGTGCTTTTCAGATAACTGTGGGGGATTTTGGTTAATGCCTTTCCATGTTTTTCCGATTTTCGTGGGAAATTTTGGTTTTGGTTTTAGCCTTCGATCTTTTTCAGATTTTCGTGGGAAATTTTGGTTTAAAATTTTCTTTGTTTTTTAGATTATAGTGGAAGATTTTAGAGTAAAACTTTCCATGTATTTCAGATTATTGTTGAAGATTTTGGTATAAGTCTTTCTGTGTATTTCAGATCATTGTAGGAGATTTTGGTTTAAGTCTTCTTGTTTTTCATATTTTTGTTGAAGATTTTGGTTTAAGCCTTTCTGTGTATTTCAGATTATTGTTGAAGATTTTGGTTTAAGTCTTCCCATGTTTTTCAGATCATTGTAGGAGATTTTGGTTTAAGCCATGACCAAGAGAGGGTACAGATGGGGATGTGGTGTATGTTTGCTGCTCCATTACTCCTGTCAAATGATCTGAGGAACATCAGGAACAGTTCTAAAGCTCTGATATTAAACAAGAGACTCTTAGCTATCAACCAAGATCCATTAGGAATACAAGCCAAAGCTTTTAATCTGGTATTTAGTATTTTCATGTCAAAATTTTGTAGAGTTATCTCCCTTTTAGTGGAAGCATATCAAAACCTTTCCCAATGATATTCAGGATTGAACTGTACTATGATATTCATACTTATTAGATCCTAACCCCTTTGACAATCAGAATTTTACTGTCATCCAACCATATTATTAAAACATATTTTCCTCATAGAAAATCAAATGTCTGTTCAAAGAATAAAGTGAACAAAAGATTTCCATCTAAATACTTGCTCGAAGGAGGTAATTCTTGCTGAAATTTTTTTTAATGAAATTAATTTTGAACATTTACTATTTCTTTTAATTAGTTATATAATGTCGTGAGCTTTGTTTAACAGCAAAGAACAAGTTGTACATTTTATTTTCAAAATACAGATTTGTTTTACAGAATTTTTAAATAAAGTATTCAAAGGTGATGTTATATTTGAAAATGGTAAAAATTTGAACCATAGATAAAATAATTAAATTGTTTCTCTAAATGAGTTTGTAATTTGTGCAAAAAAAGCACTGTAAACCAATTAACTAATTTTCATGACTTTCGTGAATAGAAAAGTAGAGGGATATAAATTGTCGTCAATAATTAAAACTTAGATCTTTTCTTATTCAACTATATAAAATAAATTTGAAAATCTTGAAATTTTATCACAGTGGAGTGAGCTAGAAAGGACTAAAAGCGAAACAAAGTATCCGTGAAAATAAGTTGGTTTACAGTAATAGATATAAAAGTTTGATATAAATACTTTTAATTTAGCCTGTTTCTGTTTTTACAGGGCTATGTACAAGTATGGACCAGACCAATTCTCCCACTAGGAAGTAAAGCTGTAGCTGTACTGTTTGTGACTGATCATTATCCTGGGAAAGGTGGCAATTATATCAAAGTTACATATCCACTGTCGATGTATGGGATAACTGATGGAAAACAGTATAATATCACAGAAGTATTTGATGGTTACAGCATGGGGACACATAATACATCATCTGTACTTACATTTAATGTTAATCCTACTGGTATATTTATGTTTACAGCAAAACCTGTATGAACATGTTATATTGTTGTACACATGTGTACAGTAAAACCTGTAAAACATGTTATATTGTTGTACACATGTGTACAGTAAAACCTGTATAAACATGTTATATTGTTGTACACATGTGTACAGTAAAAACTGTATGAACATGTTATATTGTTGTACACATGTGTACAGTAAAAACTGTATGAACATGTTATATTGATAAGTGTGTTCACATCTTACTCATTTGATAATGGTAATATGTAGAAATTACCATACTGAATCTCTGGGTTATTACAAAATTATCACATCCAAAATAAATATCATGGCGGATCACTGTAAAAATATATATGCCATTCTTTCTTCATTTTTTTTAGATATTGAACAGTTTCTTTCATTCAATATAAAGTGAAACCAGGACAAATAGAATCCATATGTGCTCACATGGTACATGTGTCACAACCTGTTGAAACCAGGACAGATAGTCTCAAAATATGTTTTAAAAGTCTTTGCATGGTATCAAAAGAATTCCGAATAAATACATTCCTATTAAGATTTTGAATGTGCTCTGTCCCAGTGTTATGTTATCACATATCATTACAGCTTTTCAAATCTATCTAGTCTCTGTCCCAGTGTTATGTTATCACATATCATTACAGCTTTTCAAATCTATCTAGTCTCTCTCCCAGTGTTATGTTATCACATATCATTACAGCTTTTCAAATCTATCTAGTCTCTGTCCCAGTGTTATGTTATCACATATCATTACAGCTTTTCAAATCTATCTAGTCTCTCTCCCAGTGTTATGTTATCACATATCATTACAGCTTTTCAAATCTATCTAGCATTATCTAGTCAAATGAAATGTTGTAGACTGTCGCTTGTCTATTTTTTTGGCACAGTTTTGTCTGATTCTCTTCTTTTTATGAATTTTGATTTTCCCTTTGGTATCTTCCACCTTTTTTTATTGTTGTTTGTTCTATTCTTAAATTTAGTGAATTTTTTACTTCAATATAACTCAACATGAACTTTTTCCAAGTGCAATCTTGAATTTCAGTGAATTGTTCGCTTTTCTCTCTGGTCAATAGCCTTATTGTGACATGGAGATGAAGACAAGCAATTAAAGTAGTTCCATTGCTTTGGGATTTGTCATGTGGGATACAGATTTTGTGTCATATAATACAACAACCATAAACTTGTTTTTTCAATTATAACAACATATTTTATCATCCAGAACATTATATACTGTTACAACATTTCTGGCAAGTTCAATTATCCTCGTATTATGGGTTTTCGTGCTATTTAGAATGCATTGTGACTTCACAATTTCTATTGAAAAAGCATGCATAACACGAATTCATATGACGTACGAAAACATATGATCTGACGATAATACTAGAAATATTTTATTGCCTTTTATCATGAATAAAGTTAAGGATATCAGTTGAATCTGTCCATTCAGAATATGCATGAAATGTATGAAATGTTTGCCACAAAACATTTAGCAATCAATAGTCAATCAGTTTTATGTGTTTTTTGTGATTTGTTGAGATTAGTTATTTTATGACTTATACGTTCATTTGCATAATATACTCATATGAAATCTCACATTGTAATATTATGGTTTATTTACTATGATAAATCTCACATTCACACAAGCTAGAAATGGTTTTTTTTCTAGACTATGAATTTCAAAAATCTATCATCTGTTCCAAAAGGGAAAACTGTATATGTTATTTCAGATCAACCAAATGAATTTCAAAAATCTTATCATATATTCCAAAAAGGTGAACTGTATATGTTATTTCAACCAAATAGCAGTCAACATAAAACAGCAAAAGACCAAATCTTGCCGAAACAAATACAATTTATTATTAAAAAAAGTATTTTTTACTGAGATGTGATATGTATGTAATGATTAGAATTTATCTCAAGCATTGCAAAAATTTGTATCCATAAATAAAAGTATTTCATGTTATTTGAAATTCCATATTTATATTTGTTTATAGTCAATATTTTTTGAAACTCTTTTTTCTTGTTTTTATATTATTACACTTTATTTATTTTATACTGTCAATTTTTCTGTAATATTTCTATTCACAAAAAAATGTACTTTGAATAAACATATATAAAGTGCTGTTAATGCTTTGAACCACTTTAAATGCCATTTTCCAATCAATCAAAGACCATAAACTCCTAAATGGTAGAAGTGAAAATCATCAATATCAAATTTAACCTCAATTTTGTCATCAGTAGCAACATATAAAAATTTGAAAAGCATTGTTTGAACAGTTCATAAATTATTGCATGGAAACACCCAAGAAGTGCCACTTCTAATCAATCAACGATGGCGTAAATTATTTGTATAAAGCTTTATATTCCAGATGGTAGAAGACCTGGATACTTCAAACCTAGTATGCAGATACCTTATATTATGAAGGATCTGTCTGTTATATATCCATTGTCCTTGACCTCATTTTCATGGTTCATTGGTCAATGTTAATTTTTCATGGTTTTGTCAGTTTATTGGATACTGCAATAGGTCAAATGTGTGTGTTGTATGGAATGATTATAAAGTGTACATGTCTGTCTAGCAGGGTTCATATGACCTTGACCTCATTTTCATGGTTCATTGGTCAATGCTGAGTGTATGTGATACTTGTTATAAAACCTTCATATTAGGCTTTTAACATAAATTCAATTACAAGTAAATTTCAGTGTGTGCACTCTTGTTTAAACTGTATCAACCAAAAAAATTTCAGGTCAAATTAAATGAACTTGATTAACATGTATGATATGCACCTGTTACTGACTTGACTGTTACATTATAGTTACTGTTTATGCTGGATGTATAAATGGCTACTAACATCTAGTGGAAAATTAAATGCATGTTCAGGACGAGAACATGATAATGTGATATGAGTATAAACCCTGTTTTGTACTGCACCGACAAGCTGAGCCAGATTTTAAATGTGCTAGTTCTCAAGATAACAGTCGGCAAGTAGATATGTCACCATATCCAGAGTCATTATTCTGACTCTGAGCTGACCAGTCCTTTCTCAGAAGTTACTCCTAAGGCAGCCTGCTAGGCTGAGAAGCAAGCAGCAAATATCAAAAAGTAAAATAACAAAAATACCGAACTCCAAGGAAAATTCAAAACGGAAAGTCCCTTATCAAATTGCAAAATCAAAAGCTCAAACACATCAAATGAATGGAAAACAACTGTCATATTCCTGACTTGGTTCAGACATTTCCTTATGTAGACAAGAGTGGACACGCTGAAATGTCTCGCCTTCTTTACTAATCATTGATATTATGTTGATAGTCCTAAATATAAAGCTTTATTACAACTGTCACACAAACTTAACATTAACCAAGTAAACTAAACATTGACCAATGAACCATGAAAATGAGGTCAAGGTCAGATGAACCATGCTAGGCAGGCATGTACAGCTAACAATTCTTCCATACAAGAAATATAGTTGACCTATTGCTTATAGTATGAAAAACAGGCCAAAACACAAAAACTTAACACTGAGCAATGAACCTTGAAAATGAGGTCAAGGTAAAAAAAAACCTGCGTGACTGACAAATAGATCATAAAATATTTCCATACACCAAATATAGTTGAACTATTGCATATAGTATTAGAAAAAAAGACCAAAACTCAAAAACTTAACTTTGACCACTGAACCATGAAAATGAGGTCAAGGTCAGATGACACCTGCCAGCTAGACATGTACACCTTACAATCTTTCCATACACCAAATATAGTTGAACTATTGCATACAGTATAAGAAAAACAGACCAAAACACAAAAACTTAACTGTAACCACTCAACCATGAAAATGAGGTCATGGTCAGATGACACCTGCCAGCTAGACATGTACACCTTACAATCTTTCCATACACCAAATATAGTAGACCTATTGCATATAGTATAAGAAAAACAGACCAAAACACAAAAACTTAACTATAACCACTGAACCATGAAAATGAGGTCAAGGTCAGATGACACCTGCCAGCTAGACATGTACACCTTACAGTCCTTCCATACACCAAATATAGTAGACCTATTGCATACAGTATAAGAAAAACAGACCAAAACACAAAAACTTAACTATAACCACTGAACCATGAAAATGAGGTCAAGGTCAGATGACACCTGCCAGCTAGACAAGTACACCTTACAGTCCTTCCATACACCAAATATAGTAGACCTATTGCATACAGTATAAGAAAAACAGACCAAAACACAAAAACTTAACTATAACCACTGAACCATGAAAATGAGGTCAAGGTCAGATGACACCTGCCAGCTAGACATGTACACCTTACAGTCCTTCCATACACCAAATATAGTAGACCTATTGCATACAGTATAAGAAAAACAGACCAAAACACAAAAACTTAACTATAACCACTGAACCATGAAAATGAGGTCAAGGTCAGATGACACCTGCCAGCTAGACATGTACACCTTACAGTCCTTCCATACACCAAATATAGTAGACCTATTGCATACAGTATAAGAAAAACAGACCAAAACACAAAAACTTAACTATAACCACTGAACCATGAAAATGAGGTCAAGGTCAGATGACACCTGCCAGCTAGACAAGTACACCTTACAGTCCTTCCATACACCAAATATAGTAGACCTATTGCATACAGTATAAGAAAAACAGACCAAAACACAAAAACTTAACTATAACCACTGAACCATGAAAATGAGGTCAAGGTCAGATGACACCTGCCAGCTAGACATGTACACCTTACAGTCCTTCCATACACCAAATATAGTAGACCTATTGCATACAGTATAAGAAAAACAGACCAAAACACAAAAACTTAACTATAACCACTGAACCATGAAAATGAGGTCAAGGTCAGATGACACCTGCCAGCTAGACATGTACACCTTACAGTCCTTCCATACACCAAATATAGTAGACCTATTGCATACAGTATAAGAAAAACAGACCAAAACACAAAAACTTAACTATAACCACTGAACCATGAAAATGAGGTCAAGGTCAGATGACACCTGCCAGTTGGACATGTACACCTTACAGTCCTTCCATACACCAAATATAGAAGACCTATTGCTTATAGTATCTGATATATGGACTTGACCACGAAAACTTAACCTTGTTCACTGATCCATGAAATGAGGTCGAGGTCAGGTGAAAACTGTCTGACAGGCATGAGGACCTTGCAAGGTACGCACATATTAAATATAGTTATCCTATTATTCATAATAAGAGAGAAATTAACATTACAAAAAATTCTTAACTTTTTTTTCAAGTAGTCACTGAACCATGAAAATGAGGTCAAGGACATTGGACATGTGACTGATGGAAACTTCGTAACATGAGGCATCTATATACAAAGTATGAAGCATCCAGACCTTCCACCCTCTAAAATATAAAGCTTTTAAGAAGTTAGCTAACGCCGCCGCCACCGCCGGATCACTATCCCTATGTCGAGCTTTCTGCGACAAAAGTCGCAGGCTCGACAAAAATGGTGGATTAAACCTGGTTTTATAGCTAGCTAAACCTCTCACTTGTATGACAGTCATTGTATTATAATCGTAATCACCATAAAAACAAACAAATATGTTAACACAAAATTGCATATAGACAATGCAGCGTGTTACATTTGCGTAAAAAAAAAACATGTTTGCACAACAAAACGCAAAACGTTTGCACAATTAACCTGTTACAAAGTCACTATGTTTGTGTGGATTAATTAAAATAATTTATGAAAAATAAACCTGACTTTTTATAAACAAATTTACTTATAATTAAAAAACAAACTGCAATTAATTTCTAATGCCTAATGAAGAAACAAAACATACCAATGATGGGCCAGAGTCTTTTTCATAGACATTACTATGAACAGTTGTATTCTACTCATCCAGCCATCTACACCTTCATTAAGATTATAGTATCGACTAATTACATTAAAATTCTCGGTAGTGATAACCAAGCTCTTGTAAAGCGCACAGATAAAGAGAAAATTCAGTTAACTGTTTAAAAATTTTTGAAATTTCAAACAGGGGAAATTTCCCGCCATTGTTATCTGAAATCTCTAGTGTACAAGTACCAGGGAAGGACTGATTGATAGATGGTTCTCGTAGATATCATATATATGTATACCGTGTTTTATTCATAACTATACTTTGAATGTTTTTTTCCAGGACATTCACTGTATTTTATTCAAAACTTTTCTTGTACATAAATGAAGTACAGACTTTTCTCATATATATTTATCAATTTAATAAATAAGAAGATGTGGTTTAATTGCCATTTTATCTTCAAAACAATAAACTAAAAACAAAATACCAACGAGATAACTCATTTTCCTAAAACAAAAACGTTAAATTCAGGTTATTCTCAGGATTTAATCACAGGTAAATTTACAGGTAAATTTGCGCAAACGTATAATGCTTGTCATATTCTGATTCCAAAATGTAGGTTGTCCAGACAAAGCACATAAGCAATAAAAGAACAGAGTTCCAATGTCCCCCGCGTTGCACATATTTTATCTATCCAAAGTACAAGGGCAATAACTAAATAAAACACTTTTTTTTTGTAGCGCTTACGAGGCCATTTTCAATAAATTTAATATTTCTAAGGGCATAACTCTTTTTAAAAACGTCGATCGGCCACCATTATAAAACTTGTCCAAGATATTGCTGATAGTAACCTATAGTATAAGTTTTATAAAAATCGGGCAAGAATTGTCCCTGTGAGAGTGCTAACAAGACCGGACGGACGGACATACGGATGGACTACTGGCAAGTATTTTCATGTCCCCCGCAGCGCGTTACGCGGGGGACAAAAATGAAAGAAAGGAATACAAAAAATGACCATAGCACAATAACACAATGGTGGAATGTATAAGTACTGAGCCACGCTAAAAGGATATTACCAAAAATGGATTAAACAGTAAAGGTTAATAATTTACAAAGACAAATAAAAGAACACTATAACACGTAATTAAGATGATAAACAACGTCAGTACAGAGAATCTATACTTCAAGACCATCATGTATTATTTGTGAAGTTGATACGGAATACATGTATTTATCAACAAGGTCTTGATATCTTCCGATGAACTTATTTTAGAAAAAGGACGAGACTATCTTTTGACATAATCCTGGTTCATCAACTTTCTGCTCAGACACTGGTGATGTTTTATAAAGTCTGAGTAGCAGCTGCAAGCTCTTGAATACCAATGAGTTGGGAAATGTATATCTTATATGCAGGTGAAGTTGGTATATTGCTACTAAGGTGAGGGAAATTGATAATTTCAAAATTGAAATCCTCTTGTATGTCATAGATTCTGGTACTGAGATGACCGTTTATGTCAAATTCAAAGTCTAAAAATGAGGTGGAGGAAGCCGTGTCTGTTGTTTCTTTAATTTCTAGTTCTAGAGGATATACTAATGGAATTGTTAAAGGAAAGAACATCATCAATATATCTGAATGTGAAATTAAATGATCTGGCTTCTTTGTCTGAAAGAACTCCGACTCATATGAAAATAAGAAGAGGTCGGCAAGGAGAGGCGCACAGTTTGTTCCCATAGGAATGCTGACAATTTTTTGAAAAAGTCTACCTCCATATTCAACAAATATGTTGTCAATAAGAAACGCCAGCATACTGATCACTTGTTCCTCTGTGTAGCGTGTTTTACCTTTTTGTTCACTATTAACAAAATATGCTGTATGGTATCCCAAAGTAATAAATTTATAGCGTATGCTACCATTTTTATATTAAAAAACATTGTGGATTTTATCAATTTTCAAGTCCTGGCCAGGGTTCGAACCCACAACCTCCCACTCTAGGCAAACACGATACAAAGAGACTACAGAGCGGTTGTAAATTTATATGAAAACCATTCCCCATCATGTGTGTGTATTGTTGGAAGGATTACTACATTGTTAATATATATAGACCGTACATTCTTTTACAAGATGACAGAGGAAACATAAGAACTTTATGATAAACATTAATGTGAAACTTGATCAGAGTCATTACTCAAATAAACCACATCTCTTTTGATTTAATGAATGAGAAAACTTATTTACCTGCCATGTTTTGCTTTGATGTCTTCCTAAACTATATACTTTGAATGTGTCGATCTTGTGTAAAATATAGGTGAAAGTAAAACCAGTTTTACTTAAAGGTCCAAAATTAGTCCAGCTGGAATTGTTAGTGCTTGGATCATAACTTCAACACAAAACCTACCAGAATCTCATCCATAAACTGAAAGTGACCCAACATATAAACATTTGAAATAATGCTTCGCTTAAATTAGGTGTTATCTATGAGGAGATGAACAACAGACACACTATACCAAAATAAGGAGATGTGGTATGACTGTCAATGATACAACTATCCATTAGTGTTGTATTTTGTTAGCAAGCAAATAATATAACCTTATATAACATGTCTCACGAGAAAACTGACATGTCAGCAAGGCTTGCACATTTTTATGTGAGGTAAAGAGACTGAGGCTCTTTTCACAAAAAATCTTAAGAGTAAAAATACTCATAAGTCATACACATTTCAGTATAACTTACGATCAATTTTAATCGTAAGATTTTTTGTGAAAAGAGTCGCTGATGCATACAAAAACAAATGTTCATAGGTTGTCAATTTTCATAAATTTTGACACCAGCAATGAATTCAGGATATGTTCTCAATTAATATATGTTTTGTTAAAATCCAAGCACTATGTATTAAGGTGGGCAACCAAAAATTTTGACACAGAGAATCATTTTGCATTAGCAAATGAGACTTTTTTCATTTAAATCATAGCAAAAAATATGATTCTCAGAATTTATCATTTTTAACCAAAAAAAAAAGTTTTTAACACAATTTTGACTTGAGGAAACAATTTGGAATGCACATAATGCCTATCTTCATATCAATTTTTGGTGACATACTACCACAAGAAGATATTTCTCAAAATTGAGATTTTTTAACAAAAAGGAACTTTTTATCACTTTTTTTTTATTTGCTAATATATAAACTTAATACATCTATATATAATTTTTTGTTAAAATCCTACTATAAGAAGACTTTTCTCAAAATTTGTGATTCAAAAAAAATAATAAAACAATTCCAAAATAAATGAGTTGATTTTACCAAAATATAATATGCACATCTTCATATTATGAACGGGCCTTGGTGGCCCAGTGGTCTAAGTAGTTACTACTGTAATCACTAGCCAGTCAACACTGAGGTTGTGAGTTCTAACCCCGCTCGTGCGGCTGCACTCGACTCCAATCTTAATTGACTAGGATTGTCAGTTTTCCTATCTAAGGTCTGTGGTTTTCTCTGGGCACTCCGGCTTCCTCCACCAATAAAAACTGGCCGCCACGAAATAGCCCAAAAGCGGTGCTTAAAAGTGGCGTTAAAACACCAAAAATCAAAAAATCAAATCATATTATGAACATCAACATTAGTGCAAAATTTCATTGGCCTCCTACATATACTTTCTGAGTTTTGGCATTTACAAAACACATTTCTCAAAATTTGTGATTTTTAATCAAAAGCAGTTTTTTTTAACAAAATTAATCAGCCGAATTGCATCAAAATATATTATGCACAACAACTGTGCAAAATTTCATTGGCCTCCTACATATACTTTTAGAGTTTTTTGCTTATATAACAGACATTTCTCAAAATTTGTAATTTTTTAACAAAAACAGTTTTTTCTAAAATCAATAAGCCAAATTACACCAAAATATAATATGCACATCTAAATATATTTCAAAACAACTGTGCAAAATTTCATTAATACTTTTGGAGTTTTTTGCATTTACAAAAATTGTGGCCATACAGACAGACAAAGTGCAAACTAAAGGTTACCAGCATCCTCGATGCAGGGCCCTTTATAACATGGACAAAGTTTCAGTAGGGAAAAATCCATACAGGCTTCATTAGTTGACAACACTTAAAACACCAAGGTTGGATGTTTAATGTCAAACAGAAAATCTTTTGAACATTTTATGTCGAGGTTATGATAATGATATGAGATAGAAAACTGGATTTGTTGTAGTTATATATCTCCTCACATTTTGGAGAGTACAGACATTATAAATTAAGATACAATGAATGTATTTTATTCTAAAATGAATGATGTATGAAGATGCTATGTTTGACAAATGATGAATTAATCAGTCTAATTGATTCAAGTCTGTCCCTTTTTGTCGAGATTTGAGATGTGCCTTTATAATCTGTTCATACTCGATACGACCGAGTAGTTGATATGCCAGAGGTAGTAAATGTTCCATCATTGACCTGAAAACTTTATCACCATAGCAAAATAAGTCCATGCCAAGTTCTAAACCTTCTCCATAATCACACTCATCGTTAGCAAACTGTACTAAGGTAATTAATTCCTGAATCTGGTCCATGTTTTCATCTCTTTCTTTGTCTGTCTTACTCTCTGCTACTTTCTTCATCATTTTCTTCAAGTCACCTACAAATCACATAGATTTTATATCAAATGCAGTAAAACACTAACAAAGAACATAACAAATGTTTAATTGTTCCTTATAATGTCCATACTGAAAACAAAACCAGACGCAAAAATATCCTAATATACAGCATACATGATGACCATTTCCAATACTGTTACATGAAGTATACTAGTAGGAGAATATAATGGACTATCTGAGCTATTTCCTTGTGATTTCTCAAAATAATCCTTAAGTTGTTATGGATGTTCTCTTTGGGCTATTTCCATTTTTGTGCCCTCAAATCTTTCATATTTCAGGCATTCCCAACTTTAGTCTGGTCACGACAATGTCAGGTGCTATTTCAGAAACCACAGCAATTGAAGCATTCATTTTTATTGATAAAAGTTCAATTCAGTATATTTTCGGTCAATAGTTTTACAATTATGTGACGTGTGGATTTTAAAAATCTATGACATATTGGTGTATATTTGGATGTATGGTTTTTGTGTAGGGTCAAATAATTTGAGTAAATGAGCTATTACAAACACTTCAATTGTGCAATAAGAAAATGAATGTGTACAAAATAGTTTTGTGATTTAATAAAGTTGAAACTTTTTCGCTTTCAGACTTAATATGCTTTTGTAAGACAAAACAAAAAACATATTTGACATCATTATCATGTATTCAAGAAGTTGTATATCCTACCAAAATATGCCACTTTCTTATAATTTGGGCTAGCTGTATTTACTCTTTTGTCTTTAGCATTTTATTGTTGTGGGAGATTTTCATTTGTTTAACAACCAACAATATTCACTATTCATAATTGCTATCACTATAATTACATTCATGAAAGATTATTTTAAAACATTTTGAGGTGGAAAGTTTCTGACAAAATTCTCCAGAATTAATTTTCTATGCTGTCTAAGTATTTTTTTTTACTTAACATACCTGTTGTTTCTGGGACAGGGCGATAACCAACTTCATTGTCATCAACAGGAACCACAATACCAGCACCATGGAATGTCTTACATACAACCTTCTTGTCACGCTCTTTCATTCCCTTAGACTTCAGGTCTAATGAATATTTCTTCTTCTTGGCCCATTCTATTATCTCATCCTGAATATTCTGTAACTTTTTCTTCTTTGTGCCATCAGTACTTTTAGCTTTTATTTGTTCATCTATACAATTTCTGTAAAAATGTTAAACAATTAGGACCTCTCTAGATAATATAACATCTGACAGGTTAGAAAGACTTCTGTTTCAAAACGCCCTTCAGAAACCAAAATAGTTAATAGATATTTTTCTATAACTTTAACTTACCACTGCCAATACATTGAGTTTTTATACCTTTTAACCCCTCAAACCCCAATGTCTCTAGTACATGCATATATTTTTGGACTAGCCTTGAGGAAATTTAGTTATACCAAGAATTTACATTATTATTCATGGCAAGAAGATTTTCAAAGGTAAAGAAATATATCATCCTTTTTGTAATGTACTTATTTGTTAAAATACATATATCAATATCATACATTAAACTTAAGGAAATGAGTCTATACTGAATATTTATTCAGAAATATAAAATGTGAAAATAGGCAAATTTATTTAAACAATCCCATAATCAAAGGTGCACAACCTCAACAGCTTTGCAAAATTTCTGTAAAGTTCCAAAAATTGTTTCCATCTTTTGAAAATTTTGCTGAAAAATTACTTAGTTCCCAAGTCTAGAAAAATGAGGAAAATGCCTTTAACAATTCCATAATAGCAGGTGCATAGCTGCAACAATAAGCGTGCAGTCCTTCTGTGAAGTTTCAAGGATCTGGACTGGATAATTGTAGTAGGAGTTGATTACACAAAATTTATCTCATCTTTTGTAACTTTGCAAAAAAATGACCAAGTTCCCAAGTTTGGAAAAAATCCTCAAACAACTCCATATCAGCTGCTGGGGATCTCGATTGAAACCTCTAGGAGGATTTGATTACACAAATTTGGTATCCACTTATTCCTGATCATCCGTTCGCCAATCTACCAGACATCACCATACTATTAGCCAGTTTTGGACTTTGTCCAACTAGAAATTAATGGTTTCCTATATACCTCATGTCTATCATATACTTTCTTAAACATAAACTGAACTATTTGAAAAACAGATAAATCCTACATAAAATGTTTTAAGTTGTCAAAATTACAAACTTATAAATAGAAATATGTTTGTAATACTCACTTTATTGCTGCAAATAAGTTATCTCCCTTTGGTAATATATTACAAGATTCAGCTGCAGAGTTAGCTGCAACCATAACAGGCATTTCTGATGGGTCGTCCCTACAAAGTAAAATTCATATAATTAATCATCTATAATCATTAGATAATAGTAATCATTTTAATGTTTGATTAACTGTTTTAAATTTTAGTAATACCAGTCATGACTTTGTTGGATTTTTAGCTTAAATCTGAAACTTTGTAAAGGACCCCATTGGAAATAACCTATGGTTTGAAAATACTCAGCATTATGTTAGGGTATTGTTAGGGTATTGAAGATTCAAAATCAGAGGTTGGATGTTTTACTTTTAATTAAATATTAATTTACATTTTATCCTCAAAACTTTATGTCAGAAAATCTCTCTTCTGACAGGATTAACATGATCAATTATCTTATACACTGTACAATTCTTTTTCTAATACAATATGCACTATATTTTCTAATACACAACAATTTATTTTTTCTTCAAAAGATCAATTTTTTTAAATAGTTCCCAGATATGTTTTGTACAGGTCTCTTGTTAAACGTCCTTTTCTCTCTTTTTCAAGTTTTCTTGGTACCATACTGAACTCTTTTACTTTCAAATCTTGATAAATGTTCAATCATTTGCTTTTTAATATTATCATTTACTGTTTAATAATAAAGTGATAATTCTTATTGTTATCTCCCCTTACCTAAGATAACCAAGGTGAAATTGAGATTTGTTGTCTCCCCTGATAACTGTCATAAATTCAGGAGGATCATAATAGTATCTCCAATGTAGAAGGTAATTAGGTTTCCTGCCATGTTTATTCTTCCTAACACCCTTATGTCGTCCAGCCAGGATATCAAATGGTCCCACTAACTGGTACCCTAATACATCATGTAATGCATCTAAAAATAGTAACAGGAGAAAATCACATATGTTTTGCTGGTTTATATATATCTATATATATATATAGAGAGATTCTATTACTGCATCGAGTGTGATACAATATTTATCCACTCAAGACAGTTAAATATCTAAAATTTAACTGTCAAGTGTGGATAAATATTGTATTGCACAAAATTTGGTGGTGGAATCTGTTTCTATAATGATTTTAGACGATATACAGACAATCTTAATCCTTATTTTTTCAAATGATCTGCAAAAAGGTGTTCTTTCTATGTGACATCATCAGGCATGGTAGCCTTTTTTCATGACGTCACAATAGGAAATTCAGAGGAAAATAAGAAAATTTGACTTCATAATCGAAGTTTGACCAATGAAGAACTGAGATCAAATGAACCACACGTTGATTAAATAAAAATAATCAACAGGTCAGGAAAAGGATGAATCGTATAAGAATTAGAGAAATATGTATATGCATTTGTAAGTACATTATAGATAAAGGATTTCAAAATGTATCAATTCAAGGAAAAAATCTTTAAATTTTGTCTTTTGATATATATGGTAAAAAAACAAGAGGCTCTCAAGAGCCTGAATCGTTCACCTGTAATGTTTTGCTTAAATCTTTCATCAATGATTATTTTTGCTTTTAAATATATATTAATGAGTGGCTTAAAAATCCATTGAGATGTTCTTTGTATCTGTCATATTTTCTTCAAAAGCAAAGAAATACATTTTACCCCTATGTTCCATTTTAGCCATAGTGGCTATTTTTCTTGACGTACAAGAAAATAAAATACAAAATTTATACTAGATACTCTGAAACTCATTCAGCCCAAGTTTGGCTGAAATTGATTCAGCAGTTTCAAAGGAGAAGATTTTTTAAAGTAAGCAAACTAGATAAACAAATTGTGTAAAATTGTCCTCAAAGGGCAATACTCCTTAAGGGGTCAATTGACAATTTTGGTCATATAAACTTATTTGTAGATCTTACTTTGCTAAACATATTTGCTGTTTACAGTTTATCTTTATCATTAATACTATTCAAGATAATAACCAAAAACTGCAAAATTTCCTTAAAATTACAAATTTAGTGGCAGCAACCCAACAATGGGTTATTAGATTCATCTGAAAATTTCATGGCTGATAGAACTTAACCTTATGAACACTTTTACTCGTGTCAGATTTGCTCTAACTGCTTTTGTTTTTGAGATACAAGCCAAAAACTGCATTTTACCCCTATGTTCTATTTTTAGCCATGGCGGCCAATTTTTTTTGACGAAACAGAAATTAAACACAAACTTTATTTTAGATACCCTAAGGATCATTCAGCTTAAGTTTGGTTGGAATTGGTTCAGTAGTTTCAGAGGAGAAGATGTTTGAAATAGTTTACACCAGACGGACGACGACGACGGACGCCAAGTGATGGCTAATGCTAAAAAGGAAAAACAAAAAATATACCCAGTAGTATGTAATATATATACTGTCATATCACAATGTTTGTCTGTATAGATCTATTTTTAATTTTCAAATATTTTACCTCTAGGATTCTTCTTATCAAGATGGCAGCAGAATTCCCAGAATTCAAAGAAATCATCAGGCATTTCAACAAGGAATTTCCTTTTAATATTCTCTGCAACATCATCTGGTGATGGTAGAGATTCTTCATCACTCTCCACAGATTCTTCATCACTCTCAACAGATTCTTCTTTACTCTCCACAGATTCTTCTACATCTTTTTTATCATGTGACTTCCTTTCTTCTAAAAGAAAAAGGACACTGTATAGAAAGACGAGAAGGATTTCTATAATCTTACAATATATCAAATTTAGTCAGTGTGGATATTTTCCTGCAATTCTTCAATACTTGATACCAAAGATAGTAATATGCATTAAAATTCCTTTACCCTTGTTATCATGGTTACTGGATATATAAACGTCTTTTGGATTTTGTATCGTTGGGTTGTTGTCTCATTGACCTACCCTCAACATCTCCATTTATTTGTATTGGTCATTTCAAGTCAAGAATTTGAGTGTGTTATCTTTCTATTCTTTTATTCTTCCTAATACAGTGACTTTACCATTACAACTTCAAGCCACTGAGATTCTGTACAAACCAGTAACTTTTGAAATATTTTCCATGGATGCACACCAATAACACAACATGTTTATACACAAATTTTCAGGTTTAGCCAATAACTTTAAAAATCTAATTTTAAAGATTGCTTATACAGATAATACAAGGACTTTTTAATTTGTTGCTTTCATTTTGCATTGTGGAATTAAAATTAAACATTTTATTAAGCAAATAAAGGAAATATTTTGAATTGAAGTTATCTTCAGTTGTCTATAATTCTACTAGGGAGATTCACAGATTTTTAGAACAGATATATTTATAGACAGCTGTGTCATTGGAGTATTTGTTAACATGTGCAATACTGTTGTTGAATAAAAAAAAGAAGAAGACAAGTACAGTTACTTGTAAATTAAATATCTGAGTATATATCAATGATAAATTTGCTTGACATTGACATATTTAGGATTTGCTTGACATGGACATATTTAGGATTTAAAGAATGTCAATCTCACTTCGTTATAATGTTTGTGCTCTCAAAGTTAGAGATGATGCCTGGAAAATGTAACTACATGTACCAAGCCAGTGAAAATAAGGTTTAAATTGCATTTTTATTTCAATCTTTAAACCAAAAATCTTCAATAAGTTAAACATGATTCACATTATCAACACCTGTTATAATCAATTGACTACATGTATCTGTCTGCAGGTCATTTCCTAACATATCTTATTTACCACTATCATTAGAACTTGATGCTTTTGGTTCATTGTCAGAATCTCTCTCAGCAGTTCCATTGTTAGTCTTTTCTTTCTTCTTTCCTCCAAAGAAATCTGTTATAGTTTTGTGTGTCTTTTCGGGTGAAACTTCTTCCTTCGTTACTTTTTTTGTTTCTTTTTGTTGGTCATCCTCCTTAAAAAAAGGATGAAAAATTTTAACAATTAATTTGCAATCCCCTTTCAATTCAAACATAAACTTGAATATATTGTTCATGCTGACAAGCCAATAAATTGTTACACCTTGTGCTGCTTGATTCAAACTCAGTCTGTAAATAATGCGTTCATGTCTTCAAGAGTATAAAACATGAACATATACATGTACATGTAGTAGCAGGAGAATTGGATGGCAGGCCTAAAACAGGTCTAAGCTCAGACCCTTATAAAAAGTTCTTACAAAAGTTGTTTGGGCACTCTCGCTACAAAATCAAACCAAATATTTATTTTTTTTACATATATAACATCCATGTACATGATGTATCTACATTTGTCATTGTGGGCTTTCTATACGTTATGGGTTTTGATCATTGTTGAAGACCGTACAGTGGGTGATCTATAGTTGTTACCTTCTATGTCATTTGGTCCCTAGTAGAGGGTTGTCTCATTGGCAATCATACCACATCTTCTCATTTCTATATTTAGCTATAAATAAAAGTACAATTCAAATTTTATGTCCAGTGATGCAGCTTCGGTTTGCATCAACATCATTATCATTGAAGATTTCTACGGTTATAAATAACTTAACTTATTTTAGAATATTTTTTAATAAAAAAAAAATGTTGAGTCATTTGCTCAACTGCAAAAGACACCTAGGGTCTAAGGAATCTCCATGGATGAACATTAAACCATTGAAGAACTTTCACTGGGAAAAAAAACCTCAGTCATGCCTGTGCATTGTGATCATAATTTTTGTCCTCTTACTGCAAGAATCTTTTCCTTTCAGAAGGTTCCTTGGATTTTTTTTCTCTAATTTGGTTATTTTGCTAGGACATTAAAAAATCGGGATTGATTTCTAGCGTCAAAATCAAATCAGATGTCACAAACCTATATGGACGATTTTTAACATCAACAAGGAGTTTGTACCCTGTTTTTGTAAAACATTGTGTAAAGATTTTTGGATGGCAATAGTTTAACACTGAAATGACCTAAAATTGCAAATGACATAGTGATAGACCATGCAACATGCATCTTTCTATCTCAATTCTGAATGTAAACTGGATGTATTAAATTTATTCAGATTGTAAACTACGAAATGAATTAAGAAGAATTATGATACGAAATTTCTACAGATTATCAAGTGACAGTTTATATTTGTGTATTTATTTTTACACTTGTAAATTTCTACAGATTATCATGTGACAGTTAATATTTGTGTATTTTAGTTTTACACTTGTTAAGTGATTCAATTTAATCAATAATTGTTGTTATCATTTTATTTGCAAGTCAGGAATATGACAGTTGTTTTCCATTTATTCCATTGGTTAATTTAGTCAAGAGTCTGTTTTCGTCAGGTTTCATGAGTGTCCCCCCTTTTAAGTGTAAACAATATTCTATTGTGAAAATATTAACATAAACATTATTATATAACAGTTTTATTAGGATTGGAAAACAAGTGAATTTTCACTTTTACAAATTCCTCTCCCATATGAATTTACCTTGGAGTTTGGTATATTTGTTCTTACTTTTTTGGTATGAATCCATGATTCGTTTTATGATTAAGAATCTCATCATGTAAATAAGAAAAAGTTAAGGATACATTGCGCCAGGGGGGCATACACATTACAAATATAACTTCTAAAATATACAGTATTTTACATGACATTCATATAATTCACCTAAAATATTGATATAGAGTGATACAGGCTATCATATGTTAAATAAAAAAAGGTATTTAAGGGTTGCTACTCCAGAGATGTGGCAAATGACCTCTCACTTGATTTTAAAATTTAGCAGACCCGAATTTCCAGATAATATAAATCAAAAGTTCCGGAATTCTGGTCCATTAAATTTTATGGAGTTTGGTATTTTAAACTCCTCGGAAGTGAAGGATCTTGGGAAATCAGAGAAACCGTTTTAACCATAAATTGGAAGAAGTTCATTGAACACCTCATATGGAATCGTAACTTATTTTAACATTACTTTTGAATATATCTGGAAATATTTTGCACCATCAAGCACACAAAAGGTAAGAATTTTTACCTATGCAAAAATTTCTAGCAGTCAATGAAGATTTCATGGCAAAATTCTCTCTCAAAGTCCAGATGAAAAAAAATGCTTCAGCTTTATGATGTCGTAGGAAGGCATCACAGAAAAAAAAATAAAATAGCCTTTCATAATGTCATAATTCTTTGGACTAGTAGTGGTGACCCCATCATAGGGAGTCTCATTGGGGGGTTCTGATCCCAGATCCCGCTTACTGTTTTGTCAGATTCCTGTATCCCGCTTACACTATGTACGTAAGCAATTCTCATTTTTTTTGTAATTTCCCGTATCCCGCTAGACTTCATTTCCAGTTTTCACGGCACAATAATTTGACTTTCACGTGTCACGCTTACAAAAAATAGGCAATCCCGCGTCACGCTTAGACCCCAATGAGACCCACATCATAAAGCAGGTCATCGAAATCACTGGGGAACTGCGTAAGAACTTGTAATGTATTTCTCCTCGTGTTGCAGAAAATATGCAGGCAACATATCTTTTATAAGTCTTACAGATAAACATATTTTTAAACCAAGTGCACCCCCCTTAGAATTGATAATGATATTAACCAGAGAAAGGACTTTTGGCGGGCATCTTAATAAAGAAAGCAGCTTTACAGCAATTATTGAAGTAAATAAATTAGAAACCATGGAGGTATTATTTTTATACAGAATCGTGTTTTCTCTTTGGGTGTCTGTAATTTTGTATATGTTGTGGGTTCTTTCTATAACAATTAGCTCCAAATTTACACTGCGGCTTTTCCTCTTTTGACGCCATTTTTTGTATCTTCACGAAAAAGAATTCATCTTCGGGAGTCTTTATTTGAAATTTATCATAATTTGAATAAGGAAATTATCTGAATCGATACATCAAAATAGAAGTTCAAATTTACAATTCTAGTTTACGCTGATTGATACCCAATAGCCAATAAACCTGTAAACACAATTCAATTGATAATTTGATGGAAAATTAATTCTCCCGAAAATTTTTTACTTGACGTCATCATTTCTTGTGTATTTACACAACTACCTTGGAGAGAAACCCTGGAGCTGGACTCCAGTGAATTTTTTATTTTCTTCATTGTCCTTGCAGTTTTAGTTGTTAAAGTATAGATATGGTACACTTTCCTCTTTTTCAAAAATATCTTCAATTTAGAGTTAAAAAAAACTCACTCAAAATAAGAGCAATAACCATGATAACTGAAACTGTGTATAATGCACAAAACTGGGTATCGGGTCCGTTCGCGCCCAATACACGTTCGCACCCTACACGTTCGCACCCCACACGTTCGCCCCCTAGGTCCGTTCGCACCCTACACGTTCGCACCCTTTTTTTATTCAAAAACCTGATAAATTTTTAGATGTTTTGTAAAATATTTTTATTTTCATAAATAAAAATTCGGGAATTTTTAAATGAAATATTGTTTTAAATTGATTTGATGATTAATTATTAAATGTTAATTATGTATGATTACTGCTAATTGGTATTTATACACAGCCTAATATGATGTTATTGTTGGGTGTTTAAAAATCATGATTGTTGTCATGGTTGTTTTAACTTGCTTCAAATGTAAATACTGCATGTATTTAGCTTGGTATGAGTAAAACTTTGAAGATTTTAAAATAAAAAAAATGAAAGATAATTGTTTTTAACAGCTTGGCTCCTTTGATCTCATGTGTGTCAGAATCTCACTTTATTCATAAACAATGAAAAAAAATATTTATAGCGATACACTATCCAAAACATGATTACGAATTATTCAACATATAAAAAAAAAAACGTTGTCAGAATCCCATTTCCTTTTGAAACAATAAAAAAGAAATATTTATAGCAATACACTAACCAAAACATGATTAAGATTTTATCAACACCTAAAAAAACGTTGTCAGAATCTCACTTTATTTAGAAACAATGAAAAAAAATAATTTATATAATTGCGGTTTTTATCCAACGCAATCATAGGTTTGAACGTTGTTTTCAATTTAGACTTGTTTATATTTTTTCGTTTGGGCTTGTATTATATTTGCCTTCGGGTTTATATGATCCGTTCATCCTATTTTGACTCCTCAAAGTTCAAGAGTCTATCCTAAATTGAGGTAAATTATGTGGCCTTCCAATAACCGTTTCGATTCCTAACATCACTGAAGAGACATTAATTGTCGAAATCTGGATATGGTGTACAAAAAATCTTTGCACCTTTGTTTGCGGTATACCATCTTTGCCGCAAGTTTATTGTTTTCTGTTTGGTATTAAATTTATAGTTAGGATCCATTTATTACACCTTGTGATCCGTTTATTTGGCAATCGCCAATGGCAGTCAGCAGGATTTAAGAACATTTGTTGTTCGACCTGTTAGTCAAATGCGTTTTGTTAAAATATACCTTTTCACTTTTTTGGTCTTTTGGAAAATGTTGTTTGTGCTGTATTTAGACCCCTCTAACAAGAAATTTGTTTTGCATGCACACGTATAAAAATTGCGGTTTTTATCCAATGCAATCATAGGTTTGAACGTTGTTTTCAATTTAGACTTGTTTATATATATATATATTTGTTTTACATGCACACGTATAAAAATTGCGGTTTTTATCCAACGCAATCATAGGTTTGAACGTTGTTTTCAATTTAGACTTGTATATAAATAGATATATATAGAGCAATACACTTACCTAAACATGATTAAAAATTATTCAACACAAAACTAAAATACTGGTCGTCAGAATCTCACTTTATTTAAAAACAATGAAAAAAAAATGTTAATAGCGATACATTTACCATTTACCATGACACAAAAAAAACCTTGTCAGAATCTCACTTTATTTAGAAACAATGAAAAAATATATATTTATAGCAATACACTTACCAAAACTCGTTTACAAATTATTAAACACAAAACCAATAAAAATTGGGCGCGAACGTGTAGGGTGCGAACGGACTTCGGGTGCGAACGTGTAGGGTGCGAAAGTGAAAGGGGGGCGAACGTGCATGGGGGCGAACGTGATTGGGCGCGAACGGACCCGGATTCACAAAACTGTAAATTAAAATGAAAATAAATGCTAGTAGTGTAAATAACTGACGGCAGAGCTAGTTCAGTATTTAGAACCAAAACTGCAAATTTTTCTTATGAAATGTTGCTGAACAGTGGTCGATTCTATTCTATTCTCATGAACTGGAACATGGTCAATTAGTATATTCTAATTCAATTGGTCTTAAAATAGATGTTCAAAACGCCTTGTGATCTATGGAGTTGGGGTGCTGGGATAGGTTTTGACAATGATTTATTGAAATATTTAACATCGTAAAGTTTTGTAAAGACAAATTTTAATATACATGTACTATTAATGCAAATATTATGGGTTACTTGGTTATTAATATTTTTGGTCCTTGCCCTAAAGTTTTTATGCTGCACTGTGAATGTTACTTCACCTTTTCTGTTATTTAGTAATATTTTTCAGCCGGAAAATATAAGTATAAAAGTGATAGGTCGCTGTCGCTCACTTACAGGAGAAGAATCAAGCAAAGGAGTAAAATCTGTGGTCAAAGTTTCTGGCGATAAGATTTTGTTAGAACTTGGTGGAAAGGTAAGTTTAATTAATGGCATATGTGGTGTAATAACTTTAGCTAAGTGATATATAGCAGAAAAATGGGAATCAAGGAGGCAATAATCAAATTTAAGCAATTTATATTAATTATGGAATTGCTTTTGAATACTACTATAGAATTGATAAATAGATATTTTCCTGAAATTATAATAAACTTGATATGAATTTGGTATTAAAAGTTGCAAAAAAATAACATTTTAAGAGTGAATATGATAAATCTGCTAGAAAATATGGATAATTTTTGTTTGTTATTTTATATTTAAATATAATTGGACAGAAATAGAAAATACTCAAAGATTTAGACCATAGTGAAACATGAATAGTGTAAATTTTTCATTATCATTTTTCAGGAACAGTCATTTGGATTTGATGGAGCATACTCTGGAGAAGTTAAAAATGTAAGTAATTAGATTGATGGATGATTGCCTAATGTTGTAAGTACCCTTGATTAGATCTTATTCATCTTATATTTTATAAAAAGGATAATGATTTTATTGCAGTCAGTACATTTATTTTGAGTAACCTTCATCAGAGAAACAAAAGTTTAGGAAGGTAACAAAATAAATCTTTGAGAGCATCAATTGTGAGAGAAACTAAACAGAAAGGGCTGAGACCATCTCCAGCCTACTTTTGTCTATGAAAAATAAAATCTTTAGTTGTAGAATAATTATATGATTTAACTGAAAATTGACACACAGTTGAAACAAATATTTGAATTTAAAATGTACATTTACATATTACATATGACAAAATTTAATCAAGACATCAGTGTTTACATACAATACAAATACAAATATAAATAATTTTATTCACTAATTCATACATGTATTGTCATGAGAAACTATATATGGAGTTTAATAGAACAGCCATTATATTGACCTTTTGTGTAAGAGAACAATACAAGGTCTGTCAATAGTCTGATATACCTAGAAGTTTGATACTGATTTTCTTCTTCGTCATTTAACAGTGGAGATCATACCTAGAAGATTGGTACTGATTTTTTTCTTTTTCATTTTAACAGGAACAGATTTTTAAGGAGAAATGTGAGACAATGTTACAAAGAACTACAGAAGGATATAATTCAACCATTATGACTTTTGGCGCAGTAAGTATCATGTTTATAGCAAATTATAGCCATTTTGTCCCAAATTAAATTATAGCTTAAAATCATAACTTCATACTTTATGTAACATAAAATTTATATTATCATTATTTATATGTAGTGATATTTTTAAAGTATGTTTAATTTTCTGCACATTATTTGTTTTTGTCTTGTAAATTGAAGTTTGCAGCATTTTCATTGGAACTAAATTACATTTAAGTTCAAACATTCACTAGTATACATTATTGTTTAGGGGCAATCTGAAGCCCTCCTCCGGGTGCGGGATTTTCTCACTGTATTGAAGACCGATTGGTGGCCTTGGGCTGTTTTCTGCTCTTTGATCGGGTTGTTGTAATTTGACGCATTCCCCGTTTCCATTCTCAATTTTATATGATAGTTTGAGGTTTTTTTTACAGACAGGAGCAGGTAAAAGTCACCTGATGTCGGGTACAGACGACAATCCAGGAATAGCTCCACAGGTAAGTAAACAAAAGTTTTCTGATATTAGATATAGAAGATATTCCAGGGACAGACCCTCTTTATCTAGGTTGTTGGTTGACTGGTGTAGAACACTTCACATATCACCAATGTGGTAGATGTTTGAGTATTGCCCAGCTGTTTAGAACACTTCACATATCACCAATGTGGTAGATGTTTGAGTATTGCCCAGCTGTTTAGAACACTTCACATATCACCAATGTGGTAGATGTTTGAGTATGCCCAGCTGTTAAGAACACTTCACATATCACCAATGTGGTAGATGTTTGAGTATTGCCCAGCTGTTTAGAACACTTCACATATCACCAATGTGGTAGATGTTTGAGTATTGCCCAGCTGTTTAGAACACTTCACATATCACCAAAGTGGTAGATGTTTGAGTATTGCCCAGCTGTTTAGAACACTTCACATATCACCAATGAGGTAGATGTTTGAGTATTGGCCAGCTGTTTAGAACACTTCACATATCACCAATGTGGTAGATGTTTGAGTATTGCACAGCTGTTTAGAACACTTCACATATCACCAATGTGGTAGATGTTTGAGTATTGCACAGCTGTTTAGAACACTTCACATATCACCAATGTGGTAGATGTTTGAGTATTGCCCAGCTGTTTAGAACACTTCACATATCACCAATGTGGTAGATGTTTGAGTATTGCACAGCTGTATTCAAACTTTTTTATACCATATCGGAGGGGTAATTCAAGAAGTATAACGTGTGGACTGAAATAAGTTACATAGCTTTATTTTGTAAAACTGACCAAATTCATATGTTCTACTGGTACTGTAAAACAAATAATGTTCATGGGTGATTAATTTTTCACATGTTAAAAAAATGATAGGAATGTAACTTGTTGCCGATATATATCAAAATAGGATCTTCTATATATATTCTATAATGACAAAGTAAAAAAAATGGCAAAAATAAATGGTTGCAACATTGGCTTGAAAGAATAAGCACAAAAAAATCTCTTCTTAAACAAGTGGTTTACAGTAAGTGGCAGAGTTTGTCTGTTACTATCAGAACATTTGTCATATACCCAGGTACAATGTTTCCACGGATAAAGTTGATTGTCTTGGAATTGTAGAAATGTTTCAAAATCAAACTCTATGAGACAGTAAGTGTAAGACTCCTTAAGTTATTGGTTATCTATATACAAAAGTTTAAATTTTGTTTAAATAGTTCTTAAGTTTTATTCTTTGTTTTCAGATGATCAAAAGATTATACCAACATATAGCTGAGAAAAGTAACAGAGAGTTCTTTATAACTGTGTCATATCTACAGGTATTTAATACATTTGTATTTTTCATAAGAATATAATGCATACAGATGAGTTCTGTGTAACTTCTGTGACTTTATGTGAAATTGACAAAGTTGATTATTTACATAGGAAAATATCAATTGTCTGTAAGTGAAAAACAATTGTACATGAAAAATTGAACACATAACTGGACGTAATAAGACAGTTTGACCTTATTTATGTTGTATAGAAGATAGTGCTTTAAAAGTCAGTTATTTAAAGAGAAGATAGATGTTAACAGATTAAAGTTTTTTATTTAAGATTTGATCCATTGTAGTTGATTTCCTTATACAATCTTTATCTTTATAACCCTAGAAAAATAGATTTGATAAAATCTGTTAATGAAATACAGTGGAATGATTAAGAAATATTAGAAATTACCAAATTTGTCAGTCAAAAACAATAAGTGAAAATAAAATTATATAAAAATTCCAGTGATTTATCTCTCCATAAACTAAAGTCATTGACACATGTTTTGGAGCAATGTTAAATGCTTAGGTTGTATTATCATAGTTTGACACAAAGTATACATTTTTTCTCTACTTTTGTAAATAGCATATGTTATTCATATATTTATTTTGTTGCCAGGCAATGGATGAGAAGATGATGGATTTATTAAATCCTCACAACAACCAGATGACAATCAGACATCACCCCCATAAAGGAATGTAAGTCTCTTGTTATCTTGGTTATTAGTAGATCCCACCCACCCTTACACTAAAAATCTGACAGGCAGAGCTACAGGCAAGACAACATGAAAGACTATTTGGAAAGTTGTGTTTGCAGAGGTTATGCTTTGAGGGAGAGAATAACTATATCCTGTTTATTCAGTTATGTATTTTAATTGTCAGGAACTTGTTTTAGTGTGTCCTGTCAGACCATAATTAACCACACAATTATGAAAAACCTGGGTTTTCTATACAAAGCAAATCTTGGTACTCCAAAATCTTCAGAAACACTATTAATTTACTTTTTTTATGTTAAGTGCTACTCAAATGACCCAGAAACATTATATTCATCCACCAAAAATACATCACTGATGGATTCATTTATTTAAAAAAAAATCATAAATAAAGATAATGAATATGATTATGGTTCAGGTACCTTAATAAGAGTTACTAAAAGCCACTATATGTTAGAATTAAGTAAACCATTTTACACGTTGTGAATGTAAAACAAATAGTGCAACCTGAAAGGTAAAAAAATGTCTTAAAAGGGCAGAGAATTGTTGATAGAAATAAGGAGATGTGGTATGAGTGCCAATGAGACAACTCTTCATCCAAGTCACAATGTGTAAAAAGTAAACAATTATAGGTCTGACCGGTCACCGTCAAAGTACGGCCTTCAACACAGAGCCTTGGCTCACACCGAACAGCAAGCTATAAAGGTCCCATGAATAATTATCATCACAACAGTGTGTTTGATTCTGTGATTGATGTTGTTTTTACTTTAGATTTGTTGATGGTTTGTCTGAGATGGTAGTCCATAGTTATGATGAGATGTCAGAGATGTATGAACAAGGCAGGAGAGTTCATGAAGCTGGAGGTTCTGATCTGAAAGGCAGCAGGGCAAGGTTAGTATTAACAAAACCATTGGGTTCATAAGGATGATTTTAACCAACAAAAATCCATGATGACTGCAAGTTTATAGTACCACAGGTTAGGTACTCTGTTATTTCCCTTTTGTTTTTTGAGATTGTGGTGTCATATGCATCCCGTCTTTTTAGTCTTTGGAGCTTTTAATCTCTTTTTTTTATTATCATTTTGAAATGATGAAGAAAATGAAATGGGTATACATTAATATTTATTTTTCAGAGCTCATGCAGTATTTAGTATAACTATAGAACAGAAAGAGAGACAGTCCAGTAAAGTAGGAGTCAGATCTGTTCTTACATTGGCAGAAATAGCAGGTAAATATAACTATAGAACACAAAGAGAGACAGTCCAGTAAAGTAGGAGTCAGATCTGTTCTTACATTGGCAGAAATAGCAGGTAAATATAACTATAGAACACAAAGAGAGACAGTCCAGTAAAGTAGGAGTCAGATCTGTTCTTACATTGGCAGAAATAGCAGGTAAATATAACTATAGAACAGAAAGAGAGACAGTCCAGTAAAGTAGGAGTCAGATCTGTTCTTACATTGGCAGAAATAGCAGGTAAATAGCCTAGAAGATAAAAAAGAAATGATTGGTTCAAAACTTTCATAAACTGAAAGTAATTAGGCATTAACGTCTTTAATTGCTGACATCCACTTCATTTGAACTTTGGTGGACAGTTGTCTCATTGGCAATCATACCACATCTCCTTATTTTTATATTTCACAGCCTCACCTTGATTAATCATGATTGTTTTATAATCTTAAAGTCCCATTATTTACCAGTTACAGTTTAAATATAAAAGTAAGGAGATATGGGATGATTGGCAATAAGACAACTATCCGCCAGAAACCAAATGAATTTGGACTTACTATATGTTTGCAAATATTTTATGGAAATGAAGGGATATCGTGTAAAATTTACGACAAAATCCCTATACAAAATTGAGAAAAAAACTAAAGCAAATAAACGGTGCTTTTATTGCTGTTATCTGTTTTGTTTTGTATTTGCTTATTATTGCGACATCAGAATGCATTTTATTCTCATTAGATAATGTGATTGATTATTAGATTTCTGTATTTATTCTTATATTACAGGGTTTGACCATGGAGGCAGCACAGATCCAAAAGTTGTTGCAGGGTATTATACTTTCATAAATATTTAATGATAAAATGAAAGATAAAATCTATGTAGAGATAAATGCATAATTGCATTTAGTAGAGATAAATTATCATACATGCCTTGTAAAATTTCATTAACATTCATACAATTTACAGAGAAAAGTGTCATGCTCAAAGATACATTGATGAGAGCCAATATGGAGTGTATTGAACTCTAATGAACCAACCAATTTGTGACAAGAAGAGGTATTCAGATAGAGTCAATAAGACCTAAATCATAAATCATTTATGGAATTATTTCATATGGTTATCAAACAAACAGGTGACCACTTTATCTCAGCAATACAGGTTTTATGATACTCAGCTGTATTATCCACAGTTTGGCCTCGGTTCAAAATGCTGAAAGCCAACTCTTCAATACATATTTATAAACTGGTGTTTCATTACAATCTAAAGGTTATCCATTTGTTTGTAGTGTGCAAGGTATGGCAACTGTTTTAAATGCTTTAGGAGGACCAAAGAAAGGGGGAGCCATTCCTTATAGGGATTCTGTCATCACTAGAGTTCTTCAGGTAAACAAAAATTCCTGATACAAGGAGTGATAATGGTTTCTTAAAAAATTAAATGTTATATACTTGACTGATTTTAATTGTGACAAAAAATTGTGATAATTTTAATTTTTTATTGCTATGCTTTTTGCTGTTTTTGTTGAGCCTTCGACTTTTGTCGAAAAAGCGAGACATAGCGATCCTACATTCCGTCGGCGGCGTCCACAAATATTCACTCTGTGGTTAAAGTTTTTGAAATTTTAATAACTTTCTTAAACTATCCTGGATTTCTACCAAACTTGGACAGAAGCTTGTTTATGATCATAAGATAGTATCCAGAAGTAAATTTTGTAAAAATAAAATTCCATTTTTTCCGTATTTTACTTATAAATGGACTTAGTTTTTCCGCAGAGAAATATTACATTCACTCTGTGGTTAAAGTTTTTAAAATTTTAATAACTTTCTTAAACTATCCTGGGTTTGTACCAAACTTGGACAGAAGCTTGTTTATGATCATAAGATAGTATCTAGAAGTAAATTTTGTAAAAATGTAAATCCATTTTTTCCTAATTTTACTTTTAAATGGACTTAGATTTTCTGCCAGGAAACAACACATTCACTCTGTGGTTAAAGTTTTTAAAATTTTAGTAACTTTCTTACACTATTTTGGATTTGTACCAAACTTGGACAGAAGCTTGTTTTTGATCAAATGCTAGTATCTAGAAGGAAATTTTAAAAAAAATAAATCCATTTTTTCCGTATTTTACTTTTAAATGGACTTAGATTTTCTGCCAGGAAACAACATATTCTCTCTGTGGTTAAAGTTTTTAAAATTTTAATAACTTTCTTACACTATTTTGGATTTGTACCAAACTTGGATAGAAGCTTGTTTATGATCAAATGCTGGTATCTAGAAGGAAATTTTGTTTTCTTCCAGTTAACATTACATTCAGTCTGCAGTTAAAGTTTTTAAACATTTATTAGATTCATAAACTATCCTGTATTTTTACCAAACTTGGACAGAAGCTTCTTACAATCAAAAGATAGTATCAAGAGGAATATTTTTATTGATTTACTTCCTCATTTTTGTTGAGCCTGCGATTAACAGAAAAAGTAGGCGAGACACTGGGTTCCGTGGAACCCTTACGAATTTTTCCCAAAGAAATATGACAATCATAAAAAGAACAGAAATTGAGTACACTTATAAATATCTGTATAAATGTAATGTGATTTTTTGCAGGAAAGTCTTGGAGGAAATGCTGTTACCATGGTTTTTGCTGTTGTCTCCCCTGTTGGTAAGTTACCTAATTTTATGTGCTTAGATCTGAATAAAGTTAATTGATGTTTTACCTAAAAGAATGCTCAAAAACTTTTTGTTTTTGATAGAATAGTAATTTAAATGTGATGAAATCCAATGAAAAAATGAGTAGGATGTGCACTGTGAAAAGTGAGGAAAATTCATAAGAAATATGACATCTAGATCTAGATCTTCTTAAATAATCCATGTAAAACGTAAACTGAAATTAAACATAGCTTTTTTAATTCATTTATTATCAAATCTTTTCTACCTCTATACCAGTTTTTGTTTGATTTATTAAGCCTGTCCTCAGTGGACATTTTTTTGCTGACTAATATTTGGAGTTCTTTGCTTTTTGAAATGTATTCTATTCTTACAATGGTTCGTTATTGTTAAAATTATTCAGTTTTGATGAAAATCCATATATTTATATGTTGTTTGTGTGAATATGTGACGTGGGGTATAAGTTAACAAGACAGCAACCCAGTGACACAAATAACTAATGACATCTATGTCTGAACTGTTGGCTATTCCATTTACTTGGAATATGTTATTTGTTGCTTAGGAAGTCAAATTGAATAATTTTTTATACATTTTACTTAGCTTCTTTTAATATTTCAGCTTTTTACCAAAATCTTAAGAAGCCAAATATTCATACTTCTGTCTGTGTTTTTTGTCAATTGTTTGAAATCTATGGGTTGGAAATGATAATAAATCTTTCTTTTTTTTCAGACAAATCAGCACAGGAAACCATGACAACACTACAGTATGCACAATATGCTAAAAATACAAAGAATCATGTTAAAATGAATCTGGTTGGTAAATCAATGGCACTATTAAGATCATACTAAATCAGCCTTCTGTAGGCTAGTTTGCAAAATTCACAATGATGAACCTTTTTGTATTTTTAACTAAAATGTTATAAAGATACCTGAATTAATAATGCATAGTTTTGAATCTTACTATTTACTATTGACAAAAGAATGCATTCGAAAATTTGATACATTTAAACGAAGTTACCTATAATTAAATGACAAAGAGTATCCAGAAATTGTTTTGAGTAACAAATCCATTATCTGCAGATGATGTTAATAAAACTGAGGCACATTTCCATCTGTTACAATAGTAACTATTCTTATAACTTCATACAAGTTGGTTTGGATATGTAGCAATGAACATAATACCCAGGTTTTGTACATTCATATAAGGTCTTTTATAAGACTACTTTTTTTTACCTTATATTAGCTGTGATGGATAGAAATCACCCTGGTGCAAATAAATACAAATAAATGTAGTATGCTATATATTATATGGAGAAACTAGAAGATGCCCGTGAAATCGCGGTACAATTGGGCAAGTGTTGAAACAAAGAGTGTCAAGGGTGCCTGTGTTTACACATAAAAAGGGGGAGGGGTCCAGACGTCGGGTGCCTGTGTTTACGCATAAAAAGGGTGAGGATCACTTCGACACGTTCAATGCCCATTTCATTTTTGGACAGTTCTGCACCTGAGTAAAAAGGGTGGATGTCGTTTAATTTAGCAAAATGATGCACTTACAATACAATACAGGATCCTTATAGGCCTAACTGTCCTATTTTCTATCCTTCTGACTGTCACTTGGATTTTGCGGGCAGTACGTCGACTGAGCATGCACGAAAGCGTATAAGACACGGATCGATAAAGGTCTCCGAATTTGGATATTTTCTCAAAAATTGGCGTTTTCTGTAGAAAAAAGATTGTTTCAAAGACAAATTTAGGAAGTACAAAACACTACATTTATATGTTATATCACAAATATTTCCGACTTTGTATGGTTTCAGAGGAGTTGCAGCTCAATGAAATCGGTCTCTTCCTTTAGTAGTATAGATTTGCATGCAAATGCTTGAACCTATTCTAAATTTGGATATTTAGTAAGAATCTTAAAATTTAGACCGACCCTGACCTTAAATGTCAGACTTTTAATTCCGTATCAATCATATTGTAATGCATTATATATGTAACTATTGCCACTTGCATAAGGCCGATTTCTATCCGAGGCAGCTTATATGTTATCAAAGATTTCTAATTTACAATGACTGACTATTTTCAGGATGAAACACATGATATAATTAACGATTTGAGAGACGAGATTTCCAAACTTAGAGAAAAGATTGCAGCACAATCACAACCTAACAAGGATGATGTTTTGAAGATGGAGGTCAGTTATCGTAATTAAAATAGATGTGGGGTAAATGTCAATGTGACAGCAACCCAACAGTAGAAATTTACCTGAAATAGATATCTAGAAGTCATCTTTCATCTATCACCAGTTGAAATGTGATCAAACCGTATGGCTCAAAGTCGGTTTAAATCGAAACAGATGTTAATTAATTGAGCAGAGATTATGGACATGAATATTAACAACAGCTGCACTGACCATCAGGCAATGGAAAGATAATTTTTGTTATCTCTATGCCAAAATAAAGAAATATCAATTATATAGAAAGTATATAAATAATCCAAAATATATTATTTTTTTGAGGTTTCATCTTATTCTCAAATACAACAAAAGACTACAATTGTTTGAATCTTTAACAGTTTCACACTCCTTTTTACTTCCTCTTTGCTTTATTAACAGGCATTGGTACAAGATTTACAGATAGCCAAGAGGTCTACGTGGGAAGAAAGAGAGAAACAGTCCAGTAAATATCAAAATGAAAGGAAAACTAATCTGGCTAATAAGGTAGGATTTGAATTCTGTGAATAGTCCTTTATGTTATATACACCTTCTGTTTTCCAATTACAATTTTATGCCAGAGACACATAGTAATTATCTGATGAATGATTTTTAAAAGTGAATATTTAAAGTATTTGGACACCATTTATGATATTCCTTTATATTATCTACTGATTTGAGAAATTTAAATGTTATCTGAAATGGATAAGACCTTTTTATTTTCTAATCTGTATTTACTTATTTTTGCAATTATTCCTTAAAGCACCTTGGAGTAAGTTAAGCTTTGTTTTTCATTTATTGTCATTATTAGGGTCTACTCGGATTGGTTACAAGATAAAAGATAGAAATTCTCATTTCAGGGCCTTTTATAGCTGACTATGCGGTATGGGTTTTACTGATGGTTGAAGGCCGTACAGTGACCTATAGTTAATTTCTGTGTCATTTGGTCTCTTGTGGAGAGTTGCCTCATTGGCAATCATACCACATCTTCTTATTTAATATTTATCAATATGAATCTATTTTAATATTGTTATATAAGGGTGTACTTGAATAGGTGCAAGACACCATTCTCAATTTTATTTACTATGAAGAAAAGTCAGTTTATCAATATGTATGTATTTATTTTATTTTTTTTAGGGTGTACTCGAATGGGTGCAAGACAGTATGAAGAAAGGAAACAGGGAGTTACAGGAAAAATTGATGCTGCTTCAGAAAGAAAAAGATCAGGTAAATTTAACCTTTCTCTGCTTTGCAACTTTATTCCTTATTCCTTATTAAATAGAAGATAAAGATTAAATTGATAAACACAATTTTTATTTTATGTTAGGTCAATAACTCATGCATCATACTTTTATATTTAGATAAAAATGTTCATTTTTTATAAATGGTAAATTTATACTTATATTGAAGCAGTGTTCTCCCCAGGGTCTTTTATCATCATGGTAATGTGATGCTATATTGCTAGAATGTGATGCTATCTGAAATTAGTTTTATGCCCCTTTAAGTTTTACCCTTGTCCGTCTGTACGTACGTACATACGTCGGTACGTCCCAAAATTGGTTTCCGTTCTCTAACTTGAGTTTGCTTCAACCAAATGTTATGACACTTATACACAATGCTTATTACCACTAAACACAGATCAAGTTTGAATTTTGGTGGCGTCACTTTAACAGTTCTAGAGTTATGCCCCTTTATAAATGGAAAAATTGCAAAATTTTTAGTTTCCGTTCTCTAACTTAAGTTTGCCTCAACCAAATGTTATGAAACTTATACACAATGCTTATTACCACTAAACACAAATCAAGTTTGAATTTTGGTGGCTTCACTTTAACCGTTCTAGAGTTATGCCCCTTTATAAATGGAAAAATTGCAAAATTTTTATTTTCTTCTAAATATAAAGTAATTTTTAAAATTGGAGTTATCTTCCTTTGTCCATGATTATAGTTGAATCAACTACAATCAATGCTTTATACAATGCAATGTTTAATTTTGACTTCCACTGATAAAACACAGATCAAGTTGAATTTCGGTAGTGTCACTTTAACCGTTATTGAGTTATGCCCCTTTATAAATCAAAAGATTGCAAAATTTTTAGTTTCCATTCTGTAACTTAAGTTTGCCCCAACCAAACATTATGAAACCTATACACAATATTCATTACCACAAAACTAAGATCAAGTACAAATTTTTTGTTTCCGTTTTCTAACTTTAGTTTGCCTCAACCAAATGTTATGAGACTTACACACAATGCTTATTACCGCAAAACTCAGATCAAGTTCAAATTTGGGTAGCGTCACTTTTACCGTTCTTCAGTTATGTCCCTTTATAACTATATGATGTGCAAGCGGGGGCATCATCTGTGTCCACATGTGGACACTATCCACATTTATTCAAAGATAGTGTTATAGATGTGATGCTATAGTTTCTAGAAACAAGATGGTATCTGAGAATTTCCTGTTTACCAGGATATAAGAAATTTCTGAGGAGAACACTGATTGAAGATATTTAGTCAAAATCTGTTTGTCATAGTTTAGGCTTGCATTGTATTGGTTACAATGAATATGCTTGGGCATGGATTAAATAGCATCAAAGCTTTTCTTTATTTACTGACTTTTATATTTTAGCTGACATATCAATACAAAGAGAGACGCAAGGTTGTAGATGATCTAAATGAAGAACTACAGAGGAAGATTGGAGAATATTCAAAACTGACACAAAGTGGTAAGATATACAATTGTGTTCTTGTCAAAAGTGGTAAGATGTACAATTGTGTTCTTGTCAAAAGTGGTAAGATATACAATTGAGTTCTTGTCAAAAGTGGTAAGATATACAATTGAGTTCTTGTCAAAAGTGGTAAGATATACAATTGTGTTCTTGTCAAAAGTGGTAAGATATACAATTAAGTTCTTGTCAAAAGTGGTAAGATATACAATTAAGTTCTTGTCAAAAGTGGTAAGATATACAATTGTGTTCTTGTCAAAAGTGGTAAGATATACAATTGAGTTCTTGTCAAAAGTGGTAAGATATACAATTGTGTTCTTGTCAAAAGTGGTAAGATATACAATTGAGTTCTTGTCAAAAGTGGTAAGATATACAATTGAGTTCTTGTCAAAAGTGGTAAGATATACAATTGTGTTCTTGTCAAAAGTGGTAAGATATACAATTGAGTTCTTGTCAAAAGTGGTAAGATATACAATTGAGTTCTTGTCAAAAGTGGTAAGATATACAATTGTGTTCTTGTCAAAAGTGGTAAGATATACAATTGAGTTCTTGTCAAAAGTGGTAAGATATACAATTGAGTTCTTGTCAAAAGTGGTAAGATATACAATTGTGTTCTTGTCAAAAGTGGTAAGATATACAATTGAGTTCTTGTCAAAAGTGGTAAGATATACAATTGAGTTCTTGTCAAAAGTGGTAAGATATACAATTGTGTTCTTGTCAAAAGTGGTAAGATATACAATTGAGTTCTTGTCAAAAGTGGTAAGATATACAATTGAGTTCTTGTCAAAAGTGGTAAGATATACAATTGTGTTCTTGTCAAAAGTGGTAAGATATACAATTGAGTTCTTGTCAAAAGTGGTAAGATATACAATTGAGTTCTTGTCAAAAGTGGTAAGATATACAATTGTGTTCTTGTCAAAAGTGGTAAGATATACAATTGAGTTCTTGTCAAAAGTGGTAAGATATACAATTGAGTTCTTGTCAAAAGTGGTAAGATATACAATTGAGTTCTTGTCAAAAGTGGTAAGATATACAATTGTGTTCTTGTCAAAAGTGGTAAGATATACAATTGAGTTCTTGTCAAAAGTGGTAAGATATACAATTGAGTTCTTGTTCATCAGGCTTAACCTAATATAAATTATTAAATATCAACAAATGTGTTAGAGATAAGCCCTCCATGTTAGAGTAACATACTTTTACTATTCAACAAAATTTCCTTCAAAATACAAAAATTCTCAAATCATTCCATTTAGCATGATATGCTTCATCTTATAACAGCTCATTTATAACATTTAGAAAATACTTATAGATTCAATTCATCCAATCATATATATACAGCAATGTACAAAACAGAAAATATCATCATTGATCGCAATTATCATGTACAGAAGAACAAAAACGTTTTTTTGGTGGGTGGGTGTGAGGGGCTTAATACAAGAGATACAGCTACACAGAGTATGCCATCCATTGCAGAACTTTGAATGATTGCATTATAACTTTCCTTAAATGTGTATAAAACAGACAAGCATGTGAGGCACAAGACTACCCTTTCAATACTGAGGATACAAGACAAAAAGACAAAAAGTGTATAATATCGAAGAAATATACCTGCCATGCGGCATATAAATATCCAACGAAATCTATTGTAAACATTACAGGCATACTTAACATACTGAACAAGTGTCGATTGTGAACATCATACACATGTTTTTCATTAAAACAAACACATTGGCTTTCATTCTATTATATTTTTAATAGATATAAATATAGATATTTAAAGTAATGTTTGCAATAAGTAACAAGGGTGGGTTCAAACTGTATATTATTATATGATGAAATGATCAGATATTCTGGTCATTAGGGAACAATTTTGCTATAATATACTTTTGCACAGATTTAGTATAAAACAAATTATTGAACCATTATTTTATGTACTTTGTCATTTAATGCATACACATTCATTCTTAATTACACTGTTGGTTTGACCTACAGATCAGATTAATTTTTTGTTCTTATACCAACAATGCATAAAACAAGTTCTGCCTAAATTACTCTGTTCGTTTGTCAACTAGAGTTCTGTTTAATTAGTTGGTGTTATATCACAGGGAAATTTCATTCACATCAATTTCATGTGAATTTAAATTCATGTGAATCTCACCTCAAACGAGCTTATACGTGAAACTCACGTGAAATCAGTTCATGTGAGTTTCATGTGAATCTCATGTGAAAGTCACCTGAATTTCACGTGAAAATCACATGAATTTTTTTCACGTGAATTTTTAAAATGACATAATTCAGATAACATCATAATTTTCAAATTTAATCAAAATCATGAAAAATACCAATTTTCATTTTGGTAAAGTTCACGTGAAATTCATGTGAAAAATTTCACATGGAAATTTTCACGTGAGTTTCATGTAAAAGCTAGTTTGAGGTGAATCTCATGTGATAAGAATAGTTAGGATTGATATCTAGTAAAAACTTTTGTAACAAATTTTGGAATGGTAAACTAAAATATATGAGAAGACAGTCTATAACTACATTTTTACTTATTTTCAGGAAAGTCATCAGAATCTGAGACAAAGAAGAAAGTCACTGCTGTACATGACTTGAAAGAAAAACTGAAAAAAGAAACTGATGGTCTAAAAAGACTAAAGGAACAATTACAAGAACTGACTGAAAAACAGAAAAATGAAAGAGAGGTAATATGTACATGTATGTCCATTGTTGGATGACTGATGCTGCATGTAAAGATTTTCAGAGGATTATTTTATTAGGGCCCCGCCCAATGGCAGACGACCTATAGTGATCAGTCTGTCCGTCTGTCCGTCTGTCTGTCTGTCCGTCCATCCGTCCGCCCGTCCATCCGTCCGTCCGTAGCAAATTGTGTTAGCTCTATATCTAGAGAACCGTTATGATTTCAAAGTATACTTGACATGTATATTAACCCAACACCAGAGGGTGTGTCATAATGTATGTACAACTTCCTAGGTCAAAGGTCAAGGTCAAAAACTTTGGTTTTAGTTGACAACCCCATGTCCTATGGTAAAGATCGTGTCTGCTCTATATCTTGAGAACCGTTATGGTTTCAAAGTTTATACTTGACATGTATATAAACCAACACCAGAGGGTGTGACATAATTTATGTACAACTTCCTAGGCCAAAGTTAAAAACTTTGGTTTCAGTTGACAACCCCATGTCCAATGATAAAGATACAAATTTTTTACCACACATTATTCACAGCGGGGCCAACAGAGATGGCTCCCATCTCAATGATATCTAGTTAATTTCTGTATTGGCATGTCAGAATGTCTGGATGGGGGGGGGGGCCTTTATTTCTTTATTCCTTAACTTTTAAGACCATTTTTCTCTATTCTTTATTTATTTTTACCCTTACTCTCTATTTTTTATATTTTAGCTACCCCTTATCTCTATTCTTTATATTTTAGCTACCCCCTATCTCTGTTATTTTATTTTTTACCTATTTTTCTCTATTCTTTAAATTTTTTGTCCTTTATTCTGTTTTTTTTTATCCACTATTCTCTATTCTGTAAACCCCATCTAGACCCTCATGTCAGGTTATGGTTTGCATATTGATTTTATATCCTTAATCAATGCTCAGCTAATAATGACTGTATATTTATTCTTAAAAACAAACTTCCGGCATACTTCACATAATATTCCATCTTTAAAAGCTCTTAACAGTTATAGCATCATCTTATTATTGAATTGTAATTGAAGATCATTTTGAAAAATGAATAAATGTTTCCTTAGTTGATATAAATTCATCATTTTAAGATGCAGAATGTTGTTTTCTTCATATCTCATACTCAGTAAAGATTACACATAATGATATGCCTTGTCAATATTTTTTAGAATGCTAAGGCTCAGATAACATCACTGAAAGGAAATGCAGAGCTGAGACAGAAAATTGAGGTATTTATTATATGAAAGAAAACCCTGTTCTCTCTTGGCCTAGAATTTCTACACAATGTAGCATTTGATAATTACATTGTTCAAAAATAAAAAGAGCATATTATAGGTGGTTTATTTGTTTCTTAATGTACAATAACAACTATCAAATGATTACTGAAGGTGATAATATGTCTGCTATTATAATATACATGTTCTGAAAATATATAAAATTCATTGGAACAAATTTTTATTTGAGTACAAGCATTATCATAATTATATTTTGAATTCTCTATTTCTTCTTTGTTTTTGTGCTTTTAAGTCATAACTATCTAGTACCATGTATAACTATTTATGATATTTTAAAGTGGGAAAGGAATAGAAATTTAGTTATGATTCTTAGATTCATGTTGTAACCTATTGATTTTGTTTTTGAAGCGTGAAGAAAGAGAGCACTTAGAGAAGGAGCATGCAGCACTGGTGCATTTTGAAATTGACAAAATGAAGATGGATATTGAAAATATCAAACAGGACATCCAGATGAAGGTCAACAAAGGTCACACATACTCTTCTCAGGAAGGAGAACTTTTAGAAGTACATGTAGCTGAAATGAAGGCTGAGAAAAATGTTACTACACTCCAGGTGAGTTTAAAAAGGTCAAAAGGTCACACATATAAAATGAGAAGGTGTGGTATGATTGCCACAATTCTCCATCAGAGACCAAATGACATAGAAGTTTAAAACAACTATAGGTCACCGAATGGCCTTCAACAATGAGCAAAACCCATACCTCATAGTCAGCTATAAAAGGCCCCAAAATGACAAATATGTAACATTTTAAATGAGAAAACTACTGGCCTGATTTGTGTACAAAACAATGAACGAAAAACAAATATGATATACAGCAACAAACTACAACCACTGAATTACAGGCTCCTGACTTAAGACAGCTGAAATAAAGACATAGAAAGTTTTTCTACACTCCATAAAATATTACAAAGGTCAAAAGTTCACATGTGTCTTCTTTGGTAGGAGAACTTCTTGAAGTTGAGTAGCTGTAATGAAGGCATAGAAAGTTTTCCTACACTCTGAGACATTCTATAAAGTTTATAAGGTCACATGCCTTCACATGACAGAGAGTTTTCAAAGTACATGTAGCTTTTGTAAAGAAGGCAGAGCTTTTACTTCACTATGGATTAGTCGTAAGGTCACAGGCACTCTTTTGACAATAATATTCAGTACCATGAAGTTTATTTTCTTGAAAACTTTTATGAATTAGTTTAACATATACAAGAATTTCAGGATTCAGTAATTGGGTGAAAATGTGCAATTCATTATAGGTAAGTGGTAATGGTAGCACTTTCTTCAACTCCTCTGCCCAAATCGTAAACTTGGATATGTATGATGGCTCATTTCGAAGCTGAGACATTTTCACATATGTAGTTAAATTTCCGGATATGAAGTGAGATTCATTTTTTAATAATTTTATACACCCCTAAAAGCCTTTCGTGAATCTTTGAAAATTCAATTTTTACATACCATTAAATAACTCCATAGTTTTTACACCTTTATTCTATTGTCCTCTGCTCTTCATATCTGCACAAATGCTTAAGCTCAGTCATTTGTTAAAAATTGGAAAAAGTACAATATCACTGCTCAGTGATTTTTTGTTAAATATTGTATTTGAGTTCCTCAATTTGAAACACATTAGGGATATTGACCCAATTTATCAAATTTGTCCGAATATATATCAATTCTGTGTAAAGTTCAGATTCAACTGTTAAAGAAAGAGAAGGCTAGACTTGTACAAAAGTTAAAGGTTTCATACTGACATTACTTTTTTCTGTTACACAGATTCAGTTGTTAGAGAAAGAGAAGGCCAGAATTGTACAAGAGTTAGAGGATGTACATAAAGTACACAAAGATGAGTTAGAGATACAACAGTTACAACATTTCCAGGTAGGTATTGTGTAATTTACATGTTGATATCATTAGAATATCATGGGATACTTGATCAACTAATATTATGAAATCTTCATTGAAAAATGATGACCTCAGTCAAATCTTTGTAGTCAAAATGAATACTGAACTAAATGCAAGATCTCCTGCAGCACCTTTTGATATATTTCAGTTAATCCCACTGCCCCAAATAAAACCTGTATTTGCACTAGATATGCTGAAAAAAGTAGGATAGATAGTAAAGCGAATCATTATTTTATTTGTTTTAATAGGGAAATAGTCTGACTTAAATAGTTCTTGTTAAAAAATGACACAAAACATCTAGAGGATAAGCTGTAAAAACAAGGGTAGGAAGGGTTAGCAGAAATACAGTGTTTTTTTTAGGCTTAAGGATAGATTTAAAGCAAGAAATTATAAATCAAATTTTTGCTCCTTTGTTTTACAGACATTTAGAAGTTATAGAGAGATGTTTGAGGAGCAGAAGATAGCACTAGATCAGAGATACAGACAGTTGTTAGAGGATGCTATTCAGGATGCTGTGTTCTTGTCAAGTCGTAACAATGAATTACAGGATGAGAATAAATCTCTCAGGCAACGTTTGTATACATAAAGGCTTTACTTAATTTCACTTATACTTGCATCTGCCAGCATCATATAGCCAGTTTTTTTTATTAAGAAGTTAATATAACTAAATTGGATACTGTTGTATGGAACAGTCTGCATGTTCCATTGAATAAGTCAAAAAAGATCACCTTAAATTATATCTGTTTAGGGCCTCCTTGGCCAATTGGTCTAAGTATGAAATAAGAAGATTAGGTATGATTGCCAATGAGACAACTATTTGACAGAGTCCAAATGAAATTCAATTAAGCAATTATAGGTCATTGTTCAGCTTTCAAACAATGAAAAAAAAACATACTGTACAGTCAGCTATAAAAGGCCTTGACATGACAAAATGTGAAACAATTCAAAATGATAAAACTAATGTCCTGATTTATGACAAAACAATAAACAAAAAACAGATATAATAGACAGGAACCAACAACAAACACTGAAATATATGCACCTGATTTGGGACAGGCACTAACAAAATGTAGCTGGGTTAAACATTTGTGAGTGCTCAATTCATTGTCAGTGATCAGTAACCTGTCAACAATGAGGTTGTGAGTTTGAATCCCACTTTTCTTTTGAAGACAGATGTCGCTCTCTGCTATCTGGGTACTCCTTTTTCCTCCATCAATAACAAGAGTGAACACGCTGAAATGTCTCGCCTGCTTTACTGACCATTGATTTTATGTTGATAGTCCTAAATATAAAGCTTTACTACAAGTATCACATAAACTTAACATGATTCAAGAAAATGAGGTCAAGGTCAGATAAACCAAACCGGAAATACATGTACACCTTATAATCATTCCATACACCAAAATAGTTGACCTATTGCTTAAAGTTTCTAAGAAACAAGCTTAACCAGGAAAACTTAACATTGACCAATGAACCATGAAAATGAGGTCAAGATCAGATGAACCATGCCAGACAGACATTTACACCTTACAATCAATCTATGCATTAAATATAGTTGACCTATTGCTTATAGTATCTAAGAAAAAAACTTAACATTGACCTATGAACCATGAAAATGAGGTCAAGGTCAGATGATACCTGCCAGACAGACACATACACCTTACAATCATTCCATACACCAAATATAGTACACTTATTGCTTAATGTATCTTATATATGGACTTGACCACAAAAATTTAAACTTGTTTTGATCCATGAACTGAGGTCAAGGTCAAATGATAACCGTCTGACAGGCATGAGGACCTTGCAAGGTACGCACATACTAAATATAGTTATCGTATTACTCATAATAAGAGAGAAATTAACATTAAAAAAAATCTTAACATTTTTGCAAGTAGTCACTGAACCATGAAAATGAGGTCCAGGACAATGGACAAATGACAGACGGAAACTTCAAAACATAAGACATCTATATACAAAGTATGAAGCATCCAGGTCTTTCACCTTTTAAAATATAAAGCTTTTAAGTAGTTAGTTAACGCCGCTGCCGGATCACTATCCCTATGTCGAGCTTTCTGCGACAGAAGTCGCAGGCTCGACAAAAACTGGCCGCCATGAAATAGCCAAGAGGGCTGAAAGTGGCTTTAAACACCTACAATCAACATCTTCAATCTGTTTACTGTAATTTGTTTATAACTTTATTTATATACATCATATACCTTTATGTTTAGATATTGCTGAGATGAAGGATGTGATAACTAAACTTGGAGGAAGAATTCCACCAGAGCCTGGTATGACTGCTTAGAACAATCATGTTGACTTCAGACTTCTGTCCTCGGTCAAAATATTCTGCAGACTGCAATCATTATGACTTGTTTTTAAATTCAAAAGTTATTCTTACAATAATGAAGGGCGTCCTTTTCAAACTTGTGAGGTTTTCATGATAGACACATTTAAATGCTGCTATTGACAATTCCATTAAACTTCACTTTGTGTATAAGTCACTTCTATGATGGTTTTTATATTTCAAAAAATTAATTTACCTAAACACCTTAAGTGCTTGTATTGAATACCATTTAATATGATAATCAAAAGAATGAACTGTAAATTTTTAGCTGTTTTTTCCCTAATACTGGTACAGTTAACTCTTTCCACAAAATATTATAAAACTCTGAATTATTTGCCCCTTATTCAGAAGCTGAAGACTTATTAAACCATAGATATTTACATATTAGTTAAATAATAAATCAGATTGGTTTACTTTGACTCTATGACATTGTCAGAAGTTTTATTTCTTACATTCATTGTAAATTTATTGCAGTAAATATTCCTGTAGATTAATATGAAATTTTCAAGGACAAAAATATTTTTTCTTATGATGGACACATGTATAAATCCAAAAAATTCTGTCCATATTTATTTATAACAATTTGTGTGTTATATGGACAGAATAATCCAAAGATAAACATTCCGTCCACTTTTTACAGTTTCCCTCCAGTCTCCATGTTGTGTATATGTATTTGTAAATAATGAGCATATTTGCTACTTTTTTAAGTGCTGGTCACTTATTTGTTATTTTTATATTATTAACAATTTTTAAATATAATTCATATGTATAACTCTAATAAAATTATGATATTCCTACAAAATGGAAGCAGAAATAGGTGTTACAAATTCAAAATGGGCTGTTTCAGAAATGTTTGCAAGGAGGCATATGAAATAAGTTTTTGGTAGGTGGTTGCATTTTTTTCAGACATTTTCAAGTATTATATAGAATTTTTTACATTTTACATAGTTTTTGTTGAGGTTTCTCATTAAAGATGCCTCCTAACTTCCGTACATTTAGTTAGAACAATCGTAATTTTTTTTACTAATATTTATCAATTATAAATAGTTACTGATGTTCTTATTAACTCTCTTTTTTTAATATTAAAACAGAAATTTGCAACTATATATCGATTAGGTTTTGAAATATTCATTTATAAAACTCATTAATAATGAAATTGCTATAAATATATTCTTTCTTTCTAATGAAAATAACTTTTTTTAAACATATAAAACTATTAATGTGCTTTCATAAGACAAGGGAGATAAAAACATATTTGATGTCTTATTTCAAACTTTTAAAATGGTTGCAGTGACTATATAGATACTCACATTATTTCAAAATTCAAATTCAACTTAAACATCATTTATCCATTAGTATAACTTTTTAAATTGTGAGTTTATTTTCAGAGCAGGAAAAGATAAGCTAGAATCAATTATAAATGTTTTTCTTCAATTTTGATATTTGAGGAAACTATGCAATTTTAATACCTGTAATGGGACTACATCATATCTTTATATTCTAGTAAGATTGGACATTTTTATATGTTTACAAAAGCACTATTCACAATGCATTTGCACCTGAAATCTAAAATTGTTTATAAATTCCAGTCTGGTACTTGGAATTAATTTTGTGCAATATGTGATATGTTTTCTTATAGTGATTGATAACTTTGTAAGATTTCTTGAAACATTTTAGCAAGGTGTTAAATTCAGTAAATAATGAAAAAATTCAATAAAATGAACAATCCAATTATTACGATCTAATTATAGCCAGTAATTTTATGCTACAGCTTGTACTTGAAATCTCAATCAAGGATCTCACATTATTTCAGATTCACAAATTTTGTCACTAATTCTGACATATGTTTAAATGAACTGTAAACGTGGAAATTGAAGCTTATTTTGCAATAATTTATAATATGTGAAAATATTTTGAATTTTGTGATAGACCTTACTTGTAAAATGAATTAAAAAACTATTTAACAGTCTACTGAAACTCTAATGACAATTCAGTACAATACATTACTGTAAATTCAGAAATTATTGCGTGCATTTATTATTGCGATTTTGTCATTTAAGACTAAAATGCAATTTTAATTTTTGCGATATTGAGAAAAATCCTGTTTAATTCATATAAAAAATTTCAAAATGCGAGTTTAAATTATTGCGATTATAACCCTGTCGCATTTTTCGCAATAATAAAAACATCGCAATATTTTCTGAATTTACAGTATTAGTGAAATGCTGTGAGATCCACAGAAAATTCAATAAAATTTCTTTTTATTCCATAGAAATTGGTTTTATTTTCTTTTTCCTGCACAGCATGTTTTAAGAATTTGACAAACAGATAAAAAAAGAAATCATTAATTTTGTTTGTGCATTAATGGATGAATTTTTTCAAAGACTTTTTAGTCCACTTGTTTGTATTGATCAATACAGTATTGAAAATGAAACAAATATTAAAACTTTTCATTGTAACATTATATATTTGGAATAATTTTGTTAATCATTATATTTAATAAATTTTAGAATAAACTACAAACTGTTGATGTTTTAATGGATCATAAAAAAGTAGAACTTAAATTACATTGCAATGTCTAAGTTTTTATATGCCCGTTTACGGGCCATCTTATGGTCCGTCCTTCCATCCGTTGTCAACATGTCAGACAATAACTCAAAAATGCTTAAACCAATTTTCATGAAACTTTGGTGAATTGTTCATATCTATTAATGTAAGCTCTTTTATTCATAAAAAGTTTTTTTTCCAGTTTTCGGACAATAACTCAAAAATGCTTTGAGCAGTTTTCATGAAACTATGGGGACTGGTTTATATCTATTAAAATAAGCTCTGTTTACTTATTTATAAATTTCTGATATGAAATTGAGTTCTGGAACTTTATTCATTAAAAAAGTGACGGGCGTATCATGCGATCATGGCACAGATCTGTATTAGTCATGTGTTTGTCATTTATGAAGTGTTGATGGTAGATCTTTAATAGTTGTGTTTTATTGACAACTTTTCTAGGGTCAGGTTGATTAACAGCGTCAATCAATTTTAAACTACAAGGGGTATATTTGTTGGATGAGCACCACTATAAGGAATGTGTCTCTAGTATTTCATTTGGTTGAGCTGTTGCTAGCATACAATTAGACAATATAAAATAAAGAGATGTGGTATGATTACCAATGAGACAACTACCCAGCAAAGACCAAATGACGTAGATGTAAGCGACTATGTGTCACTGTATGGCCTTCAACAATGAGTAAAACCCATATTGAATCAACTTGACTTAGGTATATAGTAAAATATTTTGAAAGTGCACTTTGATCCTTAATCCTGCTATTTCATGCATAAGCAAGCAAAAGTATATTAGAAAGATATAGGTGTCACACCACCAATTCAAAATCTCTATATATTTAAACATTTTTTAAAGATTTTCACCTCAAGTTCACCAAAACCATGCATATCCTAAATTGTACATGTATCATCTTTCTACATGCTAATTTTCAACCAATTGTTGTCTTGAAGTGACACACATGACGTTCCAGAATTCACCTTGTACTAAAGATAGCACTTCAGTTTTCTGAAATTCTTTATCAAGCATGCCATGTACCACATCTGCCCTTTTGGGCTCAAAATGGTCCTAGCATATTTCTCATTCACCAAGTTTCATTCATGCAACTGCATTTGCTAAGTTAATTGAACAACTTCAAAATAATTTATGTTGTCAGAGTAGTGCTAATTTTACATATGATCTCAATGTGATAGGTTGAATTTGTGGTGTGGCACTGAGAGAAAAACAGATTAAACCTGAAGAAGTGATGAGATATTATATTGCAACTGTGCTATTTGTGCACTCAAAATACATTAACTGTATAAACTTTAGATTGATAGTCACGGACTATATAAACCCTTGTTTGTAACGTTATACATTTCTGTAGAGGTTTATCTATGGCATCAATGAAGGTTTGTGCTATTTGAACATAGTGTGTTTCTTTAATATTAGTGATTGTTAATTTTTACTCAGAATTTTTCATTTGGAATAGTGTTAGGAGTTGCAGAATACAGAGAATAAGAATATATTGTTTCTATATATATAAACTTATTTTTGTACTTGGCTTGAAACCGCTTGGCAAAGCCTCACAATCTATATGATTCTTAGCCTTGAACACACATAATATATATTTGAGATAATGTAGTTATTCTACATTTCTATCCTGTCCTCCTTTTCCCCGGATGGACCTACTGAATTGGACTCATCACTGGGTTTGTGTTTACATGAGCAACACCAAAGATGCTACATGTGGAGCAGGATCTGCTTACCCTTCCAGAGCACCAGAGTTCACCCCTGGTTATTAGTGGGGTTCGTGTTGTCTTTAGTTTTCTATGTTGTGTTTTGTATACTGTTGTTTGTCTTTTGGTCTTTTTCTTTTTTGCCATGGCTTTGTCAGTTTATTTTCATATTTTAAGTTTGAATGTCCCACAGTATCTTTCACCTCTCTTCTATGTTTAGAAATTGTAAAACATCAGATGCATAACAAAATAATTTTTTTTAGATTGGCATTTTAAACATGAAGGTCTACAAACTGGGCTTTTCTTTCTCACAGAAGATTGGCATTTTAAACAAGAAAGTCTACAAACTGGGCTTTTCTTTCTCACAGAAGATTGGTATTTTAAACATAAAGGTCTACAAACTGGGCTTTTCTTTCTCACGAAAGATTGGCATTTTAAACATGAAGGTCTACAGACTGGGCTTTTCTTTCTCACAGAAGATTGGTATTTTAAACATAAAGGTCTACAAACTGGGCTTTTCTTTCTCACGAAAGATTGACATTTTAAACATGAAGGTCTACAGACTGGGCTTTTCTTTCTCACGAAAGATTGACATTTTAAACATGAAGGTCTAAACTGGGCTTTTCTTTCTCACAGAAGATTGGCATTTTAAACATGAAGGTCTACAAACTGGGCTTTTCTTTCTCACAGAAGATTGGCATTTAAAACATGAAGGTCTACAAACTGGGCTTTTCTTTCTCACAGAAGATTGGTATTTTAAACATGAAAGTCTACAAACTGGGCTTTTCTTTCTCACAGAAGATTGACATTTTAAATATGAAGGTCTACAAACTGGGCTTTTCTTTCTCACAGAAGATTGACATTTTAAATATGAAGGTCTACAGACTGGGCTTTTCTTTCTCACAGAAGATTGACATTTTAAATATGAAGGTCTACAGACTGGGCTTTTCTTTCTCACAGAAGAATGACATTTTAAACATGAAGGTCTACAAACTGAGCTTTTCTTTCTTACAGAAGATTGGTATTTTAAACATAAAGGTCTACAGACTAAGCTTTTCTTTCTCACAGAAGATTGGCATTTTAAACATGAAAGTCTACAAACTGAGCTTTTCTTTCTCACAGAAGATTGGTATTTTTAACAAGAAAGTCTACAAACTGAGCTTTTCTTTCTCACAGAAGATTGGTATTTTAAACATGAAGGTCTACAAACTGAGTTTTTCTTTCTCACAGAAGATTGGTATTTTAAACAAGAAAGTCTACAAACTGAGCTTTTCTTTCTCACAGAAGATTGGCATTTTAAACAAGAAAGTCTACAAACTGAGCTTTTCTTTCTCACAGAAGATTGGCATTTTAAACATGAAGGTCTACAAACTGGGCTTTTCTTTCTCACAGAAGATTGGCATTTTAAACATGAAGTTTTACAAACTGGGCTTTTCTTTCTCACAGAAGATTGGTATTTTAAACAAGAAAGTCTACAAACTGAGCTTTTCTTTCTCACAGAAGATTGGCATTTTAAACAAGAAAGTCTACAAACTGAGCTTTTCTTTCTCACAGAAGAATGACATTTTAAACATGAAGGTCTACAAACTGAGCTTTTCTTTCTTACAGAAGATTGGTATTTTAAACATGAAGGTCTACAAACTGGGCTTTTCTTTCTCACAGAAGATTTGTTTTTTAAACATGAAAGTCTACAAACTGAGCTTTTCTTTCTCACAGAAGATTGGTATTTTTAACAAGAAAGTCTACAAACTGAGCTTTTCTTTCTCACAGAAGATTGGTATTTTAAACATGAAGGTCTACAAACTGAGTTTTTCTTTCTCACAGAAGATTGGTATTTTAAACAAGAAAGTCTACAAACTGAGCTTTTCTTTCTCACAGAAGATTGGCATTTTAAACAAGAAAGTCTACAAACTGAGCTTTTCTTTCTCACAGAAGATTGGCATTTTAAACATGAAGGTCTACAAACTGGGCTTTTCTTTCTCACAGAAGATTGGCATTTTAAACATGAAGTTTTACAAACTGGGCTTTTCTTTCTCACAGAAGATTGGTATTTTAAACAAGAAAGTCTACAAACTGAGCTTTTCTTTCTCACAGAAGATTGGCATTTTAAACAAGAAAGTCTACAAACTGAGCTTTTCTTTCTCACAGAAGATTGGCATTTTAAACATGAAGTTTTACAAACTGGGCTTTTCTTTCTCACAGAAGATTGGTATCTTAAACATGAAGGTCTACAGACTGGGCTTTTCTTTCTCACAGAAGAATTATGCAAATGGAATGATTTTGACAAACTTCAACTGAAATCCTATTTGACCTTCTTATCCTGTTATATAATATGGTCAGGTGACTTACCAAGAAGTTGATATTCATCGTGACACATGTTCTTGATAACAACCATGCCTAACTTTCTGACCTAATCATGTTTAATGGGATCAAATCTTAGGAAAAGGACTATGCAAGAAGTTCTGTAGTCGAACCTTCATATAAAGGTCACACCCAGGACCACAGAAAACTAGTCTTATAAGAGGAGTGAGCTTTGAAATGCATATTTATTACTAAAGAGGAATAACAAGAGTGTACTATGACAAGAACGGTTTTCACTTAATTGAGGTGACATTTTATAGCAGGTTTAACTGTATGTTCATATGCAGAAAACATAACAATCAGCATTTTTTTTATGAAATACTGTGTAAACCAGCTATAAACAGAACTCCATTAAGTCTCCTCTGATGTCAATAGATTACACATAATAGCAAACAAGACAGAATTTAAATACTTTTATTTCAATCAAAGTCACACCATTTGAGATTCAAAAGAAAAGCATTCTAATATAATAATAATAATAATAAAACAACACATCAAGAAAATATCATCAACAAAATTTACAACTTCAGTAAAACATAACAGAATAAAAATTGGCATGAGTGTACTGTAAAATCCAATGATCTAACATAACTAAATATGAGAATTATTCAATAATTCTTTTTGTTTTGTATAGAAAACAAAGATTTTACATTAAATAGCATCATGGCTCTGATTTACAATAAATGGGTCACAGTTCCAAGAATATCGATATTGGCTAATACAATTTTTAATTCAGAAATTATAGCTATGTTTTTATTATTGTGAAAGTTGTGATGGGATGTGTTTTGAAAAATAAAAAGTTGCATTTTAAAATTTTGATAGCATTGATTGTAGTAGTATTTCCTGAAATATCTCACATTTGCATCCCCCATTGGTCAACAATCACGATAATAAATAAACTCATCATAGATACCAGGATTGAAATTTTGCATGCATTAATTATACAAAGGAGTAAGTTCAGTAAGACCCCTTTTTGGCCCCAAAATATAGCAGTTTTACAAAATTGTTAAAATTTAAACTTTTAGCTATTAATTGGAAAGTAGAATACTTCTGCTATATAAATATGGGCTGTTTTTGACAATACAATGCACATATATCGGGTACTAGCATCATTAAGTCATGCTAAATTACTGAAATCTTCACAATTTTAGCATTTTAGTTAAATTTTAGACGGTTTTCGTCTTAAATGGAAGTGGCCGCATTTGTGTTCATTCTTATGATAATACATAACATATATAAAGGTTGAGAGTGAACACGGATGCGGCCACTTTCATTTTTGACAAAAACTATCTGAAAAGTGACATATTATGGCTTATTTGATAGATTTTTCATATTTAAGCTTGAATTTGAGTGCCTTTAATGATAAAATCAGTTCAAATCTTTCACAAAAACTAATTGAATCGACTGAAGTAGACACCTAAGTGTTTAAAAAGTGTCAACAATCTTTCATCAGATGAACCTGAAATTTGAGGCCAAAATCGGCTCTTACCGGACCTACTCCTTTACATTATCAATTGAAGGCTAGCCCAGAACCAACTGTTCCCATTGAAAGCATATATTTTTCTCTTGTATTTATTCTTTATTCAATTTTAAACAATGGAAAATAATGTAAACTATTATGCAGTTTCCTTATAACTTACTTATCTGTGATATATAATTACAATATAGACTTAGTACAACTACTTTTTATCAATTTGTTGTTAGACAATTGTCCATTGGTTGTATGGTATCAGGCTATTCCTGGAAAGTTCTATGGTGAGATCAGAATCCTTCTTCTCAAATAATACATGGTGTGGTCAGAACCATTCACATCAAATAGTATAGGGTGGTCAGAACCATTCACATCAAATAATATAGGGTGGTTAGATTCATTCACATCAAATAATATAGGGTGGTCAGATTCATTCACATCAAATAATATAGGGTGGTCAGATTCATTCACATCAAATAATATAGGGTCAGGATTTAGATGACTTGTAAGGAATCAAGTACTTTGTTTTTTAATACTATATACTTTCATTATAATTATAATACTATCAATCTTAATTTGAAAACAATCTATGTAAATGAGCTAAAAATATATAACAAATGGCCACAGATCATATTTACATTACATTACTGTAAAATGTTGATACAATTTCATATCGGCTAAAATATTATATTAAGGGTCTTTATTTGTAAAAAATAAACTACAGTTTCTAGATGATTGCTTTTAAAAACATACAGATCTGCTAACATATATGTTAACCCTGTATTACAGAAAACACAACAAAATAATGATTTAACAAATAAAATGAAGCGGATTGTGTGCACTGAATAGGCAGTTAAAAACACATGATATTTATATGATTTACTATTTTAAACAATGGACATTGTTACAATTAACCCCAAATTTTGTCTGTTAAAATGCAGTTAAATTTGTAAAACATATAAAACTTACTGACAGCATCAAGTTAACAAAATCTAAGTAACATATCTAAAACAGTCTAACAAATGTGACAATGTCAACACTGAAATAAGTTAATAAATAACACAGAATGACCTTGTAACAGACAACATTTTAACATTGTACCAAAAATGTATGAAATCTACATGATACTCAAATCTGTAAAAGGTTTATGATTTTGAACATTCCATAAAATAAGCTTCCATATATACATTTATTTGTGTGTCAAATCTAAAAAGCGTAAAAATACAACAAAAATTTCCAACACTTGTTTAATACAGCAAACAGCACAAAAATGTTCATACTTAAGGGTATTACCATTATTCCCTTTGAAGTATATACATTGTTATTTAAAACATTACATTGTATAGTTTTAATTACAGAATGGCAAATAGACGTTTTGAGCAACCAAATCCTGTATCTGTTACTACTACAGAGATATCTACTTCAGGAAAACTCTACTAATAACTAAATTATATCATAAAATGTCTACTTAATAAAATATGATTTAATACAAGTTAAACATTCTTAATACACATGTACAATAATATAGTACTGAATATAATAACTGAAATGTACTGCAATACTTGCTCATTATTTTGCTGAACCTTGAATTTTCTAACTTTACAATGAAAAACAAAAAAAGTGGCTAAAAAAATCACAAAGTATTTAAATGCTATACAGTTATTCAATTTTAAATGCTGGCCATTTCGGGATTAAATATAAATCCTTGTCATCAAAATGTTGTACTTGTAGTTAAAATACTCTAAATTCAGAAAAATTTTGAGATGGTTTTATTTTTGTGAAAATTGGGACGAAATGGGTGTTGCAAAAATAAACTAAAATTTTCAATTATTAAAGCCATAATTTGTATGCAGCATTTCCTGAAACTGAAATTATTTAATTTATTGACAGTTGAATAATTGCAAATAATAAATGCAAGCAAGAATATCTGAATTTACAAAACTTAAAACTGACAATTTGATGTTAAAATTTACACAATTATAATACAAGATATTTGATAAATTACATATTATGTTTAATTAAAATACTTGTTACTTACAATTTGATCTTAAAAATTTCAACTTCTATTATACAAGTCGTTTAATAAAGTATATAAATTATGATGAAATATTTCCATGAACAAAATAATGTCTGATTTTGTCATAAGTCATTCTCATTTTATGTAATTAACTTTTTACAAAGAGATCAATGGGAGCGATAAATTGAGTACCCTGACAAACAAGGCACAAAGTTCAAGGTATAAAAGCAAGATATCATTAATGCCACAGAAATAAAAACTGACTGCCAAGAAATAGCACAATAGTGTTGAAAGTGGCGTTAAACACCAATCAATCAATCAATCAATGCCACAGAAACAAATTTAAAACATATATCAGCATGATTAATCAGATTTATAACATATCCACAAAGCAAATGTGGACATTATAATGTGCTCAACACACAATATTTGCTGAAAACAATCTCTTTACTTCAAAAATGGTCAGATACAGTAATGCTGAGATGCTTACTGCAGGTTATTTTCTTAAAAGAAATTCAATGTGGAAAAACTCCATCTAAATTGAACTTTTACTTTTTGGTTATCATTCCTAATTAACCCCTTTTATCTTGTGTGTTAGGTAAAGAGTAATTGATATCAAAATAACAAACCAAAAATACCAAAATGTCCTTACAAATATTTAGTGTCAGGACATACAGCAAGTATGCTGAATCAACGAAGCATGAATCTGTCTTATAAGTTCCAATTTATGCAATCAGTCTTTTTAACTCCCTTTTCTCACAAACTGTATATGTTTGGCTATCTCTGATTAAAATATGGAGGCAGTGATTTTTTTGTCAAGGTATTTAAAGAAACAATTTGAGTAAAAATGCTCAAAAATCTAATTTCAGGGATTTCCAAAATTTTAATCCTTTTCTTATTAGAATTGTGAATGATGTCAAATCTGTTGAAATAACTAAGATTGGTTTGGCTGCCTTTCATGCTCATGCCCATTGTGTTGATAATAAAGGATGAGATGACTTGAACAGAAATAAGCATGTAAAGTATTGTGTCAACAGAAAAACAATGATGAAGATGAAACACCAAAACCATAACACCACTGCAAAAATATGTGGCTGCATGAACAAATTCTGAATAAAAATATAAAACTGCAATTTATAATGTATTTGGCAAAAATGGAAATAAATGAATTCATAACTGCAAAGCTGTAATCCTAATTCTTTAACATCAATCTATATCATGTATACAAATTCTATTTTTTATTAGAAAAAAAGAAATCAACCTTAAATGTTTTTGTTGGATGAACAACAAGTTTGGTTCCTCCTTTCAGGTAAATATTCCTTTCAGATCTTCATCATCTCCTTATCTTGATCATTGTTGATGTACAGTATATATCATCTGCCCTTTAGCACCTCATTCCTTAATCCCAGTCTACTGAATCAGGATTGTCAACAGGTAAAACTATCAAACATTTCTGTATCAATGTATTAATAGCATCTACAAATAAAGACAATATTTTCCTACTATAATCTTATTCATTATAATAAAACCATCTTAAGAAAAAAAGTTCACTGAATAATGAACATGTGTACTTCGTTAATGTTACCATCATGGTGAACTAACTTAAACCTGACATTTAACCTTTTACATACAGACTAACAGCCAGAAATAAAACAATATGACTCCAGAGCCTAAATAAATAGTTAAATGAAAAGTACCAGTAAAATTTGGAGAAGTAAAAGTTTTATTTTTTTCACTTTCGCCAAATTAACCTAATACCAAGTACGCAGCAAAATAAATTACCCTCAAGTGCTTGTTATATAATACATGTATGTTCAGTAGGGACCATTTCAAAATGTAAAAGATATTTGGCCCATAAATATAGCAAACATATCATATGTGAATTTACAATGGTATTGGAAGTTTTATAGGATCCACCATAAACTAATATCAATAGTCCTCATGTACACAAGATTTATTATAGAAATCCAATGATGAGTAATAGATAATGTAGCAGTATATTTCTGTAACAGTTCCATTTATATTTTCAAATGACATTTTTTATTTATGGTGACCTTCTGTTTCTTTCACATTATATTACTATCAACATGTATATTAAAAGGGACAAACTAAATCCTCAAATGATTTTTCAATTCCCAAGGCTAGACAAATATCCTTTTTTCTTTTTGCCTTTTGGTCCTCTTTGGTTTAATCAGCTCTTCAACATTTTGATTTGGTTTTGGACTCCCAAAATATTTTGGCTTTCAGCAGAACTGAAGAGACATTTATTGTTGAAATGTGGATCTGGTGCAGTAAATTTGTACCTTAAATGTCAGTGTATTTCATTAATGTTAAATATTTAAAATAATCAAACTGTATGAAAACTTACACATTTTTTGCTGTATAAATTTAGGTTTATTTTTCCATACAACACACACGATGTACATAACCAGTCCAAAGGCTACAAATCCTAAAGCCATCAAACTTTCTCTGGTTTTCTGGTAGAAAGTCAATGCAACAATCAGGAAACTGATGATACACAGAATTATAGGCAATAAAATAGGAAGCTGTCAAAAATAAAACAAAATTAATTGGCATTAAAAAGTGGCGGTTGAAATCTTAAAATTATCAATATATATATTTATTAATTTATGATTCAAAATCAATGTCCAAAATTTTGTAGCAATTGGTTTTTTGTCCAAATTTTTCGTCGTTAATCTCCATTTTTGTTAATAGGTGGACAATGTTTAAAGGAGGTTCAGCAATTTAACATAATTTTTAAAGGAGATCATAAATGTATCTTAACCTCAGTTTATTGGCAATTAGTTCCTCGCAGTATTTTCCTGCTGTTTTTATTCTTTGTTGATTTTACCCCAATGTTCTAATTTTGGAAAAAAAGGCTATGTTTGTTGGCAAGTCATGAGGCATACTATTTGATATTAACCACCTTAGGATTATGTAGGCTAAATTTGGTTCCAAATGGCAAAGTGGTTTCTGAGGAGGAAATTTCTATCACAGATACTTTATTGAGGCCATAAAACATGAGAGAAGTCAGTTCAACCAGCTGTAGTTTTATTTTTAGTCAAATATTTTCATTACAACTTATTTCTTTTTTTTAATAAATGAGCCAATAAACAATTGACTGAGACCTAGATAACTTTGTATAAATGAGCCAATAAACAGTTGACTGAGACCTAGATAACTTTGTATAAAACCTTACCCTGATTGGTCTTGGTAAGTCAGGTTCTTTGTACCTGAGGTAAACCTGTCCAGCAAACACCATTGTTAACACAGAGGCAAAACCAAATCCTTCCATCTCAATCAGGAAAAATATATCTCCTGTTGATGTGTAGATTAAGGTCATGACCAACTGAAGAAAATTAAACAAATACTGTTATTTTTTTTCTGCTAGAAAATATAATTTCATGAATTATTGCATTGCAACATCTTGATTGTGATTGTCATAAAGAAGGAAAGCTATGTAGTAGTTTTAACAATGTCTAAAGTCAAATTAGACTTTTTGTATAATGCATGGACAGCAGTTTAGCATTGTAATTAAAGGTCAAATATAGAGGTCAAAAGTCAAAATCTGATAATTCTCTAAGTCAAACGATAATTCTCAAATGGAACTTTCCCCTCCAGTCATCGAATTAAAATAAGAGCATCAGGAAATAAAATAAGAGGCCCCTAGTAGGGTAAGCATACTTAAAACAAAACAAATTTTGAAAATTGCCATTGTCAATACTTTCTTTTTAAACCATTTCATTAAGTAATCTTTAATTGGAATTGTGTCAATCTTTTTTTCTAGTACAGACTAAATTTTTCACAACTTACAATGACTAAAAGTGACGGAGAAGGAGTCAATCTTTTTTGTTGTATCATCCCCATGAAGGCTGGCAGCTGTCCTTTTGTTGAGCCAACATAGAATAATCTGAAAAGTCAACATATGGATTTATAATATCTATTTTTATACACTATATAGTACTATCACCAACATAATTATCTTACTTTTCCTATGGGGGTCTTTTCCTATACAATGGTATACACAGACATGCTGCTGGTATGGGTCACTCTTTCAGAATGCCAAATATATCAATGGGGTGCAATTTCATATAGATTATATATTAATGGGTGAAATTTCTATGTCAATGGGTCATAAATGTTCATTTATGCTAAGACTTCTGCAATAAACAGCTGCACCATGAGTGCATGATACACCCGTCTCTTTTTCAATAGATATAAACCAGTCACCAAAGTTTCATGAAACTGCTCAAGGCATTTTTCAGTAATTGTCCGAAAACTGGAAAATCCCCCTTTTTTAATGAATAAAAACCCATAACTCAGAAATGTAAAATCTAAAATTTATTGAATTCAAAAGGGAGCTCACATCAATAGACATAAACAATTCACCAAAGTTTCATGAAAACTGCTCAAAGCATTTTTGAGTAATTGTCAGAAAACTGGAAAATCCCCCTTTTTTAATGAATAAAAACCCATAACTCAGAAATGTAAAATCTAAAATTTATTGAATTCAAAAGGGAGCTCACATCAATAGACATAAACAATTCACCAAAGTTTCATGAAAACTGCTCAAGGCATTTTTGAGTAATTGTCCGAACTCTGGAAAATCTCCCCTTTTTAATGAATAAAACTCCATAACTTGGAAACGTAAATAAAATTCATGAAAATCGAAAGGGAGCTCACATCAATAGATATAAACAATTCACCAAAGTTTCATGAAAACTGTTCAAAGCATTTTTGAGTTATTGTCCGAAAACTGGAAAATCCTCCTTTTTTTAATGAATAAAACACCATAACTCGGAAACATAAAATCCAAAATTTATCTAAAAGGAGCTCACGTCAATAGATATATAAACAATTCACCAAAGTTTCATGCAAATTGGTTAAAGCGTTTTTGAGTTATTGTCTGACATGTTGACGAAGGGCGGACGGACAGAGGTATACCATAATACGTCCCTTAAACAGGCGTATAAAAACGGTGTTAAATCTTTTTATGTAATTAATATGAATGATTCGTGTGGTTAACATCTAATTAAAATGTCATATATAGATATAAGAAGATGTGGTATGAGTGCCAATGAGACAACTCTCCATCCAAGTCACAATTTATAAAAGTAAACCATTATAGGTCAAAGTACGGTCTTCAACACAGAGCCTTGGCTCACACTGCACAGCAAGCTATAAAGGGCCCCAAAAATTACTAGTGTAAAACCATTCAAACGGGAAAACCAACGTTCTAATCTATATAAAAAACGAGAAACGAGAAACACTTATGAACCACATCACCAAACAACAACTACTGAACATCAGATTCCTGACTTAGGACAGGTGCAAACAATTGCAGCAGGTTCAAACGTTGTACAGATTGTATGTCTAGCTGATATATATGAATGTGTTATGATTTTCCTATGAAATATATTTATGGGTAGGGATTTTCGCAAGTATCAATATATAAACGAGGGTGGTTTTTAAACCCCAGCTGAACTGTACCTACATTTGTATGTTGAGACCCTCCCCCCTCCCCCGACTTCCCCTCAATCTTCATGTTCAGATATAGGATCAGCAGTCAAGCCATGTCTATAAAAATGTTTTCCACAGTATATATTCTATCTAAATAATGGTCATTAAGAATGTTTGCACCACTGGACAAAATAGTTCATGAAAGAAATGACTCAAAAAGAAAAATCTAATACACCAAAATGAGCCTTATAAATTTGATCTACTGTCATGACTGTGGATTCACTTCTTTTTGTGGATTGAGGAAATATTGTATTCTATTGGATATTTGATTTAGTGGTTTTACTGAAGTCTGATTACAAGCCAATAAAAATTTTGTACTTCGTTGAACATTTAAAATAGAAGTTCATCTATAGTGGTTTGTGTTGCTTAGTTTTTGGTTTTCTATGTTGTGTTTTGAATACTGTTGTTTGTCTTTTGGTCTTTTTCTTTTTTTGCCATGGCATTAATTTATTTTTCATCTATGAGTTTGAATGTCTCTTTTGTATCTTTTGGCTCTCTTCTACATGAAAATTGGTATTCCAAAAATATTTGTTTAAATGAATCCCCAGTAACTGTTATGAATACAGCAAATCAAATCAAATGTATTTGAGAATATTATAAAGATAATAAATACATTTCTTGTCTGACCATTATCTAGTTAACATTGTACATATTTATTTCTTACCTAGAGAAACCTAATGCACATCCATTCATGGTTCCACATACAGAAATGGCTATTAATACTGGCATTAACCAGGCCATAACTCCCATGGTATGTTCTCCAAAGGTCTGAAATAATACACAGAACTAAACTTATATAAATTTACATTCAAATATAACCAACACAAGATAACCATTTTATGGAATTTTACATGAGCAATCTACTGAAAACAAATGATTTAATTCTTATCATAAAATTAACTTTCAAATAAGACGCTCTTCTTTCACTTTGTAAACAAACCCATGTTCTAATTATGGGGTGCATGTGCATGACATCACAAAATAAATTGCAATATCAGAGATCAAAATGGACATTTTAGTTGCTGTTCCTCGCTAGGGAATTAAATCATGCTTAAAGTACAAAAAAGTAAATTAACATGTAATTGTTCATTTTTTTATTGTGAAACAGTTGTTTTTCAAGAATGTTTTTGCTTCATAAAATCGAAATATGTGCCTTTAGAACATGTCTTTTAGGTCCGCTTAGAAGTACAAAAGTTTTGAACTTTCCTATCAGAATAGAAATAATTCTACCATGCCATTCTCTATGTTCATTTAAACAAGGGTAGACATTCTATTTCTCATTATTTAACACCTGTCTTAAGCTTGGTATAAAGATATTGACAAATATTATGCCTACCCATGTTATAATGAGCATAGATCATGGCAAGAAAGAATTAGTAATAATATCAGACTTCTTCTACATTTCACACAAATTGATCCTGTAAGAAATACAAAACCCAATGCATTTTTTATGCACCTGTCCTAAGTCAGGAGCCTGGAGTCGGTTTCACAAAAAAACTTACGACTAAGATTGATCATCAGTCATGAACAATTCAGTATACTTACCATCAATCTTAGTTGTAAGTTTTTTTTGTGAAACCGACTCCTGTTGCTCAGTGGTTGTCGTTTGTTGGTGTGGTTCATAGGTGTTTCTTGTTTCTCTTTAGAGTAGACCATTAATTGGTTTTCCTGTTTGAATTGTTTTACACTTATTATTTTGGGGCCCTTCATAGCTTGCTGTTCGGTATGAGACAAGGCTCTGTGTTGAAGGCCGTACTTTGACCTATAATTGTTAACATTTTATACATTGTGACTTGGATGGAGAGTTGTCTCATTGGCACTCATACCACATCTTCTTATTTATATAGTAGGCAGATTTTTTTCAGAATTTCCACCCACCCCTTAGTTCAACATGTTGAAATTAAAAAGGACTGCAGTTAGAGGCTGAATAATCAAGAATATGAGGTATTAACTCAATACAAGCAACTCCATTCTTAACTTGTCTGATTCAACTCAATACAAGCAACTCCATTCTTAACTTGTCTGATTCAACTCAATACAAGCAACTCCATTCTTAACTTGTCTGATTTAACTCAATACAAGTAACTCCATTCTTAACTTGTCTGATTCAACTAAATACAAGCAACTTAACTTGCCTGATTCAACTCAATACAAGCAACTCCATTCTTAACGTGTCTGATTCAACTAAATACAAGCAACTTAACTTGCCTGATTCAACTCAATACAAGTAACTCCATTCTTAACTCGTCTGATTCAACTCAATACAAGTAACTCCATTCTTAACTTGTCTGATTCAACTCAATACAAGCAACTCCATTCTTAACTTGTCTGATTCAACTCAATACAAGCAACTCCATTCTTAACTTGTCTGATTCAACTCAATACAAGTAACTCCATTCTTAACTTGTCTGATTAAACTCAATACAAGCAACTCCATTCTTAACTTGTCTGATTCAACTCAATACAAGTAACTCCATTCTTAACTTGTCTGATTCAAGGTTGTTAAGAGCTTACAACAGTCCATCTTTGAAAAGCTTATGGTAACCACAGAATGTCAATATTTGTTGCTAAGTTACTATTTCATTGATATTTACTATGCATTTCTTGGAATCGTCCTAAACATGTATGAAACATCTGCCACTGGATGCAACCAACAATCAATCATTCGTATTGGTATATGTAAAAGTATGGATATTAGGCTAAACTTGTAGATGTTTTATCATTGGACGGTTGTCTCATTGGTTTATACCCTATATTTTTCTATATTTATACAATATATATACAAACCACAGCTACAGCTGGAGACGACAACATCTGTGCTGGGGTCAGGACGGCTACATAAGCTACATTGGCAATTAAGTAGGTTACTATAACTATCACCATGGAAATCAAAATTGCACGAGGAAGATTTCTGAAAGAAAGAATACATGTTGAGACTGTAATTCTGAACTTAAGAATTGAAATACTTTGAGTTTATTTTTCACACCAACAAGAAACTCTAATCCAACGAAGTGGGAGTTTATGATATTATCAGTTAGTTTCTAGGCTTTAACTAGTTTTGTCCATATCCTGTAAAATGATTTTATAAGATAAGACACTCTAGAATATAGTTGACCTATTGCTTATAGAATCTGAGAATCAGAAATAACCATGAAAACTAAACATTTACCAATGAACCATGGAAATGAGGTCAAGATCAGATGAAATCTGCCAGTCAGGCATGTACACCTTCCAATCATTCCACACACTAAATATAGTTGACCTATTGCTTACAGTATATGAGATACAGATCTTAACTTTGACTTCCAATTTCTGTGTGTTTGCCTTTTTACTTTTCCTGAAGAAATTTTGACTGAGGTAGAACCTAGCAATCTATTTTAACTGGGCATGTCATAAGGTAAGTAAAATTGTGTACAAGGGTATCAGTTAATACTTACTTGTGTGGATCTACAAGTTCTCCTACTAAAAAGTTTAAGTAACTCCTGAAATAAAATGTAGAATAACATTATGTATATCTGTTGAAAATAGGGATTTCTGATACTTTTTCTATTGGGAAGAACTGGCTGTTTATATTCACACCACTTACTAGTAAAATGTAAACTGATTTCTGTTTTGATTGACTAAATGGATGGGCTACAATGAAGAAGTCCATAACACAAAATTTTGGTAAAAAATACCTATTGACATGTTGATAAATGGCATTGCATTACCTGCATTTCATTATATATATATTATTTGGAATCGCCAATGGCAGTCAGCAGGGTTTTAGAACATCCGTTGTTCGACCTGTTAGTCAAATGCGTTTTGTTCAAATATACTTTTTCACTTTTTTGGTCTTTTGGAAAATGTTGTTTGTGCTGTATTTAGACCCCTCTACCAAGAAATTTGTTTTGCATGCACACATATAAAAATTGCGGTTTTTATCCAACTCAATCAAAAGTTTGACCATTGTTTTCAATTTAGACTTATATATACATGTATATATACACAACTGATTTATACATAGCAGATTATTTGTTCATTTAAATCAAACTGAAAATATTGTGATAACTAAGCAACTCATTTATCTACAATTATAAAAGTATCTATATATAATCAAATAGTTTGCCTCATCTTAAAATTGGCTAAACAAGCATTCTGTGAGTATTGCATGGCAATACATAGTCCCTAACCAGTTAAAAATTCATTGTACTGGAACAAAATGCTAACTTGATCTATAACTTGTCATGGTGTAAACTATATGACAAATATTAAGTCAATATCTTCAAGTATGACGAAAAAAGTGTGGAAAACTGATTATTTAAGTGAATTCTCTAAGTCCAAGGACTATAACTCTGAAAAAAATCATCAGACCGGAAAAAAATTTGAACTTGATCTGTAACTTGTCATGATAAAACTATATATCAATTATCAAATCAATATCTTCAAGCATGACAAAAAAAGTGCGGAAAACTGATTATTTGAGTGAATTTTCTAAGTCCAAGGACCATAACTCTGCACAAAATCATCAGACCGGAATAAAATGCGAACTTGATCTGTAACTTGTCATGATAAAACAATGGAAAACTGATTTGACGGACGGACGGACGGACGGACAGAGACAGACAGACGAACGGAGTGCAAACCTAAAGTTCCCTTGACGAAGTCGGGTAGGGGATAATAAACCATGTTATATAATAACTTAGCTAAACGGAAATGAACTTCAGTGTAAAAAGGATTGACATAACTGAGTTCCTTATAAAATTGAATGTTAAACCTGTTACACATCAATGAAGTGTAAAATGTAGGTCAGAGTGACCTGACCTACTTTTTAACAACAACATAAAAACTTTCAAACTACCCTAATTTCAAAGTCCATGAAGCTCAGAGAGGTACCAATCATAAAATTGAGAATAAAATAGAATACATAGTTGGTATATCTTATTTTGAATTCATGGAACATTATAAAGTTAATGAATCACTAGCCAAGGGTTACGATCCACTTCCCTCCTCTCCATCCTTGGCAGATAAAGCCAACATTTGTGATAACAATGTTGCGCCATCTCTCGGTAGATTTAAGTCACGCCCATTCCGAATACATTATTCTTGACCAATGGTAGCACTTGAACTCTTCAATTTGGAGGTAAAAACACGGTAGCGTCTAGATTCTACACACTTGGTAAAGCAGGAAACGAAAATATACGTTGACATTCATGCATTTGTGCAAGAAACATACACAGGAACTTCTATTAGTTGATTAAAAACATTCAAATTGTCACTAAATATAGTCGTATGTTTAGGGATGTAAAGACCTATTGCACAATAAGCATGTGGCAATTGTTTATATACACTTTCTACATTTACACGTGATCATGTTATGGGCGCTTTTTGATTGGATGCAGCGAGTTTCAACTGCAACCAATGAAAATCATTACCTTGTGTCTCCGAAATTCTATCTCAATCCGCCAAGGGTGGAGAGGAGGGAAGTGGATCGTAGCCCTTGGCTAGCGAAGATGTGAATGATACTGCTCGATTTAATTTAAATGATTTTTTTTCTCTCTTAATTTTTTAAATCAATGTATTAAACCTTTATTTCTATTATTTCTGAAGTTATATTACAAATCTGACTCAAAATATAATATGTAATAAATTTGTTGAGACAGATGTATCAAAATCATTTATTTATAACACATTCATGATAATAGACCATCGATCTATATGTCAAAAGTTCATGTGAAAATGACTTTTAATCCTGATTAGTCTGAATGAACAATAAAATACAATGTTGTAAATATATAAATCCATAGTGTCATTGTAATAAACACAAACTAAATACAAGTGATTTAAATAAGAACTACAATTTTTTATCAACAAATATACGGTTTTAGTTCTCAAGGGTCACTCTCAAAGATTTCTAAAAGAAATGTATAAATAAAATGAGGAGAAATATTTCTCATTATTCTAAATAATATGGAAAGCAAATTCCAAAATTGACCTTTTCCAGCATGATTTTTATTCAATCAATAATTGTAGAAACTTCATCACAAAAGGGATATCACATCCTAATTTTGATAAGGACGTTATATATAGAGCCCATACATTTAGATACAATCCATGTGAACTTATTGATTTTTTTAATAAACTAATGAAAGCTGATCATTTTATATGCTCTTAGTTACTTAAACTACTTTTTTTCCCCTTTCTTGAGTTTTTTTTTGGTGTGTTCTTGGTGCCATCTGATGAGTCAAGTCTTTTTTAAATAATTGTTGTAGCTTGTTATTATGTTTTACTGTTATAGCACGGTTGAGCGACCACAAACACGTTAACAGTGCCATCTTCTGTATGAGTCTGTTCCAAGTCAGGAGCCAGTTATTCATTAGTTGTTGTAGGTTGGTGTCTGTCACATTTGTTTTTAGAATAAATCATGCTGTTTGTTTTTCTTTACTATCAGTATGGGTTTTGCTTATGGCTGAAGACGGTAATGATAAACTAGATGTGTCAGAACGACACGAATGGCCCCATCTCAAAAAGTTGAAAAATTTGCAATTTCAACAACACATGTGGACACAAACATGCATGGATAGTATCCAGCTCTCAAGACCAATACTAGTTTGATGAAAAATGTCCTTGATCAATGAGTAGTTAAATTTCAAACTATCAGCAAACAGGAAGTGGATGTACTGCAGACAGAGTTCTCGAAAAGTGGTGGCACGAAGGTTTTGACCACCAAAATTTCCAAAGGACTGCCACAATTATTGTAATTGGCAATAGAAATATTAGTGAGGACCAGCAGATTTTCTACAAGGACCACCAGGCGAAAAAAGATTTCGAGAACTCTGCTGCAGATCTAACAAGATGTGTTGAAACGACATCAGTATAGCAGAACGAAACATAAACTTGATCTGTAACTCATCATGGTAGACTCGCATATCAATAATCAGCAGAAAATCTGAAGGCGTATAGAAAAAAGTCAGTATAACTGTGATTTTCAACAATTTTCAAAGTCCAAAACCCGTAATTTCGGCAAAAATCAGCAGAGCGGAACGAAACTTAAACTCCATCTGTAACACATCATGGTTAACTCACATACCAAAAATCAGCCAAATATCTGAAGGTGTTTAGAAAAAAGTCTGGATAACTGTGATTTCAAAAATTTATCAAAGTCCAAAGTCCGTAATTTCGGCAAAAATTAACCGTGTTAACAGAGCAGAACGAAACTTAAACTTGATCTGTAACTCAACATGGTTAACTCACATACCAAAAAATCAGCCCAATATCTGAAGGCGTATAGAAAAAAAATCTATATACCATTTTTGTGGTTCATAATATGAAACTTGGTGTTTCAAGGAAACTTAATAAGTTTCCTGGTTTACCAATAATAAAAGTGGAAATACAATGCTTTTCTTTAGAGTTTCTGTTAACCCTACAGACCCTAATCTTTAGTGTCTAGTCTTAAGATTATTTTGTCATTTTTGAACTCAAACTGTTTCCCTTTTTTAAACCAGTTTTTTAAAAATCTATTGGAAAACTAAAACTATTTGTCTACCTATTGACCCTTTTTATTTTTTAGCATGTTTGAAGAAACACAGAGATGGTAATAATGTTTGTCTTTATATGACTTCAATATAATATTGACATAACTGAATTCTTACCATCCACTGTATGCCCAGAATCCAGAATAGAATGAAATAGCTATAGCTCCTGCACTGAAATCACTTCCTTCAAATGGATTCTTAAAATTCTCAGTTTCACCTGAAACAATACTGTAACATGAGTAATGTACAATAGAGTCATGCACAAGAACACCTAGAACAATACTGTAACATGAGTAATGTACAAGAACACCTGAAACAATACTGTAACATGAGTAATGCACAAGAACACCTGAAACAATACTGTAACATGAGTAATGCACAAGAACACCTGAAACAATACTGTAACATGAGTAATGTACAATAAAGTGATGCACAAGAACAACCATGTGTAATTATATGAGACTCACATCCCTTACTAAAACTGCTTCAATTAATTTCACCCTGGTTCCATCTTTTGTCTATTATACATAATACATCTCTGCACCAAACCAAGATTGATTGATTTTTGGTGTTAAACACTACTTTAAGCACTGTTGACTATATCATGGTGGCCAGTTTTTAAAGGTAGATGATGCAATTTTGTTTAACAAATAATACTTGATTGATTGACTGTTGCTTACTTAATGTCCAGTGGTAGGGGTTTCATAATCTTTCATGCAGACTAATACTTTTCTCATTTTTAGGCAAACTTTTTATATATATATATACTATGAATACTTTGACTTTGAGATGAAGTACAGCAACAAAAGTGCAGTACCTTTGCTTTATGTTTTGTCGAGAGTATGTAGGGATTTAGTGTCAATAATGAATACAACAGATCCTGTCTTTTTTTATCAAAAAGTTTTATTTTATCATCTGAACTTCAATTAACTAATACATCAGGCTGTTACATTGTATCTACATACAGCTGTATACAAATCAATAGATATGTATGTTATCAATGGAGCCATGTCATTAAATGGACAGGTTTTACATTTGTATTTAGGAATGTAATAAATATATATACAATATAGCCCAACCTGTAAAAAAGTGCATAGTTGTACAGATTTAGAATATTTATAATTTATTTATATGTAATGAATTGAGTTGTCTAATCTTTAAACAAAAAAGTACCATTTAAGTCTTATTTCCTTAACAAAAAAGTATTAAATTTAACTGGAAAATCAGGAATTTATTATTAAGAGTCTCATTTATAACAGTAACAAAAATTTTAAGAAGTTTACCGAAGAATGTAATCTTCTCAAAGAGAGAAGCCTTTCAGATTATTATTTTTGTGGTTTGTTTGTAATCTTATGCTTTAAATAGCCTGCATTAATGGGAGGGAAAAAAACAAAATTAAGGAATTAATTTAAGACAATATGAATTTTAAAAAGTTGTTTTGTATAATTGACTGATTGAACAAGTTTATACTCACAAAGTCAAATGACTGTGAACAAGGCTATCAGTCAAATGACTGTGAACAAGGCTATCAGTCAAATAACTGTGAACAAGTTTATACTCACAAAGTCAAATGACTGTGAACAAGGCTATCCAGCTGGGTTAAACTTCAGCATTAGCCCATGCAGGCCAATGAATGTTGAGGTCCGCCAGGAATTTATTATTAAGAGTCTCATTTATAACAGTAACAAAAATTATAAGAGGTTTACCGAAGAATGTAATCTTCTCAAAGAGAGAAGCCTTTCAGATTATTATTTTTGTGGTTTGTTTGTAATCTTATGCTTTGAATAGCCTGCATTAATGGGAGGGAAAAAAACAAAATTCAGGAATTAATTTAAGACAATATGAATTTTAAAAAGTTGTTTTGTATAATTGACTGATTGAACAAGTTTATACTCACAAAGTCAAATGACTGTGAACAAGGCTATCAGTCAAATGACTGTGAACAAGTTTATACTCACAAAGTCAAATGACTGTGAACAAGTTTATACTCACAGTCAAATGACTGTGAACAAGTTTATACTCACAAAGTCAAATGACTGTGAACAAGTTTATACTCACATAGTCAAATGACTGTGAACAAGGCTATCCAGCATTAGCCCATGCAGGCCAATGAATTTTGAGGTCCGCCAGTTAAAGGTATTTAAGACAGGCACTGTATAGACCAGTAAATTGAAGATCAACAAGGCTATAAGTTTGTACTCACCTAATCCTATGATATAGTAGAAACCTATAACAATGACTGTTAACAAGGCTATAAGTTTGTACTCACCTAATCCTATGATATAATAGAAACCTATAACAATGACTGTTAACAAGGCTATAAGTTTGTACTCACCTAATCCTATGATATAGTAGAAACCTATAACAACTACTGTTAACAAGGCTATAAGTTTGTACTCACCTAATCCTATGATATAGTAGAAACCTATAACAATGACTGTTAACAAGGCTATAAGTTTGTACTCACCTAATCCTATGATATAGTAGAAACCTATGACAATGACTGTTAACAAGGCAATAAGTTTATACTCACCCAATCCTATGATATAGTAGAAACCTATAACAATGACTGTTAACAAGGCTATAAGTTTATACTCACCTAATCCTATGATATAGTAGAAACCTATAACAATGACTGTTAATAAGGCTATAAGTTTGCTGGCTGTTATCACAACTTGTATTTTTGTGGCCCATTTGGTATTCCAACAATTGATGGCTACTAATAAAGCTGAAAGAATAAATTAGAGTACTGTTACGTAAACATGTATGAACATTGTTATCTGATAACATTTTATAATTGGACCATCAAAGCGTCGATCCACCAAATGTTGCTTGTCAAATATATAAAGTAAGACTGAGTTACTGCATGCTACACAACTGTTTGGTAAAATCTAACTTCTTATATATATAAAATATATATAAAATCGTTTGAAAATTCATTGAAAATTCTTTATGTAAGTCTATTTCTGGTGGACAATTCGTCCCTGATGGTATCACTATTCAGTACTTCTGTGTTGACATGAAATACAAGTTCATTCTGTATACAATAAAATTTTGAATCATTCTAAACATCCCACTCCCAGGCATAGATTGATTTAGCCGTTTTTACTTCAACGTTTTTCGATTTTTTTTTGTTTTCAATGCTCTTTAGCTTTATTTTTGATTTGGACTTTTAACTATCTTAATTGCCAGAATTTTGATAACTTCTGATTATATTATTGACAATTGTACAAGACTAAGGACACGTTAGTGCCTGACATATCAAATCTTTGTTTGAAGACTGTAAGTATGCTGCCCTGTACTCTAAAATGTTTTTTTGTTAACTGGTGTTATTGGGTTGCTGTCTCATTGACATATACCCAATATCTTCTTTTCTTTTATTCAAATGTATGCTAAGTTTCTCAACTCCTGTCTTCATTTATATCAAAACCCAAAAATACTGGGAAAAAATATTATTTTTTACCACTGGATTTGAAAGAAACATATTTCAGAAAGTATGTCAAGTTTATACCAAATCATTAATACTTAATATAAACAACCATAATAAAATAACTCTTTTTGGAACCAAAACAAAACATTTGTAAAGTTGAATGGATTTATTCTGACAGAATTAAAGGTCTTTATGGTAAACTTGGTCAAGCTGAAAACCAAAACAAAATTACAATCATCTGGCCAAAAGCCAAAATCAAAATACACCTTAACGAAGAAATATTATTGTATTACAGAACAAATATGTTATAGTAAATACTTGGTTAACAAGCATATCGTCAGAATGATGAAATCTTCGTCTTCTATACAAACTTGTAATGAATGGTCCTTGTTTTTTGGTAATAGTATGATATACCTTATTAAGGACAGGTAGTAGAATGGTTATAAGATCAATGACACCACAAAATAACAAATGTCTCTATACTTCATGATCAGTCAGTAAAGGAACTATATTTCTGTAAAAAGTCAATACTGGTAGTTTGTTTACTTCTAAAATATTTCAAAACAACAATTATATGCACCTTTTATATTTTCCTTTCAAATGAACTGTAGTTTCAAATACAGTTCGTTTTACTTTCCTTTATTTATTTAGGAAAAATGCATTTGAAGATTGTTCTAGTGATTTTTTTTAAAGATTGTAATCATTGCTGCACATTGAAACAAAAATCTGCCAAAAAATATAAGTCCCAAGTCATGTTGGCTCATGTCTGTCATAATTATTTTTCATAAATTGTTTTGTCATAAATCATGTAAATTAAATTGTTTTTTTATAAATTATACAGTTAGTTTTTTTGTTAAAACATTTTTCATGTCTAGGCTTTTTATAGCCATCTATCATGTCTATACAGTATGGGTTTTTTCTCATTGTTGCAGGTCGTACAGTGACCTATAATCGCTTTTATCAACTTCATTTCAACTCTGATGGATAGTTGTCTCATTGCAATCATACCACACCTTATTTTCATGTAAAAGCATTTGATCTTATGCTCTTTCCATATAATATTTTTCCGAGTTCCTGATACATGTGATAATACTAAGCATAAAACATTTTCCCAGAAATCTACCAATTTTCAACAACTTATTCTAAGTTAAAGCAGATGGGTCTGTTCATCATCAAAGTATCAGTAACTTTCAATATATAAAAATATTATCTTAGTGAATATACACAAGGGGTATCCCAATCTGAATCCCGAGGAGAAATTCATAAAAACTTTGTAACCGTTGGTAAATAAAAGAACAGAGTTCCAATGTCCCCCGCTTTGCACATATTTCATCTATCCAAGGTACAACGACAATAGCTAAAATAAGCACTTTTTTGTTCTTTAAAACTTTTTATTAATATCTTAGAAAAATGAAAGCTTCAGAGCAAATGCAATGTGATTTTCATTATAATTAATATTTCCCAAGGGGCATAACTCGTTAAACAAAATTTTTGATCAGCACTTATTTTCGAAACTGTCAAAGATATTGCTGATATAAACCTATGATATAAGCTTCATAAAATTCTGGTAGTAATTGTACACATGAGAATGCTGACAATGCAATTTTCCATATAATCAATATTTCCAAGGGGCCTAACTCTTTTAAAAATAATTGATCGGCACTGATTTTTTAACTCTTATAATATATTGATGATATAAACCTATAATATAAATTTCATAAAAATCTGGCAAGAATTGTACACATTAGAGCGCTCATAAGGTAATTTTCCATATAATTAATATATCCAAGGGGCATATCTCTTTTAGAAATTATTGATCATCACTGATTTTCGAACTTGTCAAAGACATTGCTAATATAAATCTATAATTTAAGTTTCATAAAAATCTGGCAAGAATTGTACAAATGAAAGCGCTAGCGATGCAATTTTCCATATAATTAATGTTTCCAAGGGACATAACTCATTTAAAAATAAATGATCGGCACTGACTTTCGAACTTGTCCAAGACATTCCTGATATAAACCTATGATATACATGATATAGTTTAATAAAAATCTGGAAAGGCAAGAATTGTACACGTGAGAGCGCTAACAAGACCAGACGGACGCCCGGTGTTTCTACATGTATGTCCCCCGCAACGCGTTGCGCGGGGAACAATAAAATCTGGATTCGATTCCAACGAAAAAATTATGCTCCGTGGAAATGGGATCCAGATTTAACTTCCCCTGGAACCAAACTTAACATAAATTGTTCCTCGGGATTCGGATCCCTCCATTGATTTCAGTTCAGGATACAAGGTGTGATACACATCTCTAGATCTGAAAAGCAATTAAAATCAAAATGATGGAAGGATTGGAAGAGTTGTGTGCATCAATTGAGACCATATGCTCAGGTTTTGTGGTGAACGAAAAATAAACTTCATATAACACTAATGCATTAAGTTTGAAAAGATGATCATTTTTTTCAGTTGATAAAATGAGATCTGATTACTGACTGTGTGTCAATGTCAGTGCCGTGGATCATTTACTTTGCATAAAATATTCTTTTCAATTGCAATTTAATTTGTTTTATAAAATTATATTCACATTTTCAAATTTATGGTTTTATACAGTATTCATTGGTATTAGAAGACATGATCAAATACAGATTCAATTAAAAAAAAAGTTTATATTTGTGATTCCAAATATAGAATCATCTAAAAAGTTTATTCTTTTAGTTCCAGAGTGATCACATAAACGCAGCATGGCTGGAAAAAAAGCATCTGTAGGAAAGCTGGATTTCTACAGCCTTTTTATTTAAAAGTAAAGACACATTGTAAAGTCTGTCTGTCATGGCGAAGTTTTGAGCAGAATGATATGGTACACTGAATCATATTCACCATGTACATGATGTACACCTCTTCCTAAAAACATTGATCTAGTATTTTACAAACATAAGTCTTCTGATAACAAGACATGTACTAATTTAATGACAGTAACATTAACATGCATATTTTGTCCAACTGACATACATGTATACATGTTTTATCATGTGTTGGTAGAATGATCCCTCACTTTTCAGGTCACCTAATTACATGTAATGATAACAAAGAGAAAGCCTGCAGGTGTAATTACCTGAAACATACATCTGTACATGTATACATTTTACAAGTGAAACTAAAGTCAAAATGTTTAATATGGAGAAAAGTATTTGAATGCTATCTTATTGACTTATCCATCCAACATTTCCTTTTAGTCATATATACACATCAATGAGACAGCAACCAAACAACAAAAATATGTACATTTACACTGCAACAAACGACAATAGTTTGAACAATAGGTCAAGCTCTTAATTGCTGTAAATCTAGAAAAGTGAATTAATCCAATAGAACCAGTCATCAAATTTCATATTTAACATGTTTAAGGTAAAAATGCATTACAGATAAAACTGATAAGGTTGCTAACTTGGAGATGGTACAAATGTACATGTACATGAACATGTGACAAAGTTAACCTCTTTTCACTGTATTTTTCATACTTTTGATACTTTTCAAACTATTATGGTTCCCTGACAAAGTTGTTTTATATAATTTGAGGGGAATCAATAGAAAATGAAAGGATATGGAGTAAATGTACATGGGACAAAATCACACACAATACATAGAAAACATTTTATAAATCAAGGCTACAAAAATTTTTTTATGCAAAAATATTTTAACAAGAGTGCACACACTGAAATGTCCCGTCTGCTTATTTTTTAAGCATAATTGAACAAGAATGATGAGGTCGATGACAAATGAACCCTACCAGACAGATATGTTCACCTTATAATCATTCCATTCACCAAATATAGTTGACCTATTGCTTAATGTACCTGATTAACTGACAAAACCACAAAAATTGACATTGACCAATGAACCATGAAAATGAGGTCAAGGTCAGATGAACCCTGCAAGGTTAGATGAGTGTTGCCAGACAGTAATGTTCACCTTATAATCATTACATTCACCAAATATAGTTGACCTATTGCTTAATGTACCTGATAAACTGAATAAAATGCTCCGCTGGGACGCAGCTTGATAAGACCGCAGAGGTCGAACCCTGAACAGTTGGGGCAAGTATGGACACAACATTCAAGCTTGATACAGCACTGGATTGTAATTAAATATTTGACACAGCAAAGGTTTCTGACACAGAATGAATGTGGTCTAAGAACTTAAAAATTTTTAATTTACCTTATTCAAACCATATCATTATTATTTGCTTTTATATATAAATCAGAAATAACCAATTTCAAATGGAAAATTTTAAAGAAAA